GTTGATGTTTCGTCTGCTTTTCCTTTTTACTGGCCAACTGGTTTTCAATTATCTAAAACTTACTTCTCGATCATTAATGGAAAAGCCAAAGAATTTTTTCGCCATTCGACGGGCGACGTGTTAAAATCTTTCAGCCACTGAAAAAGGCCATAAAGCCATCATTAACGATCTATCCATATATCTATCTATCGCTTGCTCTGATTGTTGGCCACTTGGAAAGTTTCGCAGGTCGGCTTTATGGCCGGTATAAATCACTAACTCGGAGAGATATATATCGGGGAAAACAGAGGTCTTAATTCGGTGTGGGAGTTGACGATGTCTTTGAAAGAGCTGGTCAAGCTCTATATGGCTAAGGATTCGCATGACATTTCAAGCATGTCGAGATACTCATCTCTAGAGACAACCGATATCATCTGACAGCCGAAGGTCGAAAGAAAATGATGATTTGAATCTTGGGTTGCGAGCACGCCAAATAACCATTACCAATTTTTATTACCTTTGCATTGACATATTTTGCATTACTTTTAGAAATAATTACTAATAAATCATAACCCAAAAATGAAACTACATTTTAAAGTTATAGGAATTTTTATTTAATTATAACATCATTTAAAACGCTTATCAACTTAGCTTGTAAAACTGATTGCTGCAATTCGAACTCGACCAGAACACGGGGATTCCCCTCAACTCGCGCTCGCTCTCTTGTGAGCTCACTCTTTCTTTCTTCGCTGGACAGCTTGAAGAGCTCTTTCCCCGAACCACTCGAGCCCCTGGTTATGACTCAATAGATCTTGACTGCCGGCTGGCCAACTGGCAATCCAATTCGCCAGCCAATCGCCCCCATTCACCCCCATTCTTAACCATTCGGCGGAGGCCAAGCTCCACTGGAAATCGCAACGCCCATTTTAACCTGCTCCCTGCCCCCGGGGACTTTCACAAATCCCGCGAAGAATTCGCTAAACGCTTTGGAACGGATGAGCAAATATTGAATCTTGCGGCTGACAATCGATGGCTGGCGAGCAGGTCTTTTCCTTTCGTTACACTTTTCTTTTTGCGTGCTCCACAAATATTTGACTTTCGATGAAAGTCGCTGAGCAGACGTGTTGGCAGTTATGACCCCGATATCCAGGGGCTAAACTCTCAGAAATGCCAAGTGCACGGCCGAATCGGGATGGCTGACATAGCTGTTCGTATGTTGGATTGGTTGCATAAGCCCGGTCTACAACTTCATTCCGAATGCACTCTCGATGGCGATCCGATGTGGGGACCACACATGCCAAGCACCCCGAATGACAAAAGCTTAATCAAACACTGGAGACAAAGCCTTAGCTTAAAGTGCCTGAACCCCAGTTGTGAGTCAGTTTATGGGCTCTGCGGGTTTAATGAACCTGCGAATTTATCGACAATAAAAGATTCGCTATAATTGGCCCATATATAATCGTTGCGATTTAAGCCGGCTGATTAGTCGACTTAACTGTGACGTAGCACTGTCGGTGGGTGTTCCCGCCATTCATCTAAATGGCTCTTGGGTCTCGGCTCTCGGATCTCCGGTCTCCGGTCTCCGTGGCGCTGTGTGTCTTTATAAGCGGCTAATTAAAACGTTGGCAATGTAAATGAAGCCTTAGCGCCCCCCTCACCACTTCAAGATCCGCAACTTGACGTCGTGCTGGCAAATGCTTAAAAATTCAGTAGCCAAACACGCAAGCGCCAGCAGGCGAGAGACGAGCCACAAGAGTTGGGAGTTAAGAGTTAAGAGCTAAGAGTGTGTGTCTGTCATTCAGACCCAAAGACACCGGACCAAGACTGGGTTTCGGCCAGAAACTGAGGCCAAGACTGCTGATGACTTTGGCGAGGTTGATAAACGCGGATGGGTGGCTCTGCGGGGTGGGTCTAGTACACCAGAAGAAAACATAACAATCTGTGTTCCTTATCGCTAAATTATGTACTCAGGTTCTTTATTATTAAAATAATCATGCTTTGGGAAATATAAACTAAGCCTGAGAATTTCGTTAGGTTGTCAAACGAATGTATGATAAATTGTTGTACATTTTTTTTTTTTTTTTTTTTAATAAAAAAAAATATATATTAATAAACAACCAAAATAAAAGAAAAAAAAAAAAAAAAAAAAAAAAAAAAAAAAAAAATAAAAAAAAAAAAGGGAAGGAAAAAAAAAAAATAAATAAAAAAAAAAAAAAAAAAAAAAAAAAAAAAAAAAAAAATGGGGAATTGTTGTACAAATTCGAAATATCACAGCCAAAAAAAGGAAACAAGAGAGAATGCTATATTCGAGTGCCTCGACTATAAAATACCCATTACTTAGCTAAATGTGCGTGATAAAGATGGAGATATGTAAGCAGCAAATCAAGCTATTGAAGTGGCGCCATCTAGCGTAAAACGCAATATTTGCTTATAACTTTCTCACTCTACAAGAAAAATTATGATATTGAATTTTCAGTAATAAAAATTATGAATTTATTTAGAAGAATAAATATCTCAGTTTGCAAAATATTTATATTTATTTTTAATATTTTTTCTCCACGTGCAGTTGGAGCTGTCTGTTTGGGTGCCCCGTGCCCGGGCCATCTATCCGCATTGCTTCCGTCAGCATTAAACATATTACTCTTAATAATGCCTAAAACTCGGTTCACACACAAGGCGCTTGAAATGGGACTGAATCCGAATCAGAATCAGTATCAGAGGCACGAAGACTTTGCAGATGCACAGAGAGCAGAAACAGGCGTTTGCAGCTTGTTCGTGATTTGTGTTGTCTAATCGTTAACAATTACAATTAGGCCTCTGACTGCCCGTTCTTCTGGCAGCTGGTGCGTGCAGTTGGCTGTGAGAACGGGTATATGGCATATAGATTATGGATATATATAGATTCCGATTCGACTGGCCATTTGGCACATGCGAGAGCTTACGCACTTCAACACACACTTTAAACCGGAGGCCTAATTGCTGCCATGGCTAATTAATATTTAAAGTGCCATTCGGATGGGACAGAAACAGAAGTTGGGAAGTTGTACTACTCGAGTGTTTTCGGTTATGTCATTCGTATTGTTGGGGTCCCAAATTTTAGATTGTCTCTGTGGTCGCGAGAGCCGGTGAAAGATGACGGGGCCCTGGGAAAGTTGGAAATGCCTTTACATAATCCCGCACCGCGGTTAGTTGCTTTTACTTGTTTTAATTAGCGGCTCATAAAACGGTGCCTCGAAGGGAAGTGATTTAATTAAAGCACCTTTGCACAAATTTCGCCATGAATTATGGGCATTTTCTTTGATTTACCGAGGATCTTTCTGGCTCATTGGGTCAGAGCTTCCACATCTGCACAGCTGCAAGGTCGAGAGACTCCTCTTTCAATCACCCAACACTCCCAATCAACGTCAGCAGCTCACGCAAAAGTGTTTAGAGAAATGCCCCGAACAGCATTTGGCATTCCAATTAAATTATGATGAGGGCAAAAACGCACAGATCCCTTGGAGCGCCACACGCATATGGTCTTTTGGAATGGAAGATGGAGATGTAGCTGGAGCTGCCTGGTGGCCTGTCAATAAGCCAAACCGAAAAAGCACACATAAAACCACTTGGATCGAAGAAGAACAGACTGGACCGAGACCTTAGCCCTACCTCAACGGAGGCTTCGTGTTACCGCCAACGGCTTTTGTTGTCGTAGGTTCATTTGTAACTAATTTGTGCACAGTATCGGAAAGACAAAGGAGCTGCCAGCCAGACTAGACCCCGATTCCTATCCCGATCCGAAGTTCTTAACCCTCTTTTTAACGACAGACAAGAGATACAATAGCTTAAGAACTTTTTGAAGTCAGTAGCCTTTCATTAAACAAAAACTTATGAGTTTCAACTTAAAAGCATAATGAGGTATCTGAAAAAAATAAAAAAAAATAAAAATAATGGAAAAAATAACAAACCATAAATATACATCAAAAATTCGACAGTTAATTTGTAAGCATTATTCAACTCGTGTTATCACAACAAACAGAGAAAAGATTCAAATTTATGCAAATGCATACAGTTTTATATCGGTTGTGAAGAAATTTGTACCAATTAGGTAAAGATTTAATAATGATCTTATCCGCAAAAAATTACCTATACTTTTTAGTGTTTTTCAAGAGCTAGATTAAGTTATATTTTTGTAATTTTATGGTTTATGGATTTTTAAATTATTTGTTAATACAAAAAAGGATGAGTGCAGGGTTAAGGACCTTCTAGCTGGCCTTGCTTTTTTCCAGAGGGTTAAGAAGCTGGCACAGTGGCTACCGAGGTGTAATCCAATCGAGAGCCGACCGACTGGTCAAGTGGTGTTGGATTTCCTGCCCAGTTCTGGTCGGGGAGCCGAGAAATGCAAAGCTGATGAATTTGTTAAGCAAATGGCAACTGCGGAGCAGCAAATCCCACCAAGTGCAATTGCCAAGTGTAACAGTAAGTGGACAAACAATAAACTGGCTAATTTATGGCCGCTCATCATCCGAAGATCATCTGCCATCCGGCGAACCAGTTGGCTCCCCACTCTTCATGGAATGGGATGGGACCTCACACAATAATAAATCCAGTTGCCGCTGATGACGACAGAAAGGCAGCGACGCCGGCCGAGGCAGCGACGTCGGCCGACTGATTTTTGATTTAAGGAGAAAAAGAGAAAAAAACAAATTACAAACAGTCCGCAGATCTCATTTATTTGCGGCACTCCGAGCCGTTCACAACGTTCAAAAGCTGCGCGCTCAAGCTAAAAAACCGAATCGTCGGCAAAGCAGTGCGAGGAAAACGCGAAAAACTAACGCTAACAAAGTGCATTTTAGATACGCGTTGTAAATTTAAATAACCAACCATAAACGTGTTAGAACGTGCGCATAAATTATTTTAAACAATCTATTCAAGTAAACATCTTCGCTTGAAGGACACTCGGACAATAAATTCTACAACCAGCCAATATAATTAAGGAAAATCTTGAATCAACTAAGACAGGCGGCAGCTGCAGTCACAGTCACAGTCACAGCCATTTAAAGTGAGTGCGATTAGAATATTGCCGTATGCCCATAGAAATCATTAAATCATTTGCATTTGACGGCTGGCAGGCGGTTGTTCATTAATAAGTTTATAATTGCTGCCCGTCCGCATCGAGTTCGCTGCCTAAGTCTTTCGTTTGCAGTGAGTTTGCTGCCTGAGTCTTTCGCTTCCCCCGTTTCGAGTTCGTTGCCTAAGTCTTTCGTCTTTCACCACAGAGAGGAGCGTGATATGATTAATCATGGCCAGCATCACGAAAATGACCTTGGCAATGCTGTTGATATAGGCGCAAAAATAAAACAGCCTTAGATAATTGAAGTCAGTGAGTGGACAAATTAAATTTAGTTTTCCAGTTTCTGGTTCCTGAACTGTGCGAACTGGGGAGTCATTAGGGTGTCGAACAATTAAATTGTAATGAGCCCAGACGTAAAGTGTGTGTGTGTGGTCTCTCGAATTTCGCATTTTGCTCTTTGTTTTATTATCACGGCGATCCCTGATCACCCCGATCGCATCATATATCATGTATCATGCGGGACTTGTGATCAGCCCACAAAACAAATTCCCAGCTTTCTGCAATTTATCTCGCACATGTCTTTTTTTCGGGAATTCTGCCAGACGAGAGAACTAGACAAATGTCTTTATCGGAAAAACATATATCCGAGGTGATTTGCATGGCCAGCAACCTGTTGAAACGATGGGCGAACCGCAGACGCCCCCCGTTAGCCCCAAAAATCGTGTTATCCACTTCGATCCCAGGTTTTTCGGTTGTTGCGGCGATCAATTTACTTTTTACTGGCTCATTAATCACTGAAGCGTTGAAATCTGCGCCGCGGATGGCGCTCGACTCGCTCATTAGCGTAATTGCTCTGCCGGCGTCGCTTTGATTAGCGTGCATTAAATGCTTTCATTTAAATCAAATCGAAACGAAAATTATCTCTGGCATGTGAGTGCCTCGGTTTTCATGTGTGTATGTGGGGAACGTGAGAAACTTTACAATGTAAAGGCGAAACATTTTGCGCTTTGATGCGCACAGACAATTTATTTGTTATTAAATTATTCGGCTTTGGCATGTGACTTGCAGAAAATCGCATTGGCCATTATTATTATTATTATGATTGCGAGTGGTCGAGATCGCCACTTCGGTTGCCACCCCATCGATCAAAACCTTGAACAATCGGACAACCCGTCGAGTGGGGCGTGGGTGGCACTCAGCACTTTCATTGCCTGTCGCCTTGACATTCTCCTACCTTTCATGAATATTACCAGCTGAGCTTGCTGGCTTTTCAGCTCCTGTTCACATGTTTTTGAATTGCAAAATCAAAATTACATTTTTTTCCTTTTTTTGGAAAGTAAAATATAATTCCTAGGAAAGTTAAATTTAATGAATCCAAAGGGAAACTATGTTCAGTACATGTTGTTAGCCCTAAATTAGAAATATAAATGTCGTAGAAATATAATTTTTAAGTTTGATAAAAAAGTAAAAAAAAAATTATTTATATAATATATTGATTAATGTAAATGTTAATTTACTATAATAAAATTTCTATAAATGTTAAAGAGTAAAATAATTGTGTAAACGTTTTAGCTAAGCTATTAAAATAATTTTTCTGTAATATTTTCTTGTCAATCTCTAACAATCCTTTATGACCATTTTCAGAATGTCGCCGCTGCTTCCGCTGGCATCTCTACTCATTTTGGCCAACCTGGTGGCAGCTCGACCCTATTCCTATGACCCAAGGGCAGAAGCGCCGCCTACGAGGTTAGTCAACCGGATTGTGGTGCAGTCCCCATCGCTGGACAACCTGTACATGGACTACGTGGTCACGTCCAAGCCGCTGAATCTGCGCAAGTACAACAAGAACGGCAGTAAGGCGAAAAAAACGAAAAAGGATTCGAAAATATATTACATACCCGTACCCCCACTGCCCTTCCGCCACATACCCGGCATCGGTCTGGACTATCAGCCGATGAAAATCAATCCCATCCTCCCGTCCCAGGAGGCGGAGAAGACGACGACGAACAGGCCAGAGGTTCGTCCATCGACGACGACATCCAGGCCCGATCTGGACCATCGGAGTCCTAGTAAAGTACTCCGAGTGCAGCACCACAAGGATTACTACTTCAATGGACGCCCGCATCGACTGCAGGTGGCCCATGCCGGAAAAAAGTCCGGACTGACGGCCCTCAACCTCAAGTCCAACTTTTACTATAACAAAAACATTATTTATTAGTACTCATAGGTTAGCAAATAATAAAAAACATAATGAAAACCAACAATTGCTTTGTTTTTCGGCGTTCGCTAAGCGAATATGTTAAGCGGCTTTTGAATGGAACCCGCCTCAAAGGGGAAATGGCAAAACCTTTTAACTGGATCGCGTTTCCTATGAGCCGAATTGACAAAATCCCCCAAATTGGGTCAAAATCAAGCGAAAGAAATCGCTTAGAGCTGTGGGGGCCATTAAATTTGATGATATCTGTTCGGATCATGATATAATAGTTAACCATCATTATTAAGACGGCTTCCGCATCGGTAGCTTAAAATCATCTTCACGTGTGGTCCGGCCATTTCTCCAGTCCAATCCATTTAGTAAAAGTAATTACTGTCACCGTTGTCTTTGCGCATGCCAAATGCTTCGAGTTGTGCAATAAATAATAATAAATAATAAGCCAATGAAATGTGGCCGATTGAAACTGGGAAGACGCCGAAAATGGGGCAATTAGAAAATGTTTATGGGTATGCAAATTTGTAAATGCCCAGTGGAATTATGGAGCTCATTAGATGATTGGGTGCTTTCACTCTTGGAAACTCAGTGCGAATGCGTGAGAAAAAATGAATACAGTTTAAGTTCTCTAAGTGGAACTTCTAAAGGGTATACGGAATAATTGGAAAATTATTTTAGCCATAATATAATTTAAAATAGCTTAGAAAATATTTATGTGTTCATTTTTCAGTGTATAAAAGCATAAATCATATTTTCAGCGCTTCTTTCTAAAGTGTGTGTACAATTAAAATTTCTGTGGATGGTGTGAGTGGCTCCACTGTATTCGGAAGACAAGAAATTAGGGCTCAAACGGCTTTTTGGCCTACAACCCGTTGCCACAACAGGGCGCCTAGCAGCGGCTAAAAAGTTATTGAACAAATTCGTGGCTCCCACCCATGGCCATCCTCTCTTAGAAAAATCCCAGCAGGCAGTTTTCAGCCCTAATTTTAAAAATACCTTAGACTACACACAATTATTCCCCCCACCAATCGATAAATATATTTTGTGTGGCAAGATGAGCGTGGAGGAGCGTGGTCCGGAGTATGTGTGCAATGTACAGCTGCATGTGGAACCCAGCGAGCGGCCCAAGTTGCCACCGGGATGTCCTCCGCCTCTGGATTCCCGGAGCACCGAGTCGGAGCCGCAGCACTCGGAGGAATGCTGCGTGGAGCTGGAGAACGTGACGGTCAAGTTCAGGATCTCGGAGTCCGACATCCTGGCCCAGGTTTATCCCAACTGCATGACCCTGGGCGAGGTGAAGCAGGATATTGCTCGAAAGTTCGAGGTGGAACCGGGATGGCTGGTTCTCCGACAGGATGGTCGCATCCTCTGCGACTCCGTGCCCCTGAACTCCACCGCCCTGGATGAGTTCGGCATCCATGAGTTCCAGCTGGAGTTGTACCGAGAGGGTAAGGAGGATCAGAACTCCAAGCTGGATCTGGATGTCTACTACGAGTGGGTATTAGAAATGGTATTATTATATATACACCATTAAAATCCTTTATTATCCCTTAGCAAACACCGTCTGGCGGACTTTATCACTGTCCACATCCCCGGTGAGGACACCCAGGATGGCCAGTCCAAGAACGTGGTGGTGGAGATCGAGAATGCGGCCATAGTCAAGCCCTTCCTGTGCGGCTACCGGGACAAGATTACCGGCAAGGAGTACCTGGATGCCTTCACCCAAACGGGACCGTACTTCGACAAGATGAAGTACAGGAAGTACAAGACGAGGGACACGCAAACCTGGGAGCAAAAGGAGAAGACGCTGGTAAGTTAAAAGAGAACTCTTTTTAAAGTATTGCCATCTCTAACCCCCTAATCCCCTCCAGAACACAGCCCATGAGCAGTCGGTGCAGTGCCATCTGGACGGCATCAATATCCTGTATGTTTCCGCAGCCAATGACTTCACCATTGTTCCTGGCAAGTACCAGTCCTTTGCCCAGAAGGAGCGGGCAGAGCGTAAGCTCGAGAAGATTTTGCTCATCCAGCGGAACTGGAGGCGATGGATTCTGTGGAAATATATCCATTTAAGGGCCAAGGAATACCGGTGGGTAGTGCTCACAATCTGGGGGATATCTGAAGGTAATCCCTACCTTAATCCCTTCCAGTCGCCTGGTCCAGAATCGCGAGCAGGAGGATGAGCGGTACGAGAAGTGCGTGGAGCAGCGCGTGGAGCGACATCGGGTGATTAAGCAGTTCCCCCGCAACAAGGACGACTTCGATCTGCTCTACGCGGAGGTGGGTCGCTGGAAGAAGGCGGAGCTGAAGCGGATCACGGCCAACTACGAGGGACCCGCTCGCATTGCCGAGGTGAACATCCTGCTGGACAAGGAGATCCAGCTGCTGAATGGCGTGGAGCGGCAGCGCGACCTCGTCTATAAGGCCATGGAGGAGTTCCGCAACGATCAGCTGCTGAAGGAGATGGGCAAACCGATCGAGTGGATCGGCTACAAGGACTCCAAGATCCACATGGATCTGCTGAGCACCCAGCGGGTGCGCTTCCTCACCGAGATCTACAAGGATCTGCGCAAGCCGCGCAACAAGGAGGACCGCTTGGTCTTCATCCGTCAAGTCATGGCCGTGCTCACCGAGGAGACTTGCTATCCCAACTTTCCCGAGCTCTTCGATCTCTTCGAACGCGAAAAGAACCTCCTGCTCTATGCCAAGTCCTTCGATGTGGAAATCTTGCGCAAACGCCAAACCATGCTCTTTTTCGATCTGATTAAATTTCAAAAGGGCGAGCCCAAGCAAAGTGAGTATGGATCGGTAGCAGATTGAATTGGTTCTGAAATTTAATACCCAGGAACTCCATCGCGCATGTGCATCGTGTGCAAGAAGGTCAAGAGCTATGCCGACTTTGCCATCAGGACCCGCCAGAGCCATGTGGACACCTGCAAGCACTGCTACTATCTAAAGGTGGGTTCTTAAAGGCACTACCTTTTTAGATTATCATAGCTAATATTTCTATAATAAATTAGCTTACGGCTACAGAGAACACGGTCTACCAGTCCATCCTGCGGTGCATCCATCGGGATGAGCGCAAACGCAAGTGCACCACATCCTTTGCCTTCGTAATGCAGCCAGATGATGTGCGTCACATCATAGACAAAATATGGCATGGCCACTCGGCGCTCAGCAAGACAGAGAATCTGAGTGAACTGAGGTGAACTCTATGCTTGCCTATGAATTAAACTAATTATACTTACACTATAGATTGCCGCGTTGGAACAAAAGCGATGACTGGGCTCCATGGAACTGCATTTGCCTGACCGAACGGGAGACGCGAGATCACTACAAGATCGATGACATCGAGAAGGTCTACGATCCCAAGTTCATTCTGCACATAGGAAATCTTCACATGCTGGCTCGCAGTCTGTTCCACACTTTGGCTGCCGTGGCCACCGAGTTCCAGGAGACGGGTCAGTGGTGGAAAGTGGGCATGAACAAGCAACGTTCTAGTAAATTAGAAGCTGTTTAAAGAAACTATACTTATGCGTATCGCCTAACAAAACATAGTCTCCATAAATTGGGTTTAGCTTGTAATTCAGCGCCTAATTTAACATTTACAAAATTTAAACAATTCAAATATTGATCAATCATTACAAGGAAAATTAAATAAACTACAACTGCAATTATTTGCTACTTGCAATCGCCTTGAACTTTGACTCCAAATACTGAACGCGCTTCAGTAGTTTGTCACTGGTGCTGAACTCGTTGTAGGGCACGGGAATAACATGGTAACCACTCCTTTCCAGCAGGTCAAATGTCAGATTCGTAACCCCGCTGCCGCTGCGATGCGTTCCGTGGCAGATGTCATGGAAATCGATGACCATTAGCGCCACCCTAAAAACAATTTATAATTATCAAAACAAAATGGCAAATATTTGACTCAACTCACCTAATGGCGTTGGGGTTTTCCTTGTCCAAAGGCAGGGGGTTTTTGTTAGCATCAAAGTGGCACAAAGCATCTGAAATGTAGACCAATCAGAGATGTTTTGCTCTTATATAAGTACTTTCTTACCTATAAGAAAGCCCATTTTGCTGTCCACCGCGCTCTGGAAATGATTGCTGGCCGGCAGCAGGCTCTTGAGTGCGTCCAGCATGCCATTTACAAGTACTTGTTTGGCTTTAGGATGCGCCATGGGCACCTGGTAGGCAGGACTGTCGGCGGTCAGCAGGGGACCCTTGTAATCTGTGGCCAATAATTGGGCATAGCTGTTCAGGTTGAGTAGCCTCATCTTGGAGGTGGGTGTGACTCCGGCCTTGTCCTTTTGCAATGCCTCTAGGAAGTCCGAACTGCAGGTGCATTTAATTACAAGATTAATGAGATATTAAGCAAATGAATAGCTAAGAACCCACCTCAAAACTGAAGCCAAGTGGCTGTGTTCTACTAAACCCAGCATGGTGAGCGACCACACAAAGCTCAGCCACTCGGATTGCTTGGTAAAATCTTCGCGGACAATGGATTTCACCAGCTTGTTGCTCACTTCCTCCAGCTGGGCGCTCTTAAAGTTCAACAGTGCCGAGGTGAGGAAGTAGGCGCTGAGATCTTGAGGCCGGCAGATTTCACTGTTTTTTAAGAGCCACTGCGTCAGCGATTCCAAGATATCTAGGTGGAAAAATAGTTACATGAAAGCCAAATATGATGGAATACGAACAAACTAACCCAGATCCCGGTAACGTAAAATGCCCAGACTGGTGATGATTGAACCCACTACGGCGGACTTTTCCACATTCTTGGGCAGCGCCGTCTGCACATCCGCGCACACCTTGGCGCCCAGCACAGAGTCCTGGAAATTCAGTGTGGACATGGCGTAGAGCACATCCGCCGACTGCTTTAGATCCAGAGCCTCCGAGGCGCTGCTAATGTTGAAGGCCAGTGAGCGCAGGAGAGGAGTACTACGCCTCTTCCGCTGGGCCAGCGTGCTCATCACCTTGACCATCTGGGGCAGACTGATGCTGGCTATCAGCTTGGCCGCCTCATCATCACCAGCTACGCCCAGCACAGTGTTCAGGTCATCCGTCCGGAAGCCGGAAATTCGCTTGGAAGTGCTGTTGCTGTCGCCAAGAGTCTTGCTGTTAGCACCATTACTTTTGGGCACCGTCCTGCCCAACATGCGGCAAATGCGCAGGAATCTGGTGTCGTTCTCGAACTCGGAGATCTTCACCCGGTCCATTGTGCTCCACTCGGCCAGGATTGACACGATCCTGAGGGCGTGCTTCCGCGAGAAGGCGTTGTTGTTCTCCGTGATGGCCAGCAGTCCATTGACTGTCTTGGCATTGATTATGCGCTCGTCTATCTTGCTGGAGGCCAGGCTCTTGCCCTCATCCTTGGGATTGTCGTTCTTCAGGGACTCGAAGGCGGTGGCTACCAAGTGGCCTGGCAATAAATAAGAGTAGTTTCCATTTGGTAAGTCTATCAAGAATTGGAGCAGCTACCTACCCCTGGGCTTCCTGGCCGCCGCCTCTGCTGCCGGCGTGCGTGCCTCCGGCTCGACTGCATCCGTTTGTCCTCCGGTGGGGGTCAGTGGAACGCCTGCCGCCCGCACGCTGCTGCTGTAGGCGGCACGGCGGTACAGCTGGCTGACAAAACTGCCGGCAAAACGTTGCAGTCCCAACATTTTCAGTCAATCTACACGCTGCAAGAGACCACAGAAGTTTACATAACCTTTTTGTTTACATTTTTAGCGGCCGGAAATGGCCCTGATTAAGCATGCCAAGGTTAGAGCCTTATTATCATGACTTGATAAGGCTTATTTCCCTTGAAATCCTTTCTGTTTCATTTAGTAATTGCTTAAATTTAAGTAAACTTTCCTAATTGAACGTTGAGAATCCACAGATGACGGCAGCTTTCAGCTGTTTTTAGCCAACACTAGAAAGAGCCCGCCCTGCCAACCGTTTTTAGCACTGGATTGTTCTGCTTTTTATAGCTAGATTTGGCTTTTTTCAAAACCCGTCAGACGGAACTTTGTTTTAATTCGATTTGGATATTCATTTTGGAATTTCCGTTCAGAATTACATATTTGGATTTTATTTGTTGTTAAATTTTTTTAAAAAAAAAAAAAAAAAATAATAATGTAAATTCAAAGAAGAATATTTTTAAAAGAATTTTTAATTTATAATTTAATAATTTTTTTTCTATCTTTCAAGCCAAATTTTCAATTATAGCTAGCTTAGCACCCTCGAATTTAGCCATTCCCAATAGCGAGAGTTGGCAGCACTGTTTGCAACACTGGCCACGACAGCTCACCAAATTAGCTGCTCTGCTGTGATTTTGTTTTACAATTTTCGTTTAAATTTTTACATTTTTGTTTACGGCGGATAGCGCGGTGCGAGCAAAGTGCGCAGTTTCCATGCAAAAGTGCAGTACGGCAGCAATCGCACACACGAAGAACGGCACGCCAAGCGAAAACGAGTTCGACGTCTTGTTGTAGTTGGATTTTCCAGCCACTTTTCGACGAGATTGTGTGAAAAATTCCGTAGCATTCAATAGCTCCAAAATGGTGGATAAGTTCATCAGCATGTGGAAAGTGCGCGAATTGGCGGACAAGGTGTAAGTGATCAGGAGTATTTCCATTTGGTATTTGCAATGGAATGTGTGTATAACATTCCCCTTGTAGGCAAAGTGAACGTAGAGACTCCCACGCCCCAACTTCCCGAAATCCCTGATTTCCCGCCACGCCCCCTACTCCCCATACGTCTTTACACTTGTATATCCTGCTGAAATCCTTCCTTTTTCAAAGGAATATCTCATTAATGGATGCACTGCATCGGGGTGCTGGATTAGGTTCAGTTTTTTACCTGTTTTCAAGGTTGTTCGTAATTCCAAACGAGCTTTACCAACACCAACACCGCATTCCGATATGGATATCCATGTGTGTATGTGTGCGTGGGGCTTTATCAAGAAACAATTTGTTTGCTTTCGACTGCCCAAATATAACAAAATGTTTCCACCTGTGTTAACACTTCCACTTCCAGGCTTTCCAGTGAAATGGGTGTTTCTGTTTCGCCATCGAATTATTAATTACGGCTGCCCCCTTTCACCAGCCCCAATTATGGGGGTGCTGGTTCCTAAAAAGGTGGCTATTGTTCCACTAATTCCAAGTCAATGGAGTTCCAATAGTGAGCTCGCAAATCATTAAGTTAAGTGCAGTTGATATTCGGGAAACGAGTTCGCTGTTCCTAGGGCTTATCGCCAACTGATAAGAAACAACTAGCTGGCCCAGTTGCGACAATTAGCCCTCTTCCATCACGTTTCGAACGTCTATCAACGTCTCAGCGAAGTCGTATTACTAACTTATCTCTATCTGGGGGCATTGTAAAGGCGCATTGTCACACACCGTTTATTTTAAGATACCAGTTCTGATTAACTGGCGCTATATCTATTTGATTATCAACACTCAATTGAATTTATCAATGTGCCAAGTCTATAAGCCCTGTTTAAGTTTACAGGGAGCTCACGATAATATTATTGATTAAGGGTAGGCCTGCCTATCAATATTATAAGATTAGATAAATATGATTTTAAGATAACTTTAATCACCGAAAGATGATTTTCTGGTTTTAAAAAGATCGGTAAAATATTATTGTCTATTAATTCTATTAGATCAGAGATAAATTAAAGAATTGTTTAATTATTTAAAAGCATTATTAGAAATCAGGGCTATTTACATATATACTAGATATATTATTTTCACCATTTTAACGCCATCCAAATCCTCTTGCAAATTAGATAAATATGATTTTAAGACAATTTTAATCACCCAATTATTTCCTTATAATATTAAATTTACCAAAAAGATTGTGATCCGAAAGATGATTTTCTAGTTGATATGTTATTAGCAACTAACTAACTAACTCAATGATTTAAAAGCACCATTAGAAATCAGGGCTATTTACATATCTACTACATATATTATCTTCACCATTTTAACGCCATATAAATCCTCTTGCAGCACCAATGTCGTGATGAACTACACGGAGACGGAGGGCAAGGTGCGGGAGGCTACCAACGATGATCCCTGGGGGCCCACGGGACCCCTCATGCAGGAGTTGGCCTACTCCACCTTCTCCTATGAAACCTTTCCCGAGGTGATGTCCATGCTGTGGAAGCGCATGTTGCAAGACAACAAAACCAACTGGCGACGCACCTACAAGGTAAGTGATTAAATTCAAATGAAAGTAATAAATTTAGAAATAACGAATATTCCCCATTTACAGAGCCTCCTCCTGCTGAACTATTTGGTGCGGAATGGCTCCGAGCGCGTGGTTACCTCCTCCCGGGAGCACATCTACGATCTGCGCTCGCTGGAGAACTACACGTTCACCGACGAGGGCGGCAAGGATCAGGGTATTAACGTTAGGCATAAGGTACGAGAGCTTATAGACTTTATTCAGGACGACGATCGGTTGCGGGAGGAGCGCAAGAAGGCGAAGAAGAACAAGGACAAGTATATCGGCATGAGCAGCGATGCCATGGGCATGCGGAGCGGAGGCTACAGCGGATATAGTGGTGGGTCCGGAGGAGGCGGCGGTAGCGGTGGCTATAACGATGGTGACTACTCAAGTCGCTCTAGTCGTGGAGACAATTGGTGTAAGTTCAAGATAAACCTATATTTACAATTATATCTTTTAAAATTTGATTCCATCTGCAGACTCCGACAAGAACGCCGATAAGGATCGGTATGAGGATGATGATACTCACTACGATGGAGAGCGCGAGGGATCCGACAGCGACTCACCCAGTCCAAGGCAAGTGTTTGGTTTACCTCCATTTAAACAGCCTTACTAATTACAGTTTCATCTTCTCTACAGACGTAACTATCGCTACAATGACCGCGCAAGTCCCGCCGAGGTGGCCAGCGAGGCCAAGCCCTCCAGCCTCAACATGAACATTCGCCCGAAGAGCGTCAGTTCGCCGGTTTCCAAGCAGCCCACCTCAACGGTGTCCGCCAAGCCGGCGCTGTCCCAGAAGAAGATTGATCTGGGTGCGGCGGCCAACTTTGGAAAGCCAGCTCCCGGCGGCGCTGCTGGCATTCACTCGCCAACTCACCGCGACACTCCCACCAGCGTGGATCTAATGGGCGGCGGCTCGCCATCACCGTCCACCTCCAAAACGGCCAACAATAATACGCAAAGCAATAACAACGATCTGCTGGACGATCTGTTCAAGACCTGCTCGCCACCGCCGGCGCAGGAGAAGACCCTGAACAGTGCCGCTGTGATTGTGGACGAAGATGATGACTTTAATCCGCGTGCAAGCGATGCTAGCCAGCAGGAATTCGGAGACTTTGCCGCTGCCTTTGGAGGAGCGGCGACCAGCGAGCCCCCCTCAACGGGCCTGATTCCGGCTGCCAACGATGAGTTCGCCGACTTTGCTGCATTCCAAGGTTCGACGACGTCAACCTCTGCTTTGGACGGGAATCTGCTGAAGACGGCCACGCCGGCAAACGATTCCTTTGACCTGTTCAACGCTGCTCCCGCGTCGACGGCGGCGGCCACAACGGCCACAGATCTCCTGGCGGGCTTGGGCGATCTGTCCATTCACCAAAGCATGCCCATGGGTGAGTTGGAGTTCGGTTTACGTAGCTTAACTTAGTCTTAACTTTGAACTAGGATTAGGATTAGGATTAGGATTAGAGTAATTGTCATGACGTATTTAGGAATTGCTGCATGAAGGCGCGCCTCCCGAGCTTGACTAGAGCCATCTATCTCTACCTCGAGCTCCCCAGCCCCACACAAAGATACACTATCACCTCCTCCCACACACATAAACGGCAACATATTCCAATCGGATGCACTCGTTCTCTTCTCGTTCTCTCTCGCAGCTGTCGAAGAGCAGTTGGAAACGCCTTCTCCGCCGCCACCGCCGCCGCCAGAGGCAGTGCGTCTGGCTTTGGCCAGGGCTCAGAGGCTGCTGCGTGACTTGGAGCAGGTTCAGAGCGCTTCAGCTGCCTCCCAAGTGGCGGGTATTTTGAGGGAACTGCATGATACCAACGCACTGCCCGGATTTGCTACCCCCGAGCAGTTGGTGGGCCTCGATCGACAGACCTGCGACTGGAGTTTGCTGGCCAATGGAGAGTATGCGGCGTTGCTCAACCAATTGGTAGAGCTTTTCAGCCAGGATTGGCCCGAACCCTCGCGGGATGTGGATGTCCTGAACCTGCTGAAACTCGATCACAGCTTTGATTATGTGCGCGTTGCCTTTGAGACGCTTCAGGGAAGATTGGATCAGTTTCCCGGTACTATAACGTCTTTGCTGGAAGCCATGCTGAAGGATGAGGGTCTGGTTTCCATCGCCCTGCTGCATATTTCCCGCCAGAGAGGTTCCTTGATGCAGCGCTTTGCCGGGACTATCAAATTAATGCCCGAGAGGCGCGTAGAGGAGCTGGATGCCCAGGTGAAGGGGTTCTTTCAACTGCTCATCGGTCTGCCGGCCCAGGTGGCCAATCGTCTGGGACGAAAGCTGCCGGAGATGTTTGCCCCTGTTTCTTATCAGCAGCTTCTACTGCGCCAGTGGCTGAAGTCCTTGTACTTTGTGCTGCAGTGTGAGGATAGCGGGGAATACTTTGATTTGGAACCGTACTCCTGGCTTTTGTCACAGCTTGTGAACCTAATTAACGATGTCCCGACTTTGGAGAGTTTCCTGCGGGTGCTTAAAGACTACGCCGTGGCTCCCAGAGGAAGAAAGGTGGTGCATACCATAATGAGGGAACTGGATCCTGCTGCTTGCCTGAAAACAGCTCAATCGGCCCTTTCTGCGGAGCTAAATCTCTACGTTCTCATAGGCGCTTCTGCCTTGGAAGCTCCTCACTGGAAGCACTGCCTGCTGCAGAAGTTGCCACTCCAACGGACACCAGTGGAAAACAAGCAGCTTACAACATTGGCGAGTTATCTGAATGTGGTGGCTCCTGCTCAACTGCAGGTGCTCTTCAATCAGTTGCTGGGAATCTGGTCTAAGCGCATCTCCTTGCACAAGCTGAGCAGCCAGGAGCACTTGGCCATATCCAAATTGCTCGTTTTGGCTGGGAAGTGCCTCTGCCGAAATCTTGAAATGGATCTGGACACCAAGCGTCAGCTGCACGACGGACTCAGCAACCATTTGCAGTCCCCAGATGCCCTCCAGCGACATGTGGGCATGAAGACAGTGGAGCTAATATTCAATTTTATGGCTTTGCCTGAAACAAAAGAGGACGATCGTCTACGTTTTGATTACGAGACTTTGAAGGATACATTGCAGTGGCACATCTTCGAGGAGTTCGATGAGTTGGCTCGTTTTGATAGCCCCAGCAAGTCTAAGCTGGATGAGAAGCCCAATGAGGATCAGGTGAAACAATTAGAGTCACATCTCAGGGACTTTATGAGTTCTTCAGAAGATAGGGAGGAAAACTATGGCCAGAATATCGAAATTAAAGCAAAGCCAACTGGCAAGACAGAGAATATTAGAATGCAGCTGGACTCGGATGACGATGAGCCGCTGGACGAAGACGATGATGATGATTTGAAGCCCTACGACATGTCCAATGATATAACCAGCACCCTTGAGCAGCGCCCGAAATTCGTTATGGACTTGTTGCAGCTGCTTCGAACTAAGGTGGAGAATTATCAGGTGTTTGAAGGAGCCTTGGGCACGGCGGAGCAGCTCATCCGAGGACAGCTGGCCAGGCATGACACCCAGTTGGCCCTGGATCTGCTCCAGCTTTTTCTGGTCATGGAAATGCAGTTCTACTACGAGCACTTTGAGCGTACTCAGTTCAAGTGTTGTGTGGCCATTTGCGTGGCACATCCTGGTCCCTGTGCCGAGTACTTGTGCCGCCAGTTCCACACGGATAACACTTCTTACGCAGCCAGTGTGCGTATCTTAATCCTCCAGGTGCTGGCAGCGGCGGCCAAAGAACTTTCAGGCGATGATAGCAAGAAAGATGAGTATGAAATCCTGGATATTGTGCCGCCGGCAGCCAAGCAGCCGCGAAAGTTTGAGCTTCAGCAGGAGGAGGAGAGTCCTGCCGCTCGGCTGGCCGCTGCCCAAAGGATCATTCGCGAACGACTGCGGGCCAAGACCAAAAGGTATTTCAGCAAGCCAAAGTCAGGGGATCGAATGGAAAGAGCCAATCCCTTCCACCCGGTGGCCGGTACCTTTTTCTTCAGTTTGGTTAGAGGTCAGCGGACACGGCAGATGCTGTTCGTCAAGTACGAGAACATATCTCACGACATCGACACCCAGTTGCTGGTAAATCTGCTGTACACGCTCTCCGTGCTGGTCATGTGCTCCCAGAACTGTCCACTGTTGCCGGCGATGACGCGCGAGATCTTCGATTTGTGCGCCTTTGTGCGATTTAATGCCGAGGCCCGCGTCCGTGCGGCCACTCTACAGCTAATAGGGATCGCCCTGGTCACCACACCGAGCCATGTGCTCGGTCAGCACTTTGCCGAGTCGCTAAACGAGCTGCAGCGTTGGCTGGAGGACTTCATCAGATCGCCCCTCGTGGGCGGGGAGACTTCTGAGGAGTGCCGGGACCTGGCCCAAAGCATTCTGGACACCTGCTACAAGCTATTTGATTCAGCCGCCATGGAACAAGCTGCCTAGCTGAGCCATTTTAAGATATTTTTATGAATTTGAAAACTTATCTTAACCTAAGAGATCTTATTAATAACTGTATTCAAAATACATAAAGCTTATCTGTTATTAAAGAAAAAAATAATGTAGTTGAAGTATGAATTATGTACTTTCATACATTAAATGTGAAATAACAGTTTTACTTTCATACAATCCCTTGCGATTTTCCCTTCATTTTTATATTTTAAATTAAAATATTCCACCCATCCAAACACACAAACATTGAACACTGTGTCCTTAAACATTTCATTAACATTTTAAAACTCTATTTATATTTATAGACTCCAAAGGGAGATTTGTTAGATATAAGAAATAGTTCGAGAAGTTATTGTTTATGTACTTCTCAACCTCCATTGTATTGCAGGTATACATATACGGATTAACTTAATTTAAACTACTTTCTTTTGTTTATTTGATTTTTCTCCCACTGCATATTTGTATTGCAAACCACACACACATCGGATCCGATTTTATTTCTCAAATATATATATGTACTTAATTATGGTGAATTGAAAAGCATTTCTCAATATTCCGGGCATTGTGCGGCCACCGCAGCCGCGGACTCATTAGGTAAACCAACCCCAATAAAACCGTAATAAGCGCAGTAGCCAAATAATACAGATACCAACCTATTCTTTGACTATGTAATTGCACTTGATTTGCTGCGCAAACGCTTCCGAGTAGCCCCCACCTCATTAGCCGATCACCAAGTAGCCGCATTTGCAATTCTATCGAAGCCACACATTCAAAACAGCTTTTTGTGATACCAAAATGAAAACCGAAAGTGGAAAATCGACTAACAATATTACTGCCTTTGTTTTTTCCAGACAATATGCTGCCTCCCATTGCCGCCGTCACGGGCAACAATCTGCTCCAGCCCATGTCGTTGACTAATAATAATAATAATAATACCAACGGGGGCGCAGCCACCAACGCCTCGAGTGTCCAGCCCACCAATGTGGGGGCCACCTGGTCGGGCGACCTGAAGGGCGGCAAGATGAACATCGACCTGGACAACCTGCTGATGAGCAAGTCGGGCAAACCGAGTGCCCCGGCTCCGTCGATGAACGCCCTGAAGACCCATAGTCCGGCCAAGGCCCCGCTGAATGTGCAGACGGGAGGTGGCGGCGGATTCCCCGGACTGTCGCCCATGACCAGTCCCAATATATTTGGGGCTTCGGCGCCTCAGCAGAGCATTCCACAAAACCAATCAGCATTTGCCAACTTTGGAGCGTTCCAGCAGCAGCAGCAGAATCACAGCAATAATAACAATAACAGCTCGTCGGCCTTCGACTTGTTTCAATGATATTGTCTAGACTAATTCCACCCTTGATTACCTACTCCCCGAAATTTCCACTCTCACATTCACATTTCCACGATCGCCGAACTTGTCAGTTTTATATATTATTTACGTTTCCCTTATTCTTATCCCCCTTGCTGTACAAAGTTTGCGAAGCGTGCAATTTGTTGCTAAATTTATTGTTAAAAGAGTTTCCCCCGATGCAGTTCTCGGATCACACCCATGAATTCCACATCCGTCCTGATTGTCCACTCGGAATTTGAAAGTCGAAACGTCGTCATCAAATGCAATACAGAGTAGTTGAATAATGGTTGTACTGAACGGATTTGTTGGCACAACGCGCGGACGGACGGCTGAGCGATCCATCATTGAAATTGTTAAACAAAATACTACAAATAATGAAATCAAACAATTTTAGCAATAGTTAACGTTACGATGTGTCTGTATATAAATTGAATGTAAAACAAATATGAAATATAAAAGAAGTGAAAACAATAATTAAAGCAGTGCTACTCATTTAAAACCAGAGAGAACGCTATAGTCGGGTTGGTGTCCCGACTATCTAATACCCATCACTCAGCTAAAGGGAGTGCGAGGGAGATGGATGTATAAAACATTTTGATTGCGCATAACTTTTTAATGAATGGTCCGATTTAAAAAATGTCTTCTACATTTCGATAGGTAGTTATAAACACTATAAAATTGCATTTATACATTTTTAAAATCTTAAAAGATGTGGCTGCCAGACGCTTTAAAATCGTTTGTGGGCTTTAAGGGGGCGTGGCGCTCGGCTGAAACAAACTTGCTTGCAAACTTAAGCCAAAGAATATGTGTGGGAAATCTTAACCTTCTAGCTTTTGTAGTTTCCGAGATCTCAGCGTTCAAACGGACGGACATGGCTAGATCGACTCGGCTTGTGACCCTGATCAAGAATATGTATACTTTATATGGTCGGAAACGCTTCCTTCTCCCTGTTACATACTTTTGCTCGAATACAATATATTCTTTTACTCAACGAGTAACGGGTATACAAATCAAAACACAATCTAATTTCCGGGGGACTACCCTCCAAAGTATATGTATGTTTATTAAAATTGAATTGGGATCCATTGGGGTCAAAGAAAATACAAAAGAAGCATGTAAAGTAAAAGGTAATAGTTTGAACTAACACTAGGCTGAATGTAATGGAGACTATTTACGCCACCACGGCTTCCTTGTTTTTGTTCTTCTTTTTCTTCTTCTTCTTTGGCTCTCCATCATCGTTTCCATTGCCATTTTCTGCCTCGGCGGCTGCTCCATTTCCATTGCTGGCGCCACCATTGGCCTCGCCATCATCCTCCGCCGCCCGCTTCTTCTTCTTGTTCTTCTTTTTCTCGGACTGAGGAGTGGCTGCCGCCTCCTGGCCAGCTGCCTCGATGGCCTCCTTCATTACTTCGATGTTCTTGCGCGGCACATCGCCGGACTCGTAGAACTTGAGGCGATCCTCGACCTGCTGCTTCAGCGTGTCGCCAAACACACTGGTCGGCTGCTCCAGGAAGCAATCGATGCGCGACGCGATGGAGCACTTGTTGGCCAGGAATCGGGAAATGCGACCCTTGTTCTTCAGGCCAGCGCGACCGATGAACGAGGAGTGATAGATAAGACCGTACTTGGGCGTATTGGAGCGGGTCTTGAGGGCACGGAAAAGCGCCTTTTCGGCACCCAGAATTTGTACCGTCGATGCGGGATACTTGGCCAGATTGGTCAGGCTGCCGGCATGCGAAATCAGGCGAGCACCGACCTGATCGCCAATCAAGGACTGCAGATTGGGCGCCACCAGGTTCATCTTGTTGTGCAAGTACGTGGACAGCTTCTTCCGGTACTCGGACAGCTTGACAACGCGCTCGGCGAACAGCTCAATGTTCATCAGATCCACAATGGAGATGTCCATGCCCATGGACATCTTGGCGGCATCGATGATGGCCTGAGCCTTGGCCGAGTCCATGACGATCTTCTCCAGATCCTCCAGCTGGTCTTGCGTGAGGTTCTTGCGATCCTTGATGAACTTGGCCGACTTGGCGAACATGTAGTTGTCGGGCACAATTTTGACCAGCTCTGGGAAGTGGTAAGAGTACCACTCGCGTATGCGCATGGAGAAGGTGTTCACGTCCTTGTCCAGCTGATCCAGCAGGGCAATCGACTGGATGATCATGTTGTCGGAACGGTGGACATTAAACTTGACCTTGGCACGCGAGTAGCTGTGGCCCAGACCCAGCTGAGCAACGCCCGCTGACTTGTCGGTGAATCCTGCAGGAAATAGAGGATAAGATTAGATTAGAGAGGGTTTTTTCCTGAAGAGAAACTAACTCACCCTTGACCAGCTTGGCGAAATGGAATCGCACGCCGCGCAGGATCTCAGGAACTACGCCAAAGTGACTGCACTGCACTCCAATGGCCTCAGTGATGGCTGCTCCCAGCTTGGCATCCGCAATGCCCAGGGTGCACTTCTTCTTCTTCAGCTTGGCGAAGAAGTCATCCAGGAAGGAGAGCAGATCCTGCGGCACAATGCCCTCGGAAATGGCATTGATGTTCTCCAGAGCGGCGATGGCCGTCTTGAAGGGCGCAAATCCGGCCAGCTTCACGATGGAATTGAACTTGGCGAGGTCCGTCACCGAGGACTCCACCTGGGGCAGGAACATGGACACCTCCTCGAACTCCTTGACGGAGAAGAGCGAGAAGCCCGCCGCATGCTCGTACAGCACGTACAGGGTCGACTGGAGGCGGGGGAAATGGAAAATGATCAGTTTGGTGCGGTGGCAAGCACATGTGTTTTGGGTGCTCCGCCAGTTTAGGTTAGTTTTCGTCGGGAAAGCATTTTATTTCTACCGGCATTCCAAGGAGCACCTAAAGGTATGTGGGTAAGTACCAAATATTTACCATATTTATGCCGAATAAATGCCGTTTTTATATAGAATTACGCAGTTTTATCCACCCACGATGCTGCCACAGTTGTTTTTTCCACGTGCTACTCGAAAGTATGACCCTAGCCAGCGTGCTTGGGAATGTCAAAGACATACCAGAAAAAATACCAGAGTACCGTACTCCATTATTTCAACAGGCTGGCCACGTTGATGGCCTGATAACCTGTCGCGTTGTCCCTCTCGCACCTTCAGCAACTGTCTCTGTGTGTGATTTTTATTTATAACAATTTTTGCGTTTATAAACACAACAGAAGTACATAGTTGGCTCGGCCCACTTCCTGGAATCGCTCGCATCAGCTGTTGGGCTCCGGCACTAGCTCACTGACCAGACCGCCCAACTGGAGGCCAGAGACCATCGTTCGTCCATTTCCATTTCCATTTCCCAGTTGTCCAGAGAAAGAAACCTGCTGCGAGTTCCAGCCACTTTTGTTGATTATTTTCACCGTTAATTGCGTGGAAATCGGCCGAATAAAGCTGCTGACACGTCACAGGAGCGCCGGAAAAGCGGTGTGGCACTCGCCGGAAAAGTCAACGCATAGGAAAATTCCATTGGAGGCCCAGTGAAAGGCGGAGAGCATCAACTGCATGCCATGGACTTCTTGTTGTAAGTTCTCGGGGGCAAAAAGGAGCAACAGAGTGCGTCAACTGCAGTCGCAGGGAGCACAAAGAAAGCTCGGATCACCCCGCCCCCATTTCCGACTTGCCGGCTTTGTTTCCCCTTTTCGGGGTGCTGTCCCCAACTCCTGTACAGTGGAACTTCCCTAACTCAATCGGGGGTGTTTAGGATTTCAACCGAAATCTAAGGGGATACCCCGTTCTCACTGTCCCAAAAATGTTACCATTTTTAATGCATTTTGAACTTTAAAAAATGTTTAATTGTAAAAATTTTATATTCCACAAACAAAAGTTTGGGATTAAATGCTTTAAAAAATGTTTAATTGTAAAAATCTGTCCCCCAGACAATTTTTAAAGGGAATCCCCGTTCTCACTGTCTTAAAAATGTTACGATTTTTAATGTATTTTAAGCTATACAAAATGTTAAATTGTTAGAATATATTCTTTGGGATCAAATTCCCATTGCATTTACAGAAGTTCTACTGTACTCTTGTTTAGGGTTGTTGGGGCCGCGACTTATTGCCCTTCTCTCTCCACAGCGGTTCCCGTTCCAGCAAGACCTTCAAGCCCAAGAAGAACATCCCGGAGGGCACCCACCAGTATGATCTCATGAAGCACGCGGCAGCCACTCTGGGATCGGGAAACCTGCGCAATGCGGTGGCCCTGCCGGATGGCGAGGATCTCAACGAGTGGGTGGCGGTCAACAGTGAGTATTGTATAGAATACCCCTTTAAAAATGCTATTCTAATGCCCAATCCCCCGCAGCCGTGGACTTCTTCAACCAGATCAACATGCTGTACGGCACCATCACCGAGTTTTGCACCGAGGAGACCTGTGGCATCATGTCGGCTGGCCCGAAATACGAATACCACTGGGCCGACGGCTTGACCGTGAAGAAGCCCATCAAGTGCAGCGCCCCCAAGTACATTGACTATCTGATGACCTGGGTGCAGGACCAGCTGGACGACGAGACCCTGTTCCCCTCCAAGATCGGCGTGCCGTTTCCAAAGAACTTTCACTCCTCCGCCAAGACCATACTGAAGCGTCTGTTCCGCGTGTACGCGCACATCTACCACCAGCACTTCACAGAGGTGGTGACGCTGGGCGAGGAGGCCCATCTCAACACGTCCTTCAAGCACTTCATCTTCTTCGTGCAGGAGTTCAATCTGATCGAGCGGCGCGAGCTGGCCCCGCTGCAGGAGCTGATCGACAAGCTGACGGCAAAGGACGAGCGGCAGATATAGGAATCACTGCAGAGAGGCGGGAGTTCCAGGGATTCCGGCGGCGATGGCGGTGGCCTGGGCTTGCAGTTGGACTTGTGATGGGAGCGCTCTGGCTTTAGTTAGTTACCGCCAATCCTTTTATGTTTCGTTCATTGCTTCTTGGGGTGCCTCCCACTAAAAAACAACACAAAAAAAAACAAACAGCCGATCGGCGGAGTGAACCGAACTATAGCGGGCTAATTGCTGAATCAGAGCAACTACTATATTTTTATATGTGAATCGTAACTTTAAGGAGTATAAATCATATTTATATGTATATGTAAAGGAGAAAACAAAAAGCATCAGCAGCAACAGCAACAGCACGCCTTCAATCACTAACACATCCCGCTTTCGAGAAACATCCAATATTATGTTCACAAACTCTGCGTGTTCCCCTGTTTATCGTTTTTCTTTCTGTATGTATTGTATGTATTTATTACTATTAAACTATCGCAATATAGCTCGGAGTCGTCCAGCGGATCAAGCGATTTTGTAATGCAAACCCCAGCAATGTGAGGCGACGCTCGACAGCACCCAATAACTGATAATAATTGTAGACTTGATAAACATTTTTGATACGTTTTATACTAATAAAGAGAATATTATGAATAAAGGCAGCTCTCTTTTAGGTTTATCGTGCAATGACACTTTATTTGGAACGAAAAAAAAAAAAACAAAAAGATTAACATGATAAAAATACGCCTTTTGAAAAGGCTTATACTATTTAATTGCAGTTTAGTTGGGAATTGTGTGGTATTTATAGTACCCTTCCATAAAATATGACAAAACTGATATGCGCCTGTGTGCATTTGCGCATTGTAAATGTTTGCGACTAATCTATAGCATTCGGCTAATCGCCTTGTTATCACTGTCGCCACACTAACCCCAATCACTTGAGCTGGCTTTTGTATTTGTCTTGCTCTAAATAGAAATTGGCATTCTCCTCGACCAACTGTTTCCACTTCAGACTGAGTTCCTTATAGCCGAGTCCTTGGCCGCCTAGCTCCTTGGGCAATTGATCACAGATAACAGAGGTTCCCTCGCGTCGCACGAAAAGTCTTGATCTTATCTTGGGCGTCATGAATATTCTGTAAAGGGAACTTTACTTAGTTTCATTGGTTTTATTTTAGATATAGCATATTACCCACCTGAAGGTATTCAGAAAGAAGTTAACATGGCGCGGGGCGTTGGTAAACTCCAGTAACTTGGGCTGGCATGGATAGGCGGTCCAACTCTCCACAGACCTCTTGATAAGCTTGGGATTCATTTGAAGGGCATGACCCAGTTGGACGCCTTGCATGTCCAGAATCGCCACCATTCCGCGGGCACAAGTCTCGGGTTCAAGCTTAAGCAGCAGGTCCAATATCATTTTGCTGGTCTGGAATACAAAGGTCAAAGAATTACAAGGGAGCGAATATTTATAAGATATATAGACTATTTATATAAGCACGTATTTCCCTGACTCACCTTAAACACATTGTTCTGGCTATGGAGCTTGGGATCGTGGGCCGCTGTCCGGATCACCACCACCATCCTTTGTTCCGCATCCGCACCGATGGGTAGGAATACTCCCAGATTGAGTAGCTCCTGGATTTCGGGTAATTTAGGATCGCGATTATCGAACCACTCGGTGCGTTCCGCTCGCATTTGGTAGAAGGTCTTCAGCTTCTTCTTTGTCCGCTCCACATCAAATTTTGAGGTTCTGAGAAAGAAGTGCAGGTTCTCGAAGGTGTTGCACCCGTTGATGTGCGGATTGGCCAAAAGCCAGTCGCTCAGCTCCTGGACCTGCGCTAAAACCCTTTCGGGGTCACCATCGTTGGTGGTGACCTGCCTCTTAGAACTGCTGCTGCGCGACCACATGGCGCTCTTTTGGCGACGACGACTGCTGGCAAACTAAAGCAATTGTTTATAAACAAATTGCGACACGAACAAGCTTTCCAAGCTTTTGCGCGTTCTCAGCGTTTTTTTTTAATCGCTCGATTCGTCAGCATTTCCCACTGACGGATTCTAAAAATACATAATTGCTGATCCATTGCAAGCTTAATTGTTGCGTTTTGGCTCAATTGGATTAATTTAATTCGAATTGATTGGCGAGAAGCGCTGACATTGTCGCCTTGTATTTTTAAGCTTACCGATTTCGATAGACGAGGAAACGCGAGCGTTAGAGAGGGCAACTTTGAATCAGCTTACATTTTATGCTAACCCGCTGTTAACTTCAACTTTGTAACGGTTTTGTGATCTTAACTCTTAGTAACTTGAAAAAATATATTAAAAAAGGCGTAATTGTAACAGCATTTCGCAAATCAAATTTATTTTGTATTAAAATTTCCCCAACAGAACTATATTTTACAACAAACGGGGTTTACTTAACTTTTATTTTTATGTGGGGGTTTAATTCGAGTAATTTTTATAAAGTTGTTACATTCCAAAGTGGCCTAGAATAAACATCTTAAATAACTGTTATTTTTCGATGTTCTTAAATTTTGAAATATAAATTTTTCTAAAGCAAAACTAATTGGGATAATAACCTAGTTTGATTTCAATAATTATGTATGGACTTGTAGGCAGACCAAGGCTTGTAAGATAAGACGAGCTGATTGATGAGCTCAAGAGGAAAATTCCCAGACGGCCGGGGTAATTTGCATATGCCAGCCGTATAACTTACTTTAGGTATATAAGCCCAGCATTTTGAGACATTCTACAGTTGCACTTCAGCATTGTAATCATGTTTTCTCGAGTGTTTTTGGTTTGCTTGGCCCTATTTGTTATGGCATATGCACAACCTGTTCCTGGGGAAACAGTCGATGTCCTCGATGGTAAGTGAACTTACTTTAAAAGCTACAGCATTTGGTAATTTCTATGATTTTTAGGTTTTCGCTCTGGTTTAGCTCGTCCTATTGTTGTCCCGGAGCCGAGCGATGATCCCCAGGGCCGCACTTTGGTGTTTCTCCTCCCGATTCTGTTCCCCAAGGAATTTTACCTTACATAAATAAATTAATAAAGTCAATTGATCAAGCTTATTTTACGATTTTTATTTACTTCTTGGTACTATACAAACTTGAATAAAAAACAGAAAACCAAAACTAGTTGTACTTTAATATAAACTTTAAACTTTATTCACAAGAAAATAAATAATTGTTACATTTCAACACTTTGCTCTGCCAATTGCCTCACCATAAATTCCTCCTCGCATCCTGCGGATCTTGCATCCTGCTCTCTTCTATATATTTCTCTTAGATCGATGCTTATGTTTTAAAATAAAATGTATATTTACAAAGATGCTTTACGTAAAACTTAAGTCAACGTGTGGGGCGGTAGATATTGATTCTGGGTAAAAAGGACTCAGGAGCAGGAGGTGTTTGGAGTTCGAGTTGGTGGTGCGGGATGGTGGTGCTGTTGGTGGTGGTGGTTGTGGTGCTTTTTGGTGGTGCAAGTGCTCAAAAGGCCCCGTTGAAGTGCAGGTTTTGTGAGGCGAACTGCGGTATCCCATGGTTGAGAGCTAAAACTTTACTGATTACTTTCAATTCGTCAAGATTTCTTAAGCTGCTAAATTGACTAAGATGATTGCCACTGGGGCCACTCGGTCTGCTCTTATAGTGTGCATTACCTGGACTAATGTCGCCGCTGGCTTTAGGTTGCTGCTGCTGTTGCTGTTGCTGTTGCTGTTGCTGCAACTGTTGCTGCTGCAGATATTGCTGGGCGTTCTGCTGCAACTGGTTGCTCAACTGAGGCGTCAGATGTTGCCTGTAGAAGTTCTGATTCTCCAGATTGGGATTGTTATTTATTCCAGGCTGCTGGCTAACAATTGTGGTGGCAAAGGAGTTGCTGGGCTGGATCTCCACGTTGGTATTCAGGCCAAAGTTGCCCACTCCCGTCTCCTGGCGGAATTGCCGAGCCCTCTGTTGCTGTTGCTGTTGAAACACCGCATTGCTGACGTAGTTGGGTACCAACAACTGTTGCTGCTGCTGCTGCTGAAATGGCTTGTAATTGTTATGGGGCAAGGCCTGAAGTTGCGACGCCTCGGCCGGTGCAAAGTTGAACTGATTGGAGGGCTGGACCTGGGGGTTTTCGTTCGATTTCTGCAGAGATTGCTGCAAATTTTGGAAAATCTGCTGCACCGCATTCGCCGGCGGCTTCTGATAGTTATTCGCGTTTAGGTTGCCATTGTGCAGGGCGAATTTATGACCCGCAACGGCATCGCGCAGCGGCAATTGCTGCTCAATTGGATATGTGGGATAAATAACAGTCTTGGTATGTGTGCTGGGTATAAATTCCACCGAAGGTCTTATGGAGTAACCGCCGCCCAAAGAGGGCGGTTGCAGGCCCGCCTGAATGGCCTCCAGCGAACCATGTTGCTGCTGTACCTGTGGCAGTTGCTGTTGCTGTTGTTGCTGCTGCTGGAGGTGTTGCTGCTGCTGTTGCTGCTGTGGCTGCAATGTGCTGGGTTGGGCAATCGGACTGCCCTGGAAACGACTTTGGGTCTGCTCCTCTAGAAGCTTTAGTTGTCGCAGGATGAGAGCCTGTTGCTGCTGCGCCTGAACCTTCAGCTGGTAGATTTGCTGCTCCAGAGCCCGCTGACGCTCAATAAGATAGTTATTCACACTGGGCGGCTCTGCCAGATTGTTCAGGGGTTCCTGCTGAAATAAATATTTTACTTAAGGTATTAACATCATCGGATGATGACCATCCTAAAGATATATAAGAACTATATTATTTATATATAATAAATTTAGATCTTAAAATGCAGCAATATTTTCTATAAGCATTCCTTATAGTTTCAGACATTTTAATTATTAAATATTTTTTTGAAATAAGTATTCTAGTGTGGGCCTTATTTCAAGACGATTAATTGATAAGTTGATAAGGCAGATGAATTCTTCCTTTTAAAAAAAAAAGTATTAACTCTTCACATAAAGGGCATTACTCGTCTCAAGAATTCGCGTTTGTTTTATAATTTCTATGTTAAGAAAACAACTATAAATTCCAAACAAAAGGTATTTAACATTCGTTAAGAAAGTAAGATATATATAAATGTTTGATTCATCATACCTTCACATAGTTGCTGGTGGAGCTGGCCAGGAAGGCAGGAGTGGTGGAGAAACCGCCGCCGGCAGTGGTGCTGGTGCTCGTGCTGACCTGGGTGGTGGTGGTGGTGCTGCTGCCGCTTGTGGGTGGAAACTGAGTGGGCAGCGGAGTGGCCGGTGGCTCCGATTCCAAGACATTCAGCTTGGTGATGGTGGGTCCGATGTGCGGCAGCTGCTGCTGTTGGTGCTGCTGCTGTGGCGGTGCTGCGAAATTGCTGGTGGTGCGCTGGTTGCCCGCCAGCAGTGGGCGGAACTTTTGGGCCGTGCCCCGCTCGTCCAGATCCACGGTAAAGGCGGTCACCAGTGGCGCTTCCTGGATGCGAATGTCCTGCTTGTCCACCAGCTCGATGTTCTCCCCATCCTCGTTGTGGGTGGGTCGCGGCGTGGTCGTGGTGGTGGTCGTCGTTGTCGTGGTGGTGCGACGTCTGGTGGTGCGCGGTCTCGGCGTGGTGGTTGTGGTCGTACTCGAGGACGTGGTCGTGGTGGGCGTGGTCGCCTTCCTCAGATTGCTGATCTCGAATTTGATCTCGTGACTGCCGCTGTCGTGGGAGATCTCATTGCTGCTCACGGATCCGGAACTGGAGCTGTCCACACTCCGGGTGAGCTGGCGATTCTCCGGACCCTCGGCCTCCACGGACTTGGGTTCGAGGGGCAGGGAAATGGCAGCTGGAGAGTTCTGTTTCCGAATCGTGGTCTTCTTCCACAGCTTGGAGCGATCGATGAAGGAGGAGAGCAGCTGCTCCTGGGCATTCTTCTCGTCGAAGGTGGCCGTGTAGAACTGGACCGTGGGCACCACTGGCTCCGGTTCGTTGCCCCGGGTGCTCTCCTCCAGAATCTCATCCTTCTCCCGATGCGATGGCAGCGTTGTGGTCTCTGTGCGGAGGAGCAGGGATCGGGAGCCACTGCTGCTGGGACTCTGACTCTCCTCTCCACTTTCCGTGGCAGCCGCCTCCTCCTGCTCCAATTTGTCAATGGCCCGCAGTAAAGCCTGCCTCACCGAGTAGTCCAACTTTTGAATGGCCTCCCTGGGAATGATCTCGTTGCTCTCCGTGCTGGCGCTGTCCACCTCCTCCTCTGCTCCCTTGTGTTCCCCACTCGATGACTCCGCATTGGCGACATGGAGCTTCAGGGCGGCCAGCAGGAGAATTGCCAGCAAAGCCCAAGGCAGGCTGTTCAAATGTCTCTGTTTTGGGAACGAAATGAAACCAAAGACAGAGGAAACATTAATGGATACGCTTAAAAGTTAATAACTTAATAACTTCGACAGCCTTCTCTTGATGGGGCTCTTAGTTTCAGGCCTCATTTGCCGTAATGGCAACTGATGCTCGGCTAGTTGGAGACACCTTGGGCACCAGGGCACTTGGGCTAATTGCCTGTGACACCTTAACCATTTCGCCTGGCATGGCAATAGTTAAAGTGCCTTTTGCCAAAATGGTTGGTCGAATTATTCGGCTTGTTGGGAAATTTTTATGCACTATTAAATAAATTTATGTTTGGTAATTCCCTCAAAAATAATTTGTACCACTTTTTTTATAAATAAAAACCAAAGCAAATCATTTGAAAATTATGCAAAATAGTTATACCTGCTTAGCGAATTATTGCGTGTTAAATACTTAATAAATTATTACAATTTTGAAATGTACCATGGATTTTTTCTGTGTTAAATTGCATAAGAAATTTCCTGATTTTCCTGAAATTGTAGGAGACTCTTTAAACCGAACTCGTTGGAATTTCGAGTGCATTTTATTCGCCATACTAGAAGCCAAGCCCAATTGCGGGAAACTCTTGCAAGCTGGGTGAAAATGCATGCTCGGTCTGCAGTCTGTGACCCCTTCGGTTTTCCAACCAAACTCTGCTAATCGCGGCGTGAAAATCTTTCCGGCACTTGCGCAGATGGAAAATCATAACGCATTATACATAGTTTTTCGTTGCCGGTCAGGCTGCCCACTCATGGCATTCGTTTTTCCAACTTTTTTTGGGGATCTGTGGCTGCGTTTTTGGGACTTTGCCTTTTTGCCTTGCACAATTTCCCATTTTCAACAGCTTGACGATTGATTCCTGGTGGTTTTTCATGTGGTTCGGCGAGACCGTTTGCAAATTGGCCAGCAACTTGCAACGCTTGTTTGGCTGTGGCCAAGTGCTTAGGCTAATTGTTGCCTCAACGACCGGGAGATTTGGATAGCTATACCATCTGACCACCTGTCGCCGCAGCTACGTGAGTTTCTCGCTTTGATTTTGTTTCGTTTTGGGCTTTCGGCTTTGGTCTGGGTTTTCGGGAAGAGACTGAAGCTCTGGGTGCCCAGGATTTTTGTGTGGCAGTCACGTTGTTGCCACTTGGCACTTGGCATTACTCCGCATTGCTGGCCAAATTTGAACAATCGTGGCCCAGTCGTTGCCTGACTGGAAATTATTTAATCGGCTTCAGCAGCAGCAGATGAAATGAAAAGCCCATTTGATTCGCAGCAAGGATTCCAGCGATTTGCAATGCAATGCAATGCCAATGTTGCATAAATCTTCGCTTTGCACAGGGAATAAATTTGATGTATTGTGTACGATTATTTCAAAGATAATTTTTAATTTAAAAAAATGTAATAAAAAAATCAATAAAAAGTTTCAAGTCTTTTCTTAAATATTTGATGATTTTTAATGAAAAATATATTTAATCTAATAATAGGCAAATTCATGCTTATTATAAACTTTTATTTTAAAAGCCCCCTGATCTTTTATTTATTTATTTTGGCAAATACATTTCTAATTGTTTTACAAATTTCATGATTTTTATATAGTTTATGGACAAGTCTTATTTTTCACTTTTAATAGTTGTTAGTCTTTTTGCGGCCCCCCATAAAAAGTATTACTTTTTCAGCATGCACTGAAGCAAATGCAAAAATTGTAAGGTTCATTTTTCAGCTGAGACCCTATTGATCATCAATCTTGTCCATTGATTAAATCTTACGACTTTGTTCAACACCTTTGACTGGGGTTCGCCCCCAAAACTTTCTACTTGTCCGCCTTCCAATAACCGAAGGGGTCTCCTTTGATGTGGAATGCTATAAAATCGAACATGACTCGAGTTTTTTCACCTTGAGTAGGCTGGTGAAAATAAGCATTATTTTTCACAATTTAACTGGCATCCGCCTGCCGCCCAAGCCAAGGCCAGAGTTCGAGTTCTGCTAAAGGGCAAAGCATTATGGGCCACGCCAACTTTCAGGAGGCGGCAGAGGCAACCACTTTTGATGGGAAACAACCTCAGAGGGCAGTCATTTCTCCGCACAACTTGTTTGCTATTGACTTTCCGTCTGCCTTTTCGCTTTTTGGCCAACAAAATCGATGGCGTTGCCTGCTTTGCCGCTCATTTGCGTCAATTTCACTATGGAAATCATCGTGAACATCAAGTCAGTCAGCCAAATGGTCGGACAGTCCGTCAGTCGCGTCAAGTTGGCGCTAAGCTAATCAAGTTTACCGGCTTTGATTTCGCGGATCGGGTTGGGAAAAGGTACCACAACGGGGAAGGAGGATTCACAGGCACAGCAAAAAGAAATAGCAATCATCATAAATTGTAATGGTCAGTTGGGAATCTCTGCAGCTATATTAAAAGGCAGGGGGCTCAATTGCATGTGGGCATTTCCATTTATTTCATTTCGGGCCATTTCCCTGCTGTGTTTGGCACTTCAAAACACGTGAATACCATGCCGCTTTTGCGGAAGCGCTAGATGGTAAATATTTGGGAGATTCGAGGGGATTACTTGATTATGTCTTTATAAATAAATTTTTATTTTTGAGACGGAATATTTATATTTAGGTTTTTAATGGCAAGCATACAATTCAAACCATTTGGGTGTAAAATCTATCACTAATAATAATTATGTTCTTTAATGGGTTTCTTATTTTTATTATTTTTTTTAAATTATTATTTATTTTTATAAATATCTCACTGAGTCTTGTCAATATTTTCTGTTTGATTAAGAGACGTATATTTTAAAATATATTATTTTTAAATGATATTTAAATTTAAGTGTTCATTTTGGCTTAGGGTTAATAAGCCTTGCAGCGATTCGAAAATTTCTCTATTCAAAATTCGCGCTAGTTCCCAACTAAAAAGCTAATCAAAAGGCGGCGCAAATTTCCGTTTTAATTGGCTGAATATATTCGCAACATAAATGTATGAAATTAACAAGCGCGTAAAATGCCATAAGGCAGCTCAATAAAATTCCTTTAATTATCCATAATTACTTTCGGGGGCCGCTGAGTTCCGCAAAAGGCCCCAAGCCGCAAGTATTGGCCACAAACATGCGGCAAAGTGTAAAAAGTGATTTAACAACAATCGGACAACGCCAATAAATTAGCGATACCTCAATGGATAATGGCCCAGAGCTGTCTATATAATTTATTTATCTCTTGTGTGTGGGTCGAAAGTGTTTTCTTTACTGTTTTCCCCTCTTCGGGCAGGCAAATAAGTATACATATCGCCTCGGGCCAAAAGAAGCGGCAATTGCATAATTCGAAAACTGACCAAAACCGAAACTTCACTTTCGACAGGCGGACTGGGTAACCCAGTTCCACTGGACAACAATGAAAAAATGGTACATCATATTCGCGTATGCCAGTAATTCGAGCTGTCAGTTCGCCAGGGGGGTTTATGTTTGTGGATTTCCCCGTTTTTTTCTTGCATTGTGATTAATTTCACGCCTGCTGAGCGCCGCTGCACCTCAGATATTTCGCATTCTGCAGATGCATTTTGAATTTTTGCATTTAGCATTGCTCAAACCTGCAGTGGTTGCATCCACATCCACAAGACTCCACGCATTATTAAGCAGCTGGCCAGATGATAAACCCCGAATTTCGAGACCCGGCCGAAAGTTGTTTATCTGGCTCTGGATGTAACAGTTTGCCATATAACGCAATCTGAAGACCAAAATCCCATATCCCATCCCCTTGCCAATTGGCGAGTCGGTGCAAATTGGTGTTTATGCTTTATGTGGGCCAGCATAAATATTAATGTTGTAAAATTATGTTGTAATCTGACTGCCCTGGCAAAGTCATACAATGCAACCGCATTTAATACAGATATATTTTATTAAAAGCCTGTTCGCGACAAGCTCACGCCCAAATAAACGATTGATGATCTGAAGGAAAGACCTTTTCGGGTATATTCATCTGGGCACAAAGTTGGTATAAAAATGGCCTATTATTGTGATATACAAATTGGACGGTATTCATAACCAAATTTTTGGCTGATAACTAAAACAATGGGAGTTCATAAAGGCAGAGGTGTTACAGAAATCTTCTGTTGTTTAAATTCATAGCCAAATATAGATGTCACTTCAATGGCATTTTCTTGAGTTAAATTCCCTTTAATGTTTTTTTTTTAAACTTGAACCAATACAAGAAAGTTCTCATTCATAAAAATTTTATTATTATGCCCTATAAAAAATTAAATTTTAATTTTATAAACGTTTTTAGGGCAACTAGTAAATGTAAAATATAAAAATTCTTTTAATTTCAGTATTTTTTGTAAACTTAACATTCCAGCTTTGTAAGAGCATTAACAAATCGATATCTTCGCTACCTTTTGGTAGCCTTTATCAATGATGGTCTTTCTTGTGTTCGCTTGCTCAATAAATTAGTTACAGTATTTTATTGGCTTTTAACTGCCTTTGTGGCTACCAAGCTTCGTTGTCCGCAGGTCCATAAAAAACCTCCGTAATTGCGTGTGTGGGCCTCGGCAGCAGCTTCTCTCAATGCGAGATATACCATCCCATCCCATCCAGTTCGATGCCAGATAGCAAGTCCCGTCCATTTGCATAATTTCACACTCACATTTCGAGGCTGACGCGCCCTGATCTCAGATTATGTGGCATTGTTTCGACGCGATACGATACGATATCAATATAATCTCGGGGCCTAGGCTGTTTTGACATGGAAGCGAGCTTTTGACTTTTGATTGGCATTGATTGGGTCGCTGGATATTGACCAATAACGCTGTGGTATCGTGATATTCGAGGGGATCTCCTCCTAAATCGAATTCATAGCTGTTTACATTTCGATTAGTGCCCATTTCGCCGACTGTTATTTGCATATTTATGTGCATTTAATTGGGCTTTGGTTTTCGGTTGCGTGTAAGCCGTCATAGATATGGCAGATCCAAGATATCTCGACGGGCTAAAGACAAAGGTTATCTTCGCCTGATTGGCCAGAGGTCAAGTTTATCGATGGACCTCCCGATAAGCAGCTGAAGTTCAAGTTTGCGGCTCAAATTGAATTTGCCAGGCAGATGATAATAATATTATGCCGTCTGTTACAACAGGTTTCCACCATGCATATGAATCTCTTTCCGTTTTTTCGCCACGCCAAACTCTCGCTGGCATAAGTGGCTCTGAGTGAAAATCCGCAGACTGGGCTTATTGACCAACGCTTTTTGCCCATCTCCCCGGCTTTTATTTAGCCACACAGCATTTCATAATAAAAATAAGACAAAATTACCGATGTGCGCATATTACGATAAATTTCCGCAGCCCATACAGTCGCAGACATGACGGTAAGGCAAGGTAACATAAGGTTTTTCCATCCGACAGAAATTTCTGTTTGTTTGTTGGTCGCTCTTCGGTTCGCGTAATGTCTGCCCATTGTTTGGGGTTTCGGATTTTGAGGAGGGGCTGTGCAGGGAAATCTCTGTGTTTTCTTTTACAATTTTTTTCTTCGCTTTTTGTTTTGCTCTTTACATCTAATGGCGCGTTGAGACAAAAATGCAATGTCAATGGCATCATTGGGCCGTGTACTCGGCAATTTCGGTTTCACTTTTATCGATGGTCTCGGCCTCTGTCTCCGTTTCCGAAGATCCGACTGTTGAGGAAGACCCAAGATAAAGATGCTGCTGCCGGAGATCATCGGTGGCCAGTGGAAGTGGTAAATGCTTTTATGCCCAGCTTTGTTTGGCCTGTCTATATAGTTACATATTATTATGTAAATCGCTTACATTGTGTGTGCAGCGCGTCGTGTGCCAGTTACCACTCAGCCACAATTGCCAGTTCGAAATGCTGCTGTTGACCTTTCGGCGGCAGATGCGTCGATGGGTTTACAAAACAAAAGACTTAGGCAACGAACTCGACACTAAACTCCCCCTAAAAGCGTTGCATGACCGTCATCTCATCTATTGCACTTGCTGAGCGGCTCAAGCTAAAGATATACTTATATTTCAAGTGCCGCTGATTTATTCACCCCTTCCCTATTCCTTTTCGAGTTGCCCATCTATCATATGGTAAATTGTAAATTGCTATTTTGACAATTGCACAATTTCGTGCAGAGTCTGGTTAAAGATACAGATCTTGCCGCACGATATATGTGTTCGTTGCTCAGTGTGCGGGCGTTTTTTTCTTGTTATTTATTTCTGGCTGAATCCATGAATCGGATATCTTGTGAATGAAGCGCCGATCGTGAGTGAGTGTGTGGCACTTTTACTTTTGTTACCCTACAATGGCGGCGGGTCAACAGTTGCGATAAGCGAATCAAACTAGCATTCGCTGATCAATGACTGTGAAAATCGGAACTGCGGAACCCCGAGGCACTTGAAAATGTTAATTGAAATGACCGAGAGAAACTCACGGGTGATAAAATCCATTGAGATGTATGATTTGAGTAATATTTTGGTTATTGTGTATTATGGTATGGGGTCTCTATAGCCAATGACTTGGATCATTATTAATCCAATTGTATTTTTTATTACATCCCTTGACTTGCTTTCATTAATGAGAATTACATTTTCGTGTTTTTTTGAAGTGTTGATGTGGATTAGAAATTACTACAAAGACATCACTTTTATTTGGTAAGTATTGCGTACTTTCTTTACATGACCCAACGAAAGGGCAATTATTACTTATTTTATAAACATTTTATCAAAAGGTTTACAGAGTTGAGCTCGGGAATTTGGGAGTGATAACATCTATTGAGCAAAATAATAGCCAATAACTTTCGGAACTTTTGTTAAACCAATTTAAAGTGTTGATTGAAGGGAATTATAAAAAATGGATTAAGATATAATAACAAATAGTTAATTTTCAAGGATAGGTATTTTTTCAAGAGAAGAGTTTTGTCATAAATTAAATGTAATTAACCCGTTAAGTTGTCGAAGATGGGTACTTCCTTAAAACTATTTAGTTTTTTCAACTAAATGGGAAAACCCCACAGCACATCCCTTGACACTGACTGCCTCTGGATGATTTATGACCCGATGGCTAATTTTGGGCTGGTGAAATCAGCGGCCGGCAAGGAAGCCGCCGTTTTTTGCCAACGCAAACAGAAAACGCGAAAAAAAAGAAAAACGCAGCATAATCAATTTTAAGCATTGTCAAACTGCAATTATGCAACGGTGAAAAGTGAAATTTTATTGCATGTCAACAACGGCAGACGTCTACACACATCTTGCGTTTTGGGACGTCTTCGCAGATGACTTGGTAGATGGGCTGGGATTGGTTATTGCTGGGAATGGGAGTCGATCCGGTTGCTCAGGTCCAGTCGATGCCAACTCTCAACTTTGGCTGGCGAACAGGTCGCACTGGCCATTTGAATTTGGCCATAAACTGTCGATTGCGCAAGCTGGAAATCGGATATGCCTGGGGTGTGGGCTCTAACTTGGCTTACATGCGGGCCAGAAGGCGCACACATAAATCCTTGTGATGGGTTGGCCAATCTAATTGGGTTAAACGACCGACCAGCACCTGTGCTTATTATAACCAACCACATCCGTTCGCATTTCGACCTCAAAGTCACGGCTTTATATGTCACTTTTAACGGTCCTAATCAGATTAATCAAGCATGGCAACCAAATGGTCTCTGACTGATTAACGATCGTAAAACAACTCGATCGGTAGCTGGCATACGCATTAAATGCGTCTCATATGTCGCTAATTAAATTGTTTTATTGACTCCGAAACGGAATCATTAGACGGCATTAAAAACCCATTACACAAATGACTTGGCAAATGACTTTCAATAATTTGGTCTTGCCAAAAACGAGAAAATCCCATGCATATATTCATGATTGGGCTATCTGATCGATTGGCGTCGATCGGAGCTGTCAGATCGTAGCCCGTAACTCCTACACTTTTTCGCTTTCAAAGTGCCAAAAATGGGCGGGGTTTTATGTCTTACTAATTGAATTATAATTTAATTAGCTATCTTGGTGAAATTTCTATTAAGGTGAGGCTACTACGTCAAACTTTCGGATTGGAAAAAAATAGTTAGGGGATTCCTTGGATCTCTAATTAAAATAAGGCTAAGTGATCTCTCTCGCGGAAATCGAGCAAATTAGCACTTCGCAGTAATCTCTTTAGAACGAAACTTAATTAAAATATATATTATTGTTTTATATAAAAAAAATTGGGACTCTTTTTTATAGAAACTCTAACAAAAAGCTCTAAGGAGATAAAAATACAATATATTTAAAGACCCTCTTCTTAGCTTACGAATTTATTTGCTTAAATCAATGAATAACACTTAATAGGGATTTAAAATTTGTCTGTACTATTTTTTTTTGGAAAAAATGAATATACTTAACATTTTTTAAAGATTTATTTAAATTATTATTTGTATCTTACCACCAGCATTTCGATTATGTATTTCAGTGGGATATATCCAATTTTATAGCGCTGTAATCCGATGTTTTGATGACCACTCCACCGCACTTTCTGCTTCGCTTCCAGATGATGCACGCAATCAAATTGTAATTTTCGAATCGGGACAGAAACAGAAACTAATCAAATGCGAATTAGCTGCTAACGTTTCCTTTATTGTATTTGGATTATATTTATTTGATTTTCAGGTATAATGCCAATATGCCGCTGGCAGTCGGCCAATCCTCGTTGCACTTTATTTTCGATTAATTGCCAAATTTCGAATCGTTATTTTCCAATTAGCGGACAATAGTTCACACCGGCCGATAATTTTCGCGGCCCAGAGTTAGTAAGATTTTGTATTTTTTCTGCTTAAAGGTTGCCTTTTAGCTTCGTTGTGTTTTTTTGTTTTTATTTTTGGGGCGGCTAACCGCTGGCAGAGAAAAACTGAACCAAACCAAACCGTCTGAACGCTCGATGCAGACTGAGGCGCGAACGTTTCGAGGTTTCCTGGCCGAAGACAAAAGCATGGAGCGAAGACCAAAAGCCTGAAGATGCTGCAGATGTTGCTGCCGGGCGGCAACATGTTGCTTGTGCTTGTGCCTGGCATGAATGAAAGCCAGCCGAAGCAGCAGCAGCAACTCCAGCTTATTATGGCCATCTCTCGTTGTTTTTCAGCTTGAACTTGGCCAGCAGCCAACTGCAAACTTACTACACCTTTAATGGCCATCATGACGCAACGGAATTCTAGTGGAACTGCATTGCCTGGGGGTTAATTAAGCTTTATCCATTTACATTTATTTATATTTTTGGATTTTATGCTGCGTGTCTCGCTGCCAGACTTTCTCAGTTTCACGGCATTACCCAACATCTCAATCTCTGGTTTCGCTTTCAAGCCAAATCCTTGCCCCCAGCTTAATGATCGCTGCAAGCCAGTTCGGGCCAACTCTCACACGTGCCACAGATCAAAGTTGGCTTCCTGGCTTCCTCTTGGCCGCATTGGATGGCCAATTTTTTTGGGCCACTTCGCGGCGCGAATTTCTCTCGAATTAGCGCCAATTCAGCATGTAAATTAACTCATTTCTGAAGACGCATGTTTCAATATTCGATTTCCGCCTGCCTTTTTCCACTTCCGCTCAACTTTGGCACTTTCAATTATTTCTTCGATGAGCTTTGATGAGCCACTAAGTGCCAAACTGGCTAAACCTGGAAGCATCTCTTGGCCATCAATGGTTAAGTGAAGAAAAACAAGCAGCTTAAGGAAAAACTAGTGTTAATGTTTTCTTTCATTTCTGTTTCGAAGAAAACTATTTATAATTTCTAGAACAAATTTAGAAATAAATACAATATATGATTTGATACTGAATATAATTATTATAATACAGGGTTTTCCGATTGAAGATGTTTTATTGGAACCATTTTTTAACTAATGGAACATTTTACTTAAAATTAGAAATTTAGAATAGGTTAAAACAAGCAATTTTAAATTATTTAAATGTGATATCTAGTTTTTTAGTCCAAAAAGGTTTTCTTTATTAAGTAAATAAGTAATGCACCATTGCATTTAATAACAGCTTTTGGGTATTACCAAATCGTCGGTGGTATAACACCTTTTTGGGTAACCGTAACCTGCCTGGGAAATTGCCAGTTGGCGGGGGAGTGGAAAACAAATCCGAAACCCAAACCCATCCTCTGTCAATGGGGAATCGGCAGGCAGTGAAAAGCACTTTCCGCCACCCGACACGTTTCCACATGCCACTGGGAGGAGAGTCTCGGAGTCACATCTCTTAGCGGCAGATTATTTGGCAAATGCTTGGTAAAGACCAACAGAAAGCCACAAAAGCGAGCCAAAAACCAAAAAGCAAAAACCAAAAAGCAAACATCGAACACGTTGAACGTCGAATGGCAAACCAGCTTTCTTCGTCGTGACTTTTGATATTTGAACTGATGCCGAGACGCCTCGACGCCGCCGCCTGGTGAGCTTTTGAACCCGTTTGCACCCTTTTCCAACTGTTCCATGCGTTTTCCCCCTCCCATTGCCAATTTTCAATTTGACTTTTCCGAGTCCAAGTCGTTTGCTGCTCTGTATGCTGAACAAATTTTGATTGCGGCCAGGACACAACGGCTGCTGCACATGCGCCCATCTGGAGGCTGAACGTGATGATCCGCGGGCCATTTGTTGCTGGGGAGTTGGCGGTAAAATATCGCTTTTATACACTCAGACATTTCACATTCTGATTTTGTAGATTTATCAAGTCTAGTTTCGTAATTTAAAATACTACTATTTTAATTTAAAAAGTTACTTATACCTTATTTTAAAGGAAATATAATCGGGAGTGTCATAGAAATAAAAATGTCCAGGCTTGAAAACCCATCGATTAAAAGTTTATTTTTTAACGAGGTATAATGTTACAGATTTCATAAACTTTGTTGTTTTCATTTTTTTAGTCAAATATGAATTTATTTTAGTATTTTTTTCCTGTAACTTGGCAAAAAGAGATCCGAAATTTACCTGACGTACTTTTTTCTTCACCTAATAATGCAAATAATCAATTCCTATCACTTATCAGCGGACTTAAAAAATATTATTTTTTCCCATTTCCACCTTTTTGTATAAGGGGTCACATCATGATTTTTTTGTGAAAAATGGCAAAACATAAAAATATCCAGGTTTATATGCCAATCCATTAGAGATCCAATTACGAGCTCAACGAGGTATGACGTTCCGTATTTAGACTTAATTTCACATCATATCGGTTAAAATACTGCTCTTTGGACCAAAACATCCGAATTTCATTCCATACTTTTTGAATTCAACGAAACTCTATCTTCAACGATTCTGTATAACTTTAGGGAAATCTATGTTTTATTTTATTATTTTTTTAAAATTTAATTACTGAAATTAAACTAATTTTTTGGAATATTTCTAGTATCCTTTTTTTAAGTGCAGGACGAGAAATGGAAAATGCATGTTGCATGGTTTTACAGCTGGGATTCCTAATGAAGTTTTGCGGTTACGGATTGGCATCCGATCGGAGGTGATCTCAGCTGCCATAAATCAAGTTAACCGCAATTTTGAAGCCCCCCCCCATCGAGCTCTATTTTGCAACCCACCGGTGACCTTAACCACTTGACTCAATTCGCCACGCCTTGTGCCCACTACCGTTTATTTTTCATAGGCCGCATAATAAAGTCATCCATCTGGACAAGCGATCATCGATATCGAGGCGCCTGGGGCTAAGCTTTATTGTGACACTTGATTGAACCCCCCTTAGATTCCCAGGAGCTCCGAATCTCAGGCATTTATGATTGGCAGGGGCAAATGAAATCATAAATAGCAAAAAGAGCAACGAGTTCAATAAATGGCACAAACACAGCGGACAATCGAGAAATTTGTTTATAAATAAATTTGTATAAATTGCATAGATTTGACATAAGACAAAGGCCTTTGTGCCCCACGAAATAAACGTGTCAATGAGGGCCGCCATAATAATTTAAAATGCAAATAGTCGAAAGAGGCAATCGCAGATTGTCGTTTAAGGTGTGAAATATGAACGCGGCAGAAGCAGCTCTAATCTCCGGACTCCACACTCCATGGGAGGCGACGCGCTGAAACCCGAGAAAAGATTTGCCAACGCACCGCGGATAATCATATGCATCCAAATGTGTCTCTGAACTTCGACGGGGGGCCAGGGGGATGCCCATATATCCACTCTCGTTTTAAATATTACGGCTCTTTGGTTACATTTTACACTCGGGGCCTTGTCAGTTCCGGATTAGACAAAATTGCTTTTTAAGTAAGCTAAATCAATCATTTGACAGCAGCTTAATTGACCAACGAGCGATAGTCACGCCCAAAAAAAAGGGGCTATGGGATTGTCTTCGGGTTTTTGGACAGCTGCTGCTGATCCAGCTACCGGCTGAACTCTTGAACCCCACTTTTTTGGCCCATTGTGGATAGTTCAATGCCATGGCAGCCCGTTTTTCTTCGGCTATTTTTCATCGTGATTGAAATATGTTTGGGAACTTAAATGTCAGGGAAACTTGAAGGATTTTGATTGATGCATGAAGTAAGTGAAATCTTGCAGGCATTCAGAAAGAGAAATCTCTTTAGCTCAAAGTGAAAATACAAGAATTTTTCTATCTTCTGACTTTTATAATAACTAACTTAAGTAGATTTAACCTTTAATGGATTTATTAATTAGCTATGTGTAAAATTAACTTTCTGGGACCTAATTAAAAAGTTAAACCATTAAAAGTTAAGTGTAAAAAAGGAAAAAAAAGGCTTTTGTTTTAATTACTTTATCCAAATATTTGGCAAGGCTAACATTTCTATTTTTAAACAATGCCTGGCTGATGGCTTTTCATCTTTCAATCAACCCAATCAAAACTTGTTTTTCCTGCAACCTTATGAAGATGCTGCCAATTAATGGCACCCCGATTTACGAGCCATTTTTTAGGGCTTAATGATTATAACTAGTTAGCCATCGAATATTAATATAATCCATCAAATGAGATAATATGAGATGATTTCCGAGATCATTTGCTTTCTTTATTTGTTTATGCCTCGGGCCGATAAAATTTATACATTTATGCGATCCACTATATTTTTCAGGCCAAAAGATACATTTGATACGTTTCGGGATGACGTCCGCCTCATAAACAACAAAATGCCCGGCAATATCAATCAATTATTTCGGATCCACTCGCATCTGAAACTCTAGAGCGCGACCCAGCCCCGGGTTTTATGTAACAAAGTGGCTTAGATTTCGAGACATCTAGTAAAATCATAAATCTTGTGAATATTTTCGTTCGCCGATTGCGTCAACTTTGCGCACTTTGCTTTACATATTAGAAATTCATTTGGTCTTCTGCTTAAGCTCTTTCGGGTGATTAACATTTTGTTGAGCCAACAAATTGTAGGTGGTGCCTGGGGTCGCGGAAGATGCAAACATACCTTATAGACGGAGGGTGGGCATCGGCGAACGCCCACTTGTGCTGCGTGTGAAAACGGATTGGCCAAATTAACAAAGACTAAAGGGTTTTGCCATGGTCCAATACTCTGTCTTCTTTTTGGGCTCAACCGATCTTTTGTTATGCTGATTGTCCGTAATTTGTCATACGTTGCGGGCCGACTAATGAAGGTTGACGGGGCTTATGGAGCAGCCGGGGACATGACAGTTCATTTTCAACACATCTGTGAGTGATTCGCTTTGCGGGGCAGTCGCGAGTGACTCCCACAAATATTGATACACTGTGAGTTACGGCGGTAATAAGTCAGGCTAGGGAGCTACAAGGAATACTCAATCTTAACTAGTTCAACTAGAGCCCTGCATGAATAGATTCAATTAATTATTTTGAATTTTTTGTTTTATATTAATGAATTAATAAGAATATAGAGTTTAATAGAATTGAATGAATTTTGAGTTTAATAGAATTGAATGAGTGAATGGCATACATTCCGAAATAATTCAAACGAAAATTTCTTTTAAAGAAGAAAGGGCCATAATTTTGTGATTTAATCTGCATTAATTTTATTTTCTGAGCAGTTTAAATAGATTTGTTAAAAATTTTCCACTTTTTGTTCTCAAAAGAAAGCACAAAAAAAAATCAGGCAAATTCATAAAAATTATTCATTCATTCATTCAATTCGAAATGAATTAGAAAAACATTGAAACATTAAATTAAACAAATCAAAAATTTCATGGCATACTATGATAAAACAAAAATTGAATGATTCACGCAGAGCTCTAATATCAACCGTCTTAATCATTTTTTCATTGCATACAATTTAATATATCGAAGACTCTCGTTGCCTATTCGGTAAACACATTTCAATAGCTTAACCTAGAGCAAAACATTAAAAATTCCTACTCGGTTGCTTCCGCCAGCGGCTTGGTTTCCTTGTGGGCCAGCGCCCAGTCCATGACGTACTCGCGCAGACTGGACAACGCGAGGACGGCGGGCGTCTCGAGCTGCTGATCCTTGGCCAGCCAGTCGCAGTACTCGGAACGCGAGCAGGCGCCAGAGCCGCCAAAGCTCCGCACGTAGCGCACTCCCGCCAGCTGATCCGGCCAATGACGGGAGATGCACTCGAACAGGACATCCAGCTGGGCGGCGGACAAGGCACGATGCTGGCCACTGGCCGAGCCACTCTTCCACAGAACGTTGAGCAGACGACCGAGGCCGGGAACCGAAATCCTTGGCGAGAGCAGCGGCAGTAGTTGCAGCACCAGGCGATGGACTCGCAACTGGATGTGCTCGTAGTCCGGCAGCTCCGAACGGGAGGCGGCCAGGGAATACCACAGATTGTTGACGATGCTGATGACGCCCTCGATGATGTCGAACTGATGGAACTCCGTGTCGCGAATGACGCCGACCAGCCAGGATAGGATGCCTACGTGTTCCAGCATGATCTTCACGGCTCCGGGTATCTTAACGCAAGTAGAGAGCACCGACAGCAGCAGCAGGTTCGTTTCCAGAGTGGCCAAACTGGAGCCGTAGAATCCGAGCAGCACCTTGAACGTATTGGTGGACACCAGCAGGAAGAGATCGGCGCTGCACTTGATGCCGCACCTCAGTAGCTCCACGATGAACTCGCGGTACTGCTGGTGCTCCGGTTCCTGCGAGTAGAAGAACACATTGAAGTCGGGTATCGTCTGAAAGTTGAAGCTCTGCTTCAGCCGCAGATACATCATGAGTCGCTTGTACAGCAGATGCGTTGGCTCGGTGCTGAGATTAAAGCTGTGGGCGATGAAGAGGGCGGGGATGCAGGGGAACCCTAGGCGTTCCGCCATGCGTTCTCCTCTGCGCCAGCCACGAGTTTCTCAGCTCGCTCAGTCCGGCCTGAATGTTCTCGTAGGCCTGCGTCCACAGCGGACGCTCGTAGAACTTGGAGAGCTCAAAGTGGCTGCGATAGCGTTGCTGGCAACTGGCCGCCGCCAGTCGCATGTCCTTGTCCAGCGAGGAGAGTCCACAAAAGGTTACGGCAAGCAGACCATTCTGCACTGGCCAGCGGGCCCAGACCACTGACTCCGGGGCGAAGCAGTGCATCATCAGGGGCAGCAGAAAGGCGGGATCGTAGCAGGTCTCGTAGACTTTCTCGCGCTTCGGGCAGATGCGTCGCAGTTCCTGCGGGAAATCCTCCTGGCCCTGCTCAACCATTTGCTCTAATAGATTGTCACCGAAATTTTGGGATTTCTTTGCAGGATTTTGAAACTCTACGGCTGGCAGCTGTTGGCTGGCATGCAGGCTCCTCCAAATCGGGAAATTCTCAATGGTGTACTCGCTGGTCTCGCGCACAATCAGGGCCAGCACCTGGGCCACGTTCGTCTCCTGCTGCTGCAGCCTCGCTCGCTCATCCTCGTCCGCAGCTCTCAAAGCGTAATGGGCCACAGCACTTTCGCCCCAAATGAAAGGTCGGAATTTATCCAATCCCACGTCGAAGCGTTCGTAGTGCTCCAGCAGGGCCAATCCATAACGATCCGCCGGCGACAGTTTGGCATGATAGGAGCCCAGAATTACGGGCACATGGGCGGATTGCAGGGCACTGGGTGCCTTTCTGGCCAGCGCCTCCATGAGCTGTAAAATATGTGTTTTGGTTGCACTTGTGGCGCCCAGTAAATGATCAAAGCAGCAGGAATGCGTGCAAATCATTTCGTATAGAAGTGCAGGCGTGGGATCCTCCTGCTGCGCGTCCTCCTTGTAATCCTCGTACATTCCATCACACAGAAAGGCCATCAGCTTGAGCACTAGGCCATTGCTTTCATCCTGAAGGGGAGATCGTTCCTCGCCGAGATGCAGGGCCAATTTCAAGCAGCTCTTGCAAAAGTTCAGCCACTGCGGGTTGTTCAGCAAGCGACTCCAGTCGAGAGGTAGATCCTTGTTGTGATTCACTTTCCACCACTCGAAACAGTTCCAGGAAATTTGCTCCAGCTTGGTCAGATCCAAAGACTGCTTCTTCAAATCCAACGTTAATAGTTGAACATTTAGGTTTATGTAGTTTACAAAGACGGTGGCTTTTTGCTTATCATCCTTGGCGGCAGAAAATGCCTGCCAGTAGATCTCCCGAAGGACTCGCACCTGGAAGAGCTCCATGGCGTCAAGTTTAAGCTGTTTCTGGCAGTAATCCAAGCACTCAGACTTGGGCATGCAAAGGGCAATAAGCAGGGCACTAGCTCCCGCATGCTCTCGATAGATTAAAGCCGCCTTCTGCGGCTTCTCGATGCTCTTCATGAAGCCATTCTTGTAGGTCTGATAGCAACGTTGAAGCACTGCTTGAGGTATTTGGTAGTTCTTGGTCAGGGCAATGTCTAGCAGGGGATAAACCAGCTCCTTCTGCTCTAAGTTGCTGGGCAGCAGTTCGGCGAATTTCTCAGCTAACCTCGGCTGACGTTCGAGCAGCAAGCTGGCCAAACGGATGGCGGATTTGCTCAGCTTTCGGGAGGATGTAAAGAAACAGGCAAAGAAGTCGCTATCGCACTCTTCCAGGTGATGATGGTAGGTAGTCAATAGCTGCAAGAGAGCAGCCTCCAAAGGTTCCACCTGCTGTTCACTCAGTTCGCAGAAATCCTTGTAGAAAATCAGCAGCACCTTAAATGACTTCCTGCAGTCGATGGGCTCCTTTAGCGTGGTCAGACGACCCAGCAGACGCAGTAGTAGGTCAAAGTAGTGATTGGGTTTACCGCTCGGAATAAAGTCCTTTGCCTGCACTTTGGTTGTAAGTAAGTCGAGCATCTGAGCGCATTCGCTGGAGGTCAACTCGAATGAATCCACCAGTGCCACGAACTCGTCGAGTTGCTGTTGATGCTTCAATTGATCCACTTGTGCATCCAAAGCAATGTCCAAGGTCTTGATCAAGTGTATTCGGTAGTTGGCAGTGTAAGTCTCAAATCGTGGCAAACTGCGACAATGTTCAGTCAGTTTCCTGAGGAATATGACATAGTTTAAGCGGGACTCGCTCGTCTCACTGAGCATTTCTGTGGGATGCAACTCCCACAGGCGGATGTTGAAGATGTAGTGCAGCAGACTCTGCGTGTGCGTTTCGTCCTGCTGCTGCTGATCATCCTCCTCCTGAACCGCTTCCTTGCCATCGTCCACCTGATTGGCGATTTGCAGGAACTTGATTAGATATTCCGCCGTTAGCTCGGCTTGAACTCTGCTCAATCGCTGAGTGGTGAAAAGATGGCTGAAGACGAAAAGGAGATCCTGGACGTAGATCATGTTGCGACGCGGATTGCCGAGGCTGAGGTGCACCAACATGGTCTGGCCTTCGCCCAGCTGCAGCTCGAAGTTCTTGTCCGGCAGCTCCACTTTAAATACCTGCTCGAAGGGCTGGGAATCCCCATCGGTGATGGCTTTCCTCATCTGCTTCAGCAGGGGCCACTTGTCGGCTAAAAGGGAAGGTAGTTTCTTCGCTTTTTCCTTACCGCTGCCAGTCAGCCAGCTCCTCATATAGTCACTGTGCTTTTCTAGGCTACTCTCGTACAGATGCAGCACCTGCTCCGGTTTGCTGTGGTAGTGGAAAAGTAAGATGAATACCAGCTCCACGTAGGCGTCGTAGGGTTCCTCCAAATCCACACCCTGCAGTAGCAGCGGCATCATATTGCTCAGCGTTACATTTTCCACATAAGCCTGCACCGTTTGGCCCTGCTCGATTTGGGCAAACAGTTTGCTTAGGTTCTTCGTGTTAATGGCTGTTTCAGCAACACTGAGCTTAGGAAGCTTAATGTTTCTCCAATCCAACTGAAGGATCGTCAGCAGGATTTCCACCACATTGGTCACTGTTTCCGCATCGAATCCGATTAGAGCCTCTAGCCAAATGTTGATCTCATGGCTGCACGAGTCAAACAATCCCGTGTTGTGGAACAAGCGGTGCAATATGTTTCCCGCCTCTGACTTAATTGACACATCCTCCAGAGTGTAGGCTTTTATGAACGATTGGAAGACCTTGCCAAAAAGCAATTCCTGAGGGTTTAAAGATCGCGGAAAGAGCAAAAGAATGGTTTTAATCGACTTTAGCTCCAGTTGAATCTTTTCCAGCTCCTGCGGTTCATTCAGGTTATCAAAATCGGTCTGATAGAGTGGTCGCAAGACTTCCAAATAGTCCAGAATTTGACTGGTCTTGTTCACAAAAGCCCGATTCTCCTTGCACATCAGCAGCACCAGGTCCAAAGTGACCGAAAGGCACTCCAGCACATTGACACCCTCTACACTCTTCTGTTTGATGGACAGGAACAGCGAGTATAGAATGGACTCGACCGTGGGAAAGTGGACCAGCAGGTGATTGAGTAAATCGAACTTGAATTTACGCAGTGAGTTGCCGGCCTTTTTTGACTGCTCCCGTACGGCGATGGCATGCACATAGTTGCTGTACTGTTTCATCATGGACAGAAGCAGGCGCTGCACGGCCATTCTCAAATGGAAGTCACCATCGCTCAGATATTTCTTACCGGTGATGTGCAGCAAGGCTTCGATGGGCAGGCACAGCTGCTTGATCCAAAATCCAAAGTCCGTTAGAGTCATCTTATCGAAAGCTGTGCCCAGAGCACTCGGCGGAACTGCATCGATGACTTGGGACAGGAAAATCGCAGCCTTGGACACATCCTCCATTCTAGTCCTCGCCGGACTGAGCAGGAGCGAGAAATTCCTCACAGTATTGCGACCCAAATCCGGACAGGCAGTCAGTGTTTGAATGACCAAATCGGTTTTGCGCGGATTGTCGAAGGGTTTGTACAGGGAGCCCAAAAGCCTGCCCTGCAGTTTGTTCTGCTTCTGGCGATAGTGGGTCATGGCATCGAAGCAGACGCCGTGCTTGCGAGAGGTCAAGAGGACCAGCAGCAGTTCGTGGACTGCAGCGGAAACTGCTTCCGCTTCCTGCGGATTCGGAGGCTTTCGCTCCTTCTTCTTTTTAGTATCGAAAAACGTGGGCAGGCCTTTGGGTCCCTCCCAGTCGTAGAGTCGCCGCAGGCTCTTGCAGCACTCCAAATCGAAAACCAGCACCTTCTTTGTCTTTTGTATGTCGGGGTTCTCCAGCACATATTGCCTCAAAGCGTTCACCACCACGCAGACGGTTACATGGTCATCGTGGACCAATCCCTTGGCCAGCACGCCGATCAATTGACCCCGGTCCAGGATGTTCCGGATGAGCAGTGTGTTGCCATCGACCAGGAAGGCCAGAATAAAGTGTATGTACGCCTTGCGCACCGTGTCCTCGTTTTGGTAATCGTTCTTGGCATGCGACAGCATCTGCTGCATCACAGTCACGTTGGAGAGCACGTCGTAGGAGTTTAGAACCTGGCGTCCCAATTGGGGCTCCACGCAAACGATGGCCGTCAGCAGTTTGAGGGCATTGCGCCGATGGCTGGGCCGCGCCGACTGCAGCAGATTCTCGAGTACTCCGCCGTGAACCTTGAGGAAGTAGCGACAGCCATGTACCGCCGATTCCAGGTGGTTCTTCTGGTTTGTGAGTATTTCCATCACAACGCGCTGCAGTGCCTCTGTGAGGTAGTCGACATGCAGAAGGTTGCTCTTGTCGATCCTCTCGAAGGCCTCCGCGAGTTCCAAGGGCTTTCCACGCTTCTCGATGTACTTGGCCGCCAGTTTGGGTCGACTGGTGGAGCACATGAACAGGAAGTGCCGCACTTCTGGAATGCGAAATCAAGGTATTAGCTAGTCTTTTATATTTCTAATGCCCTCACCTGTTATAAAGTTATTGCTGCGCAGCTTGGTGCGGAAGTGCATCATCTTGAAGTCGTTGGGAAAGCGTATGTTGGTTTCCTCCGGTTCTATGCCGGAATCTGGACTTATTTCATCCTCATCGGGCTGTGTATCACCACGTTTCTTGTGCTTCTTGGAGGGAGATTCGCCCGCCTCCGCTTCCACCTGTTGCTCCTCATTTTCCTCGGGGGTTTTCGGTTTTCTGGGTTTCCTTTCTTTTTTCTTTGAGGGAGTGGTGTCTGCAGACTCGGTTCCATTTGTTTCCGGCGTGGTTTCATCCAATAATCCTTCTGTTTTATTCACCTTTTTCTTTTTCTTTGGCGTGTCGGATTCCTTGGCCAGTTTCTTGGGCACCTCCACTTCACCCTCATCCTGCTGCTCTGCGTCCGCCTGCTCGTGCTTCCTCTTCCGTCGGTTGGGTTGAATGGCCATTCTGATTTTATATTTCTATTATAAACCCCTAATTGACAGCAGAAATCGTTAAAAATAAAAGTTAAACACAAAAACAACCGCACACACGTGCTGGCGGAGAATGGTATGACCGTTTTGCATGTACTGAAAAATACCCCTCCGCTCTAGTGCTGGAAAACGCGACATTTGGCGCGCAGTTAAAATGTCAACTAGCACAAAAACAGATACTTGTTCAAATTGATAAAAGTTTTTATTAAATTTAGCAATTAGCTTATACTGTCAAACAATAAAGAACGTATTTTTACTACAATTATAACTACCGGGCTGCGTAATTGGAAAATCCGCCAGCCGCACGTTCGTGACTCATGATCCAATGTGCCATTTGGCAATTTACACTTTTCCCCTCGACGTAATCGTTTCTCTGTGGGTTTAACCGATTCTAGTCATCCTCCAGGGCCGCATTGGTGGCTCCTCCGGCTCCAGAAAATCCAGGAGCCGTGGTGGTGACCGATCCGGAAACCGGGAATTCCGGCAAAGTGGACCGCTGCTTTCCCGGAGCCGGCGGAACCGGAGGCAAATCCACCGATTTACTCGTGCCTGTAAACACACCGTTCATTAGTCGCTATTGTTTATGCAGATATCTGTAAATCACTTACTAAAACAACAACCCATTATGGTATACTCTTGACTGATTCTCCTGGCGAGTGGGCCAATTTGCTGAAAGTTCTTTGAGCACTAAATCAGGCAAATCAAATCGGTGGCCAATTGACGAGAAATGCGTATGTGTGCACCTGTGGCGTGCAAACGACTCATGGCTTATTGATAAGCACCGCTGTTACTTTTATTCTCTTTTTGTTTAAAATGTAAAGTGGGTTATTTATGACACCATGGGCAGGTCCGCTATCAAACTGTAGTTCCCAACGGGCTTCATGGGCCAGGTGGAAAAGGGCGCAGAACTATGGCCAAAGCGCACACTGCCAGTCGGGTATAACCGGAACGCAGCGACCAACAAACCAATTAAGATAAGCGCTTATCAGGGCAAACTGTTTTCAATGCTTCGCACTTGGCGCTTAAAATTCAATTGGTAAGCGAAATCGTTAATCGATTTAATCGATTACAGTTGACTCATTACTCCGCTCTAGAGCGCCTTAATATTTAAAAGCTTCTTGTAGTTTTCTTTTATCATGCATCATGTATCGTGGATTTCCCATAAAATAATAAAAAATCTCAGCTTTTCAACAAATTCAACAGGTAATTGAACCAGGTAGATAATAAAAATGTTTGAAAAAATTCAAATTTTGTAAATATGATTTGTTGTTTTGTTTTTGTAAATGTTGTTTTCTCCATTGTAATTTGCAAGTCGAATAAAAATAATAAAATATAAATAAAATGGTGTCAGTCCTGGTCAAAATTTCTGTTGTTCTTGGTTATTCTTAAGTTATAATTGCTTTTGCAGAAATGAAAGGAGTAATTTAAAATTATGTTTTCTCTGTCCTTAGTCTATATTTTATTAACTTAAAAATAAATAAAAAAGACAGGGATTCAGGATAGTAAAATAATTAACAAACTTAATTAATTTATTTTGTAGCAAAAAAAAGAAAATTCGTTTTTTAGTAAAAAAAAATCAAAATTAAAAATCTCCGTTCAGCGGAAAAGGTTTTAAAAAGGGTGTACTAAGTGAGGAACAAATAAGTGATAAAGGCAAAATTAAAAATCCCGCCAAACATTTTCATTTGTTTTCGTTTACTGGCCAGTGTAACCGTTCGTCGCCACCTCCGAAACTCCACGTTCCCAAATGTGTCGTGGGGGGCGGGGGCGGTGCGTTCATTATCAGCCGGAACGTAAACAGCGTCGCTGCTTTTCACGCTTTCCGATAAAAATGTTTAAATCACACTGTGTTAATTAGAGCCCAAATCAAAATCAATGCGCTTGTGGACGCGAACGACTCGAGATCGTGCGCGTGAATGCGGACTGAGCAGCGACTTTTACGGAAAACAAATAAAAACAAGAGAGCGACGAGTAGCAGAGTGCGTGCGAAGGCGTGATTGGTGATTTTCGGCCCGTGAACGAATCACGAGCAAAGCGGATAAACAAAAGCCATAAAAAACAGATTCGCACGAGAATAGAATCGAAGAAGTCTGTGCGCATAAATTACACTCCGGAATCGGAATTGGAATAGGAATTGAGTTTGGAAAAGTCAAGTCCCGCTTCCCTGGAATTCGGCGAGCCACCGCCATGGACGACGAGTTCAAGCTGTGCTGGAAGAACTTCCAGGACAACATTGCCAGCGGCTTCCAGAATCTTTACGACCGCGGCGACCTGGTGGACGTGACGCTCGCCTGCGACGGAAAGCTCCTCCATGCCCACAAGATAGTGCTGGCCATCTGCAGCCCCTACTTCCAGGAGATCTTCACCACGAATCCCTGCAAGCATCCCATCAGTGAGTATTAGACCACCTCGTCGGCGACCTCAGCTCGCCAGCTTTAAATGCTAAGTTATGCGACGGGTCTTACATTGTCTGCACCATACATATGGATATCACGCGGCAACTTTCTTATAGAGCCACCATATCCCTCCACAATTTGATTAGATTTTTTACAATATGATTCTTATATGATTACTTTGTTTTAGCTCTGTGATTATTCGCTTCCATTAGTCACTAATTAGTCTGTTTAGTCCTTGATTTTCCTTGGCCATACCATGCATTTGTAAGTAAGATCACAGTGGAGCCCCCACAAAGGCTTCTTACAATGTCTTGGCTTTGCCCTGGCCATGCCACTCCATACATATGTAAAATCCATCCAATGACTTCCCCAATAAGTTGTATATTCCGCCACCAATTGGTCAGGTAATGTCACGGAAAAGTGTCTGGTTGTTACATTGTAATATTGCTTTACCATTCCATTTAAATGTATGTCTAAAATAGTGACTTCCTCGTTGAGCCGCCGTATTCCTCCAGATATCGGTCAGTTTATCACTGGGACAGAGGTGTAAGTTTATCGAGGAGCCCGCCCGTCAGCCTGTCTGTTCGTCACTCTTGTCAACTGCTTAGATATAAATCAACCTTTGTGTTAAATTCCATGACACACTCGCTGGTTATCAGCCCAGCTCCACCTCCAGTTCGATTTCGAGTTCCAGTCGGAGTCCCAGCCACGGCAGCACGTGAAGGGTATGCTCTTTGGGGATACAGTATCACTTCCATAAAGCCAACATTTTGGAGCTGTAGATTTTAGACCATTTAAACCCCTTAATTCCGTTTTTATAGTCCAACTTCCTTATGATTATTTTTAGTTCGACGATGGTAATCAATTAAATTTAATATGCTAAAACATGATCGATTGGTAGCTAATCAGAATTCAATCATGGGTTGCTATAGTTTATTGGCTTATACAAATTATTAATTAGGTATTTAATATTTACTTTTTTTTTTACATTTTATAATCAAGATTAAATTGACCCTTTTTAATATACCACAATACCATTTCTAAGGATCAAGATAAAGTCACTAAAAAATATTTCAATTAGGTAGTTAATAATTACTTATTTTCTTTGCATTTTTTAATGATCACGATTAAATTTACCCTTTCCAATATACCACAATACCATTTCTAAGGATCAAGATAAAGTCACTAAAAAATATTTCAATTAGGTACTTACTAATTACTTATTTCCTTTACATTCTCTAAAGATCAATATTAAATTTACCCCTTTTAATATACCACATTACAATTTTTAAGGATCAAGGATAAGTTTTTAAAAAATATATTTAGTTCAATTTATATCCCTAACCCGATTTCAACGAAACTAAGAGTTTCTGATCGACAGTTGGTGTTCCAATTATCGCAGTTCCATCGTAGCTGATCGTAAATCTTAAGACAAACAGCAGCAACCCACAAAGAATCGAGGTTTGGTGATAATCCTCCAGCGAGCCGAGTGCCGCCACGTTGTCTATGTGGTAGCTGCGGAGGTCCTCCGCCTCCAGAGCCTCCACACTCGGATTGTTTACCCTCGCCACGCACGGGAGTATCCATCGTGATAAGGTCCATGGCTTCGATCGGATCGGGGAGATTGGGTGCGTTGCTGACCTCATCAAATGTACTTCAAATGGACTCTAGAACGGTGGTGTACTATACTATACCATACTATATATATGGTATATGGATATGATATCGCCGGGGCCCCTCCTGGTCGGTCCGATTCCGATTTCGTTCGCGGTCGTGTTGAACACGGCTGCCTGCTGCACGGTGGCTTTATCTGATCAGGCGGCCATAAAAAATAAGGTTTTATCTTTTCAAGTAGCAGCAGAAAGGTGCTACCTACCCACGAACCCGCAGCTACAAGAGGTATTTCCAAAGATAAAGAATATTAATATACCCTATAAATAAGCGGGGGCAAGTTATTAAAAATAGACCAACCAACAACAGTCATCGAGGTGCTAACAAGCCAAATGGCTTTGCTTCGTCTCGATGTTGCTTTATGTTGTCGTGTGGTATGTAGGTATGTAGTGAAGTAGTGTGTACTGTGTACTGTGTAGTATGTAGTGTGTAACACGCAGGAACAACAATAGTCTAAATATTTTTATCTTTTTATCGCGTTTAACAATCATTTATTGCCCAACTGAGCAACTGGGTCCCCGTCCCCCTTTTAGCCACTCGAAGACTTTAGTTTTCGAGATATTGATTAGAGAGCTTCGCATGGTTGATATATGTACGAGTTTCCGCTGCTGCGGCCGTGTAAATCAATCCACTCCGTCTGGGCCAAGTGGTTATGGCTATTGTGTTATATCTGCCCAGCAGTCCCATTCCCATTCCCCAATACAATGCTAATCCTCGAAAATTATCTATTTATTATTGGCATAAACAAGACGGACATCGTCTGGGGGCAGCGGTTTTATCAGCCTTGCGTTTAGTGCCAACCACTTTACTTTGGGTATCACTCTTGATCGTAAAATAAGATTTTGAACTTATTGCTCGTTAGATAACGCACTCAGACAACCGCAGCATGTGCCAAGTGTGATATTGGGCCTCTCCAGTAACCAAGAACCAGGTCCAAGCCACTTCCATTCCACATCCCCTCGCCACCTGGCATTTCTCTTTCCACTCCCGATTTGAAGTAGCCACGGCGATCGAATATAGCCGCAGTTGCTTACCAGCCATAAACGTTCGGTTTCGGAGAGATAATATAATATCGATCGCTGGACTTGTCGTAAATATTAAATACCCAGTGTTATTAATATATTGCCGGTCCGTGACTAAAGCAAAGACGTTGGGTTTTTTTTTGGGCTCGACTCCCGAGGGGGTAAACAATTCTTTTATGGAGGGTGCACTATTTTTTTGTTCACCAAATTAATCCATTTTCGACCATGTTGGACTTTGTGTTCACGTTCGCTGAGAACTCGTAATCTTTAATTTGTTTATTTCGAAGTTATAGGCGTGCCAAGATTATCAAAAGTGCTTTAATTGCCATGAAACTAGAGAAGATCTGAGTGGATTGTGTCATTTTGGAAGGGCAGTGATTTGTAAAAATGTATTTTTCTTCGTTTAGAGTTTGGAAATTAGATTAATTTATTGTTTTTGTACAACAATTTTAATATACCGAAATAAACAATGGGAATATATTAATTTAATTCAGTTTTTGTTAGTATTGAAATAAACTGTTTTCTATTAAAATCAAAAATTTATAAATTATTTTAGAAACCTCAAAAAAAAAACATCTCAAATCTTTGAAATTTTATTTAATTAGTTATTTTTAGAACCAATACTAGGAAATATCATATTAGTCAGAACCTTTTTTTTAATTCATTATTTACATAGAAATCAGAGAATTAAAAAGTAAACCAATATTAGGTGCGAGTCTCTACGTATTATCGAATTTATTAAACCCTCCTACAGTTTCCGCTTCTGGGTTACCCAATCGATCGCATTAATAGCTGTTTACGTATAGCCGTACTTTATGGTCTCTTCATATTATATCAAACTTTGACTTTGAGCATATGAAATTTCATAAATGCTTTTATTGGCCATTTGTGTTGACAATTCGTAATTTATGGGCCCGCTGGAAGCTAGAAGCCAGTAGCCAGTGGTATAGTGGTTGCAAATAGACCTGGCAATCGGCTAAGCTCGAATAATCCCTGGGCCAGCCGGACTCCTTAGAGACATTGGCAATGGATTTATTTTGGGCGGGAAAGGGAGGAATCAGAATCTATGACTGGCCTCCTTGACGTTGGGTTGGCTGGTTGGCCTGTCGCTGGGCTTCTTGGGCTTTTATCAGGTTGTACTACCACCAGCACGACAATTCGATTCGACTACTCGACTATTATGGCGTTCGGAGATAACAAATATTTATGAATGTTTGTGCGACGACATTGTCAAAATGAGGCAGCCCACTCCACGACTCGACGAGGGGAACAACAACAACAGAACCTATTGGCGTTCTGATTCGATAAACATTTATCATAATCATAAAATAAAACTGTTTTCGAAATCGATCGCCTGCGATCCGATTGGTGGAAGCGTTTGGAGTGGGCGTGATCTTGAGAGCGAGGGTGTTGGGGCCCGAAACAAATCAGAAACGAGCCAAGGAAGATATCGCTGCAGTTCCCCAACCCAACAGGCAGCCCCGCAATCTGAACACCCTCGATCTACTTTCGGGCCCCTCTGATATCAGCAGGGATCAGCGCGGGTCAGGCGCCCATTAAATCCCCCTGGCTGCCATATATGGCATACATTTAAGCAAACAGCGATCGAGACGGGATGATCTGACTTTTGGGTACTGTCGATTTCCTTATCAGCAGCATGCACGGATTTATCACGTTCTCCGTGAACTTTGGACAGAGTTTATCTAGGGGCTACGGGCCGGGTCCATAAATGGTTTATTGATTCGAGAGAATTCTGTGTATGGATCTCTTTGTCTTGATCCACCGAGAGTCTTTATCTCGGGCGATGCCTTTGAGAAGTAAGGCGAATGATAGTGATAGTGGGGCTTAAGTATATTGACTGCTCCCCATATATGTAATCCCGTATCTATCTGGCATCAGTAGTCGATGTTCGTACTGTACCCCGTACTGGAGCAATATATTGCCCGGATTTTGATCTTCGCCATGCGATCAGATAGATAGATAGGCGAGACAAAATGATCCGTAATGACGACTACGGCAAATGATAGGGCACAATTGATGTCGTCGCACGGTCAGATTAAGCAACTGAGTTTGTCTGTTGCTGATCGGCGATTTAATATTGTATTTACATACAGCCGTACAAATGTACGGTACGATGTATGTACGCCTGTTTGTGTAATAAAATTGTTATTGAGAACAAGTGATAATATTGTTTTTAACTAGATGTTGATGCTGCGAGGGACAGGCACAGTGGGCAGGGGTCGATGGGAAAGTACTGATAAGGATCAGTCGCAGATCAGCAACTATTTAATAATCACAAGGGGAAAAAGTTCGAAAATAAAACCTTCCACTTTAACTACTTTGAGTTAAGGCCAAAAATTTTAATTAAAAAAATATGTGATTTCTTTGAATTACATTCCTTACCCTTTTTTCTTAATTTTGGACAATTTTTTATATAGATTACAAATTTAGGTATATTAACTATTGACCATTTTAGAAAAATATCTTGTTATATTTATTTTTGTTCAAATATAGGTAAATTATGCATTATTTCAAATAATACAAATAGGTTAAACTTACAACCAACTTGAGTATCAAGAAAAAAATTCCTTCCAGCAAATTGGTTAAAATTATAATCAGAACCATCACTAAAACAAATTTAAACATATTTTTAAAGTTCTTAGAAACACAAGCCTTTTTTATTACTCGCTGTGAACTATTAAATATTAAAACTTATGTGGCATGATCTCGAGCTCAGGGGTGAGATAACAGATCGGCCCCACTGTGGATTGTATTCGAGTCCGGACTGTTTCACAGCTTCTTAGGCCGTTTCGAGAGCACGCGGATGATATGTCATGCTACTTATTTTATAATTATTGCTGTGCTACTGCGTTGCTGTTGTTGAGTTTATATTTAAGTTTTCAGATTTCTTATCATAGCTGTTTTTATGTATTGATTTAGTATTTGAGCGTTTCGATGATAACATCTCAACTACGAATGTGACCTCCTTTCCTCCTGATGTTATTGTCGTTTATGTAAACAAGCAATTACGTTGAATAATTTTTGGAAGAGGGGGAAATCATAAAACTGTTTGTAATCTGTCTGGAAACATTTAAAAATTCCCCTAAAATTTAGAGCGCATTTAAAATATTCCCCAAGATTGTTGACAAACACGTTTTTGGATTTTTCCAAAATTTGTGGACTTTTAGTGAAAGACTTTATTTTGTACTTTCCCGAATTAATCAGAAATTGAATTCCAGATGTCATCAATTTATTTTCTAACTGGTGGACAACCTGCTAAATATATTTCTTCAAACTTCTTTATCCTTTTTAGTCATACTCAAAGATGTGAGCTTTAACATTATGATGGAGCTGCTGGAGTTTATGTACCAAGGCGTGGTGAATGTAAAGCACACTGAGCTGCAGTCCTTCATGAAGATTGGCCAGCTGCTGCAGATCAAGGGTCTGGCCACCAATTCCAACTCCTCCCCCGGATCGAGTGTCTCGGAGAAGTCTTCTAGTCAGCCTCCCGCGGAAGAAGCGAATAGCACCAACCACCACAACAATTCCAACTCTAATAGCAATAACAATAGCAAAACAGAAGCGGATCACAATGAATCCAAGGGACAGAGCAATTCGAGGACCACTTCGCCAGGTTCTGCCGGCAGAGCGTCCTCCAACGAAGCTAGCCACCTGTATACGTCCAGCAAACGACCCATGCCGTCGGATTTTGGCAGCGATTCCCTGTCCATTTACTCCGGCAAGCAGCTGAGGCGCTCCCTCAAGGATCATGGGTCCGGGGGAAGCGAAGGTGGCGGCGGCGGCGGCGAGAATGCGGATGGTGCAGCTGGATTGGACAGCAGCCTGAATTCCGAGGAGTTCTTCCTGCCGCCCATTCCGCACATAACAATGGGAGAACAGCGTTACGATCTCGGAGGCCTGAAGCGCGAATCCGATGGTCATCATCATGGTCCATCTTCGGGCGGCGGAGGTGGTAGCTCGGGCAGTCTCACTTCCTCGGCCTCGCCCTCTGCGCCGATCCGAAATCCCTTTGCCCCGGCCTTCAATCTGGACAACTACAACTTCTACAAGAGCAGCGGCAACAGCAGCGGTCCCAGTGGCAGTTCAAATAATTCCCTGGGTCCCGGAGGCATCAACAACAATGGATCCGTGGGCCTTTCCTCTGGCACCGAATACCCCAACGAATTGTACATGCCCAACGATTACTCGAAGAACTTTGCCAACCACATGGACATTCCCTCAAGTAGGTGACCTCTTTTGGCACTCTTTTGATCACTTTTATGTTGCATGCAGCTTGGCACTCATTTTTGTATTATTATTTTATTCTTTGTAAGATTGGGTTTCTGTTTCGCACTCATCGTTTCGCTTACATAACATCAGCATTCATCCCACGAACCCACTAGCCCACTGAACACATTGCAACTAACCAGGAATGGAACCGAATGGAAACACCTAACAAAGCCGCGATTGATTGTAGAGGGATATTTGCTGATTTAACTGGGGTAAAAGTATTAAGCAGAAGTACTTGAATCGAAGGAATAGTTAGATAAACAAGAGATAGCTCTGACTGCCCTCGAGATCCATTTGTTCAACCGACTTGGCAGACTGGTGGGCCTCAAGGCACAGGTTTTGATATCTTTTAAAGGGGGTTGCAATATTGAGAAATATTATAGAAAATACAAAATGAAAATTTCAAAATATATAGGTTCTTAATAGTCGATTTTCAAAAGTCGTTGGAAAATATTTGATTAGAATTCAATATTTCGGTTGAAATATCTATTAAAAATCTTTAAATTGTGATATTTTTTAAAAATAATTAAAAGTTTTTAGGTTCTTAAAAGTTAATTTTCAAAAGTCGTTGGAAAACATTTGATTAGAATACAATATTTCGGTTGAAATATGTATCTATTAAAAATCTTTAAATTGTGATATTTTTTAAAAATAATTAAAAGTTTTTAGGTTCCTAATAGTTGAATTTCAAAAGTTGTAAAATATTTGATTAGAAAACAATATGTTGGTTGAAATATTAACTAAAAACCTTGTGTTATTTTTTTTTAAATAAGTCAAATTTATTTTAAATTTTATTTCTATAGAAAAGATATTGTTTTATTTAAGTTTTAAATTAAATTCATGACAAATAGCACTTTAGGTAGTTCGATTTAGATTATAGATTTATAACATTTGTAGTTGCATTTTAGAGCTTTTAATATTGCCCTCTCAAAGTAGTAAAATCGAATCCTTCTAAAACCTAACAAACCGCACAGTATCGCGAGCACGCACACCCAATCGCTTATTTTAAAAAGAGGATTACAGTGAATCCTCCACCACTATCCAATAGCTTGCCCCGCCCCCCTCCTCCCCTGTAAATAACCCCCTTGAGCGCTCCAGCGTAGAACAGACCACTAATGATCCACCATTGTCCGGAGCAGGCGGCAGCAACATGGTGATGCTGTCCACCACCTCGCTGCTCCACGGCAACTGCGTGTTCAACCGCAACAACACGGTGGCCACGCAGCAGGGCATGAAGACCTACTGGCTGTGCAAGTCCTACCGGATCAGCATGTGCCGGGCGCGGTGCATCACCCACCTGGGCAGGATCATCTCGGCCACGGGCGTCCACAACCACACGCCGCACATGCGCGGTGGTCAGGGATCGTCGGCAGCTGCAACATCCTCGGTTTCTGGCACTCCCTCTGCCCCAGCGCCGATTCCCAGCCAGGCGGGCTACTCTCTGGCCGATGGTGGAGGCCACCTGAGCTCCGATTTGCAGCACGGCAACCGAGTGAGCAACATGTTTGCCAATCAAACGCCTCCACCGCCGCCGCCGCCACCGCCACTTCCCGTAACATCAGCGCCGCACCACCCGCATCATCATCATCACCATCTGGGACAGGCGCTGCCCAATCTCCTGGTGCAGCACCACCCGGCGCCGCCGCCGCACATTGAGCAGCATGGCGGCTCGGCGAACCTCATGCACAATCCCAATCTGATGCACCTGCAGGCGCAACAGCAGCACCAGCAGCAACACCACCAGCAGCACTCGCCACACAATGCACCACCAACCCAGCAGCATAATTTGGATGCTGGAGCAGTGCTCCTCTCGCCGGCGCATTTGCAGCAAAGTCCGCAATCGAATCGCAGCAGCCACTCCCTCCAGGCACAGAGTCCACCTCCTCAGCCAGTGGAGGAGCAGCACCAGCAGCAACAGGAAGGAGCCACCACGGAGGGAGCCACGGATTCCAGCGCGGCTCACGTGATCAACTCCATTACCATATCCCCCAACAGCAGGCACACCTTCAAGATGGAGAACATGTAAGGGGATTCCCCCTTCGGAGGAGTAATTTATTTTTGCCTAGCTAGAGTTTGTAGTAGAAAATTGAATTTGATTCGAAGACGAGAGAGATGGTAACCAATGTAAATATTTGATAAAAGAATGATATGCGAACCGATAAACCAAAAAGTACTAATGGGCGCTGTGAAATGAATCCCAGATTAAGCTAATTTTGGATATGTTTCGTGGCCCTGTGCGTATATCAATGGGAATTCCAGCCACTAACCAAATAGAAATAGGTTTACCTTAATAAGCTAGTGTATGTTGCATTACTGGTCCGAAATCGGAGTTATAACATAAGATCTAATGGGTTATTTAACATCTACAACAAGCGGGTAAGTAAACTGCATGAAACACATAAAAACACACATATTTTGGGCTCATTCGTGTACGTCCTGGCATCCAAAACCAAAACATAACCAAGCGAGGGATACCCATCAGCAGCCTCACCCGAACCGATCCTCACCAGCCTTCTCGTCCTCTCGTCCTGTAGTCGCACCCGGCGAGCACTGGTTCCAGGGCAAGCTGGAGTTCATGCTGAGCCAGCGCGGCAAGCCGCTGCTGGTCCACGACGGGCACACCTTCGGCATCCAGTACGTGCGCAAGGACAAGAAGTACTGGCAGTGCAACCTGTCGCGCAAGTTCAACTGCAAGGCGCGCGTAACCACCACGGATACGGGCGACATAATCGTGACGAACAACGAGCACTGCCACACGGAGATACGCCAGCATTTGCGCAAGGACTACCAGCGCAACAAGGTGATGATGAACGCCCTGATCAACCTGAGCACCAATCACATGCGGCGCAACCATATGAGCGGGCTTGGCTCGCTGCCCATGGTGCCAGAGGTCCTGGCCCAGGGCTCGCCCATCCACGAAATGGTCCAGAATCTGCACGAGATGGCGGCCAAGGCGACGGCGGGGCAGCAGGAACCGCTGGACTGCGGACTCCGATCCTCGGCGGCGCTCGAGGAGATGGCGCGCAGCTTCATGGCCAACAGCAAGCCAAGCATCTCCTTTCCGGTCAGCGAATCCGATACCAAAGAGGAGCCGTCGTGGAAGGAGAAGAGCGAGGGCGACGCTTAAACTAGGGCTTACATTCAAAACAGTTAAGTACAAAAATGGAATGATTGCAATAATACTCAAATACACTGAAGACGGCGTAACCAAAACAATTCCAAAGAATTTAGTTAATACATAAGCGAACGTACAATCCAGAGCACTTCCATGAGTTTCTTTTATCGTTTTTATTATTATTGTACGTTGTAATAAATGTTGAATTTGAATAAACCTCTTTTATACGAACTACACATTAGATGTTGATCACGCGGCTCAGCTTCTGGATGCGGTTGAGCAGCAGATCGCCCTGCTTGATGGTGGCCTGGTACTGCCAGTTCTTGTTATCCGGCCGATTGGTCTCCACAATGCCGCCCACGCGGTCCACCTTGGCGTGCAGCCGTCCGGCGGCGATGAAGCGGGCCAGCTCCTGGTCGATGTAGTCCACGGTGACGCCGAACGACTCGGCCATATACTGCAGGGTGAGGGAGCGGTAGGACTCCAGCAACTGGGTGTAGCCCAGGATGCGCATCTCGCGCACATAGTAGCGGTAGTGGGGGTGGATGAGGTAGTCCGAGCGCAGCTGCTTCTCCACGCCGGCCAAATGCACATAGAAGTTCTCGTACTGGCAGTTGTACAGGGCGAACAGGAACTGCTTGACGTCTGGCAGGCCGTGGAGCACCTCCTGGATCTCGGAGCCCTTGATCACCTTGTCGCGCAGCTCGTTGCGCGGCAGGGCGATCATGGCCACGTAGACGGTGTAGCGGACGAAGGTGGGGTAGTCCATCAGCTCGTAGGAGGTGAAGGTGCTGACGGTGTCCAGGAAGAAGGTGGCCGCCGCCTTGAAGTCGCGCACCGCCACCGAGTAGACGCCCTGGTAGACCTTCAGCCGATTGCGGCGATCCCAGTCGCCGCCCTCCTCGATCAAATACTTGGCCTTGTCGATGTTGCGCGTGATGAGATCGTGGTCCAGGTAGAACAGCCCCAGGCGGATCAGATGGAACACAATGTCCAGGCGATGGCCCAGGGACACGGTCTTTTCGTAGGTCTTGCGAAAGGCCGTCTCCGCGGCAGCCTTGTCGCCGATGCGGCACAAGTACTCGGACTTCTTCAAGTTCGCCTCGCGCACCTCCATCTCGCCCAGATTCTTCTCCGCATCCTCGATGGCCGCGTCCAGCTGCTCCACCTCCACGCGGTTGTTCTCCTTCATGCGGGCCAGCAGCTCCTTGTCCACGGGCCAGGACAGTTCCGTGCAGATGTGCTCGTACCAAGGGGCCATGTTCTCCGCGCGAATCGCCTCCAGGAGCTTCGCCTTCAGGGCCGCGTCCTGCTTGTACTCCGCCAGCGTGAGCAGGAACTTGGTCTGGGCCAGCTCCAGGTTCGGGTTCTTCTCCAGGCCCTGCTCCTCCAGGTTTTCGGCAGGCATTTTGTTGGCTTTGCTTTGTTTAGCACACACAAATAGTTAATTTTTGCGAACAAAATGAGATTTTGTTTTTTTTGAGAGTCATGCACAGTGTGACCAAAGCCAACTATGGGTAAAACATACCCCGGCATTCAAAAAATACTACTTTTAATGTATAGTCTTACAAAAGCTAGTTGCTGCAAAGCTAATGGTCATGGCAATAACGGTATTTTGAAAGACTGTGAACTACAAAAATTTAATATAAATAAATATACATTTGAATTAATTATTCAAATTATAAAACTATATTTAAATAAAATACATATTTAAATGCAGCGTCATTTTAGTTTCATATTACGCATTATGTATCTTACAATCATATTAAAACTAATATTTTTACTTTCTCTTACCTTAACTTATCATTTAAAAAAATAACAAAACAAACATTAGCAATCAAGATAAACATGTCTTTTGTACCAAGAAATTATATAACTAATTGTAGCTGTTTAAACCGCAATTAAGTTTGATTCGCTATATTGGTGTTGTTGTTAAATTGTATACGATTCTGTAATTTTACAGTTCCTAAAATTTTATTCTAAATCCTGTAGTTTTAAAAAAGATTTTCAATTTACTAGACCAACTATCACAAAAGCTAGTGTCACAGAGCCACAAGTGAATGACCATCGCGATTTCGGTATATATTCTACCGCGAACGGCCACACTAAAGGGGAGTGAAATTGATTTTCTGATAAAAATTTTCGCTCGAGCTCCAGCATCGGACACTTTATATATCCTGCAATTAAATATATATATAATTAGCGACTTGGACTAACCAGCAGACAGCGCACAAGATGATCGGCGGCCTGTTCGTCTACAACCACAAGGGCGAGGTGCTGATCTCGCGAGTCTACCGCGACGATATCGGTCGCAATGCCGTGGACGCCTTTCGGGTCAACGTCATCCACGCCCGCCAGCAAGTGCGCTCGCCAGTGACCAACATTGCGCGGACCAGCTTCTTCCACATCAAGGTGGGTGCTTTAAGTCTTCCTCCCCCTTCCCCGCCCACTCATCCTCCCATCTCCTCCCGCAGCGAGCAAACATTTGGCTGGCGGCTGTGACCAAGCAGAATGTGAACGCCGCCATGGTCTTCGAGTTCCTCCTAAGGATCATCGAGGTGATGCAGTCGTACTTCGGCAAGATCTCCGAGGAGAACATCAAGAACAACTTTGTGCTCATCTACGAGCTGCTGGACGAGATCCTGGACTTTGGCTACCCGCAGAACACGGACTCCGGCACCCTGAAGACCTTCATCACGCAGCAGGGCATCAAGTCGGCCACCAAGGAGGAGCAGATGCAGATCACCTCGCAGGTCACCGGCCAGATTGGCTGGCGTCGCGAGGGCATTAAATACAGGCGCAACGAGCTCTTCCTGGACGTCCTGGAGTACGTGAACCTGCTGATGAGCCCCCAGGGTCAGGTATTGTCCGCCCATGTGGCCGGCAAGGTGGTGATGAAGTCGTATCTGTCGGGTGAGTCAAGGAAAACCCTCAATCCACTATTCCCATTAACAATCTCTCTCTTTCTCAGGCATGCCCGAGTGCAAGTTCGGCATCAACGACAAGATCGTGATGGAGTCCAAGGGCCGTGGCCTCTCCGGCAACTCGGAGGCGGAAACCTCGCGCTCCGGCAAGCCCGTTGTGGTCATCGACGACTGCCAGTTCCATCAGTGCGTCAAGCTGAGCAAGTTCGAGACGGAGCACTCGATCAGCTTCATCCCGCCGGACGGGGAGTTCGAGCTGATGCGCTACCGCACCACCAAAGACATTTCGCTGCCATTCCGGGTCATTCCGCTGGTGCGCGAGGTGGGACGCACCAAGATGGAGGTCAAGGTGGTGCTGAAGTCCAACTTCAAGCCCTCGCTGCTGGGCCAGAAGATCGAGGTGAAGATACCCACGCCGCTAAACACCTCGGGTGTGCAGCTCATCTGCCTGAAGGGCAAGGCCAAGTACAAGGCCTCCGAGAACGCAATCGTGTGGAAGATCAAGCGCATGGCGGGCATGAAGGAGACGCAGCTGTCGGCCGAGATCGAGCTGCTCGAGACGGACACCAAGAAGAAGTGGACCCGGCCGCCGATCTCGATGAACTTCGAGGTGCCGTTTGCGCCATCCGGATTCAAGGTGCGCTACCTCAAGGTGTTCGAGCCCAAGCTCAACTACTCCGACCACGACGTGGTCAAGTGGGTGCGCTACATCGGACGCAGCGGACTCTATGAGACGCGCTGCTAGAGTGGAGCAAGAGTATCACAGTTGAATTTAACGAATTGAATGAATGGAGAACGTGTTACCGCATCTATTGGTATTTCCTCAATCAAATTGAACCAGCAGTTAATGTATTCCATGCCGTATACCGCACACACTGCCTCCGCGAGCACTGGTTATGCGGGCGGGGCGTGTTCCCTATAGACATACATACCACTAGGTACTATGATTTACCCTACTATGTAATTGTAAACTATGTTGTTTTATATGCGTCGCCTGTATGGAACGCCTCTCAAATCTCACGCTCACGTTTTCACAACTCTAATTATTATTTGTATTATCGTATTATAAATATACATATATATTAATCATTATTTTCATTGTGCAAGGAACAAAGAACAAAGGCGATACATGCAACTAAGCGTATTAAATAGACCAAAACTCTCTGTCAGCGCTATCAATATTGATATTCAAGTGTTAATAATATTCGAATTGTTTAATAAATTAGCATGATATATATACTAAATGGAGGTTAGTTATTGGGTAAAAGGGTTTTTTTTGCTACATTTTGAATCTAAACTGAAAGTACATATATGCCTTTCCATTATATCGAAGTAATATATAGCCATCCTATAAAAAAACAAAAAGGTTCAATTACAACCCCATAAATGAACAATATATGACTTTATGATCCCCCATAAGTGCTGTCTTTGCTATCAGGTGTGCACATTGGTTGAAAGTCAGTTACATTTTTCAAGATTTAAGTCATATATAGGCAATGAATGTACCATCTCCAAAGAAGTAAAAACCAGTTCCCAGCTGTGACTCATATTAACAATTTTAAAGTTGTTTATTTAAGTAATCTTTTCGGTTATAGTAAAAAATGCCTAAATAACGCCGGTTCGCATAAAAGCTTCGCTATCATCGGAGGGCTTTTCACAATTTTCCATTGACGACAAATCAATGTCGGTACACTGACCAATCAGTTTACCAACCGCGATAAAGGTTATTCCGCTGTGTCTATAAAACTATTATTTCTAGGCGTTAGCTGTTAGCTGTTGCCAGCGCCGGATAACCTTGAGCGGTTTCAACATCCAGATATTAATTAATTGAACTGGAAATTTTAATAAAACCGCAAGACATCCGCTGTATTGTCAGAGGGAAGCTTTTGCCTTGTTATCACCCAGCCGGCTTGGTCATCAGTGATAAGACGAAAAAACAGTACCGTCATCTTTTTCGGCTGACACGTTACACGTAACATGGAAGACATAGTGCCCGATGTTCTGGACGCGGTTCCCGCTGGCACCATAAAGGTCACCTACGCCGATGGCCTCGAGGTGAAGCAGGGCAACGAGCTGACCCCCACCCAGGTGAAGGATCTACCGAAGGTCGACTGGTCTGGGCTGGAGGGCAAGTCCAACCTGCTCACCCTGCTCATGGTTGATCCCGATGCACCGACCCGTCAGGATCCCAAGTTCCGTGAGATCCTCCACTGGGCCGTGGTCAACATTCCCGGCGGGAATATCGATCCCTCCGGTGGCTATCCCTTGGCAGCCTACGTAGGTTCCGGTCCCCCGCTGGGAACTGGCCTGCATCGGTACATTTTCCTTCTCTACCGCCAGGAGAACAAGATCGAGGAGACGCCCACTATTTCCAACACGTACGATACAGTTCACTCAGAAAAAAATCGCCCTTAATTTTAGAAAATCGCCCGTGATTTTAAAACGCCATTGAATTAGGAAAAGTGTTCTTGAATGTAGAAAAAGTTTCTTAAGTTAATGGAAATTCTTATTTATTTTTTTTTAATGAATAAGAATTTTTTCTTGGATAAATGGCGATATTTTCTTGGATTAACCGAAACCGTAAATTCAAGAAAATTATTTCCGATAATGAATTGGATGAAACTCACAGGCGATTTTCTTGAATCAATGGCGAATTTCTTAAATCAATGGCTATTTTTTTTATGACTATAGTCAATCTTTATCAGTTAAAAGTAATACTCACCAGACTCTTTTAATTCACAGCACTCGAGCTGGTCGCTTGAACTTTAACTCCCGGGACTTTGCCGCCAAGCACGGATTGGGGGAACCCATAGCCGCCAATTATTACCAGGCCCAATACGATGACTGGGTGGCAATCCGAAATAAAACTTTCGGGTAGATTTGTGTATATATCATGCCGGGTTTTCTATTCCCAGTCAATAAACCAATCTAACCAACCAATCGCTTATCTTTCTATCTATGCGCTGGGGTATTAGGTAAAAAGTGCACGGAACTGATTAGGCGACGGACTCTCCGTCCGGCGATAAAAGGCCAGCCATCGGGGATCCGGGCCAGAGTCACCTCGCTAACGCAGCACCGAGCAGAAGCAGCAGAACTACCAGCTAACATGGACACCGCCGGCATCATTCCCGACATCATCGACGTCAAGCCCGCCTCCAAGGCCACCATCACCTATCCTTCCGGCGTTCAGGTTGAGCTGGGCAAGGAGCTGACTCCCACCCAGGTGAAGGACCAGCCCACGGTCTCCTTCGATGCCGACGCCGGCTCCCTGTACACCATTCTGCTGGTGGACCCCGACGCACCCAGCCGCGAGGACCCCAAGTTCCGTGAGCTGCTCCACTGGCTGGTGATCAACATTCCCGGCAACAAGGTCTCCGAGGGCCAGACCATCGCCGAGTACATCGGAGCTGGTCCCCGCGAGGGAACCGGCCTGCACCGCTACGTCTTCCTGGTGTTCAAGCAGAACGAGAAGATCACCACCGAGAAGTTCGTGTCCAAGACAAGCCGCACCGGGCGCATCAACGTCAAGGCCCGCGACTACATCCAGAAGTACAGCTTCGGCGGTCCCGTGGCCGGAAACTTCTTCCAGGCTCAGTACGATGACTACGTGAAGACCCTCATCGAGACGGTCCAGTAAACTGGCCACCAACTGATCAGCGCTCTGTGAAATAATAAATTTTAAATACTAGTTATCATACAAAGTCAGGGTATTTCCTTTCTAGTGGGTGAAATTTTTCCGTAGAGTATAAACAGCTCAAGTCTCTTTCGTAAGAATTTTTATTAGATAATGTTCTTCCGGAATTAATTTGGCCTTGCCCGAGATTTAAATTTTTGCTTTAATGTGACTTAATGTTTCCGCGAACTCTAGACTGATATCTCTTTGTTTGGAATATAGTATACCAAAGCAAAGAGTTACGAAATATTTCCAAATTTATCGAAATGTATTAAAATGTCACTTTTATTTATTTCCCTTCCTCTGTATTAAGCGATATTGCTATTTCTCAATTAATTTCGGCATGATTCATTAAATAGATAAACAATTTCCTTTAATTTTGATATGAATTTGATTCATCAAAACTATCAGTTATATTTTTAGTAAATATGAGACCTTTGGACAGTTGCCTTCTCATTTCAGATAACTATTTCCACTTATATTCGAAATTGTATAACTGGATCTACTAGCTGCCACTAAAAAATCGACTTATAAACCACTTTTAGTTTTCCAAGTGTTTCTTATCAATTTTCTTGACTTTTAGAGAACTCAAGTTACAAAAGTTCGACTGCAGTTGAGTGAGATGTTTAAAGATATTGCTTATTCTAGTCTTTTTTGTTGAAGAAATCGGCCACTAGTTTGTTGAACTCCTCCGCATAGCGTAAATGGATATTATGCTTGCCCTCGGGGAACTCGTGGTATTTTGCCTGAGGCAACCGCTCCCTTAGCCAGGGAATGTGTTCCGCCGCTATCATGGGATCCTTTTTTCCATGGAGTATAAAAGTGGGGGCCTTTATTTGTTCAACCTCCGAGCGACAGAAGTCGCCATCCCTTTGGTCATAGAAGGAGCAGGCGGCGTCCACCCATTCGGCCCATAATTCGGGAAATCTCTCCACGCCGTACACCTTCTCCATGGGCTCTCGCATGCGCGGCGACCACTTGGCCACATCCCGGATGTTCCGGAGGGCCTTGACCTCATCGGCGTTTAGGTAGGCACCTGCCCCCCAGATGGCCAGCCGATCCACAGCCTCCGCATGGCGACCTGCGATGATTAGGGCAGTGATTCCGCCATCACTCCAACCCAGAATCGAAAAGCGTGGCCTGTCCAGGGCGCGCATCAAATCCACGGCAGCCTGGGCATCCTCGCGAAAGAACTCCAGACCGAACTTCCGTTGCGGAGGCACTGATTTGCCGTAACCCGGCGGATCCCAGGCGATGATCTTGTGGCCCGGCAAAAGTTTGGGTAGCTGCTCGATCTGCGGCTTGAAGTCCGTCCAGGCGGATCCCAGGGCTCCGGGCATCAGGAGCAGACTCCGTTCTCCACTGCCGCTCTCCACGATGTTCAAGTCGGAGCCATTTACCCGGACTTTCCGCTCCGTGTGCACTAATCGCCTGAAGATGGGGGAGCGGGAACCCAAAAGTCGGCCCAGATTGCCAAGCATTACGTAAGCGGGATCGGACAGCGATTTTGGAGTATGGCAACAAACTTAGTTGCTTATCAAGGGCTCTTCAGATGTCCGGAAAATGGTTTGCCGCTTGTCCAAATCCTTACACACGACGCCTTGTAAAGTGCACTTGATGAGTACCGCTGATAACAGCTGATAGGTAAGAACAGCTGTAAGTAAACGATCGGATCAGTGTGGCCGCACTTGCATATACCAGTTGTTTACAAATAAATATACCGCAGATATAACCGTTATATTTAAAAACAAATTCTTTAAATTATTTAAATTAAATGGAAATGAAACCACAAAGCTGATAAGGCAATTTTGTATGGAAATTCGATGGTCAAAATTTTACTCATACCTAAAAAAAATTAAAATTTACAAGAATCGGCTTTTATCACTCACACGCGACTTTGATAAAAAATGTTCTTTAAATAAAGCGTATATTTGAACTAAACATTTGTTAGTTTGCGTTCCCATTTCTTAATAATTATTAAAAACAAAGTTTGGGGATAGATTTTTTGCACTTTATTCTAAGTGACATACATGGCGTATGAGTAATTTTGAAGGAAACTTAAAAACCATTTCAAATGCTAAATAAACAGCGCCATAAATTATTTTTATTGAAAAATATGAAAATATACATACTCTACACTATGTGCTTTTCACATCCTTGAAAAACTATTAATATATTTTTTTTGTTGTAGGAAAATCAATCAAAATTCAAAATGCCTAAGTGGAGAGTTTTTAAAATACAAGTAGTTATAAAGCCCCAAAAGAGCTGCCTGACTGCCGAAAAGAAAGCCGCCTGATTTAAATTAAAGCTTTTGGCTCTTCCGTCAGCTTTTTGGCATTCCCAGTCCTTGTTAGTCCGTTCGAACGTCACGGCTCCGAAGGACAATGGAGAGCACGTGCGGGCATTTGTTTAGCCGTTAGCGTGCGTTAAAAAATTATTAAAAAATGTAAGTGCCAGGGAGCAGGGTCCTGAGATCCCTGGTGTAATGGTCAGTGCGTGATTGGTGTGCTCAAGTTAATGTGCTCGCCAGGACGACTGGGATTAATGGTGGCGACGGCCTTGCAATTGTTCCCCTTGACGAAGGGGGTGGGCGGAAGGACGTACACCCACACAGACAAACACACACATTGAGAGTACAGGACTTCACACATTCCATTCCATTGCCAATGCAAATGCAAATCGAATTTGACACCGAGTCGTCGAAGTTGCGTAGTAAATGTCAAGGAATTTACACGGGTCGTCTCAGAGATAGTGAGCCCGTGTGGGTGTCGCTGTGTGTGTGTGTGTGTGTGTGTGACCACAGGACACTCATGTACATGTGTGTGTATGTGTATCCTTGTGGCATCTAATACGCTTTAGTGGTGCAGGTTATGAACCTGCGTGCTGTGCGCTCATTACGCATGTGTGAGTGGGCAGCTGGTGCCTATGTGTGCGTTTGTGTGTTAGTAGTACGCATATGCATGCCTCGTGCGAAGTAAGCGAGCTTTTAATTTTTGGCATTCCCACACACTACACTCAAACTCAGCGGTCCATTCGTTTAGCATAGCATACTTATTGGGGCAAGACAAGGAACAACTCACTTTTATCCTTACTTTACAAGTTTATAGTGCTCGTAAGTCCTTTAAACTACTTCGAAAAGAAAACTAGTAAAATAAATACCCAACTCCTGAACTCCTTAACTCCAAAGCCCCATTACAGCGTCCCTTTTCGAGTCGTCTAGGCCGCACCAGTGGCTTTTTGTGAATAAGCTGGCGGAGCTTTCGTTATCCATTGGAAACATAGCGAAGAAATTAAGTTTGAAATTGCAGTTCAGTCTTGTCGTGGATGCAGCGCGGATCGATATCGGAGCCCAGAGCAGCGGAAGGCGCTGCTTAGCAAATTTCGACACACAAAATTTTGGTATCCCTCAAAAGTTGAACCAAAAAATCTGCAAAAATAAATTCACCCCACTTCAACGAAATCGCGTCGTGCTAAAAGCCAAACCCCAATTGTTACATAAAGTGAAAACGGCAAAGATTTTGCTCGAATCCAGCTAAATAATTGTGTAATTGAAAAAATCCCCGTGTGTGCAAAAGTAATCGTTTCCAATCAATATCCCAATCGATACGCATAAATAACTGATTAGATTGCTGATGAATCAACTAAAGTAAAGCGCCCGTTTCTGGGGGCATTCGCTGTGAGGTGCCTAGAAAAATTTTCGCCTACATTCGCGACATGCAGTGAAAATTTTTTCCGATTTTTAGTATGTACATGTACGTTGGAGCGCTCGTGGGCGCCACAACCTCGGGTGGCAGGGGTATCCGGCAAGCTTTTGGCCCAACCACAATTGGTAGTACAGCCGCCTCGGTCGCAACAACGGCTATCTGACCCCGCATCGATGCGAAATATGTGCCCGTTCTTAATTAGTTTGCCAAACATTATGCAAATCAAGTGTGTGAAATGCCAAAAACTCAAGGTGCCCAGCATTAAAAACCAAGAAACCAGGCGAAATCCCAAGCAATAATCGGTGCAGTGCCGTTAACAGTCGACGAGTACCGTTAACAGCCGCAGCCAACTTCGCCTGTCGGAGCTTTCGCTCTCCCACGCTCTCCCGCGCTCTCAGGCTCCCTCTCGGCAGGCGCGGATAAAACGGATAACTCCCGAGTAACACCAACACAAGGACACGCGAAAAGCTCGCGCTCAAGGACTGGAATACGCGAAAAGAGAGAGAGAGCGAGTCACTTTACGTTTACGCGCGCAACGTGCGTAGGTGCCTCCGTGTGGGTGAGTGCCCAAAGGCCCGTGCGTGTGAATGAAGGCGCCACAACCAAATAGTGCAACATATCAGGATCAGGATAACTATGCTCCTGCGGCCATGACAGCCAGGACACGGCCGAACATGGACAGGGATCAGCAGCGAACTCGAAGTCCGGCTGAGCTGAGGCTCCTGCCCTCCTCCTCCGCCTCCGCCTCCACCTCCGCCACCGCCTTCGAATCCCCGGACTTGCGGTTCAACAAGGCTCGCCGCCGGCGGAGAGGCGACCTGGGGTCAGTGCCTCCCGTGATCGTGGAATACCGCCGCTCCTACCGCGTGCTCATCGTCAGCGCCCTGCTGGTCAGCCTGGCGGCCAGTTTCGTGACCCTCAGCGCCGGTTTCCAGCTGGACGGCTCCCAGAACTCCTTCTACACCTTCCGCAAGTGGTACACCGGCCTGAATGGCACCCTGGAGCTGGAGTTCAAGACGGAACAGCCCAACGGACTGGTTCTCTACACCGACGACGGCGGCACCTACGACTTCTTCGAACTCAAGCTGGTGGAGGGAGCCCTGCGGCTGAGATACAACCTGGGCGGCGGGGCCCAGATCATCACCGTGGGCCGGGAGCTGCACGATGGCCACTGGCACAAGGTGCAGGTCCTGCGGAACGACGAGCAGACCTCGCTCATCGTCGACGGCGTCTCGCAGCAGCGGTCGACCAAGGGCAAGGAGTTCCAGTTCGGCAAGTTCGCCAGCAACTCGGACGTCTATGTGGGCGGGATGCCCAACTGGTATAGCACTAAGTTGGCGCTTCTTGCCCTGCCCAGCGTGATCTTTGAGCCGCGCTTCCGGGGCGCCATCCGCAACCTGGTCTACGCGGACCAACCTGGTGGCTCCACCAGGCGGCAGGAGATCAAGCAGCAGCGCGACATCAAGTGCGGCGATGTGCCCTGCGATCACGGCGAACTGCCCGCCCGCGAAAGGCCCCTCAGGGTGAGTTCAATACCATGATTTTTTAAATGCATAAGACCAAAGATATCCTAAATTAATTTCAAATATATTCGATATATTTAAAAAGATTCTCTTAAATTACTGTTTAAAATGTTGTTTTCGTTATTATCATATCATACCGTTATTTTACTTAATTGTTTTCCAAATGTGTCAAAGCTTTTATAGGTTGAGATATTTTTCGTTTTCATACACGTAAAGCAATAAAAAAATAACACAATAACACACAAAATTACAGCTTTTTAAATTTACCTCAATGGATGCTATACATATTTTTGAATTCGTAACGAATTCCCAAGGTAAACTGCGTTTTCCATTAAGTTACTCGACGCAAGGATTCTTAGCACAAAGTCTTCAAGGAGTAATTTTCCTTTGTTTATGGCTATTAAATTTGTTCTCCCTTAAAAAAATCCTAAAATTATTCTGAGTATGGGTTTAAAAGATAAAGGTATACTTTTGAAAAACTTCAACAGCAAAACAAACCATGAATCCATTTGCCTGTGATACCCCCGAAATTTGAGGTCCTTGAGCTAAGAATCCTTTTTGGATAACGAAGTTTAACTTTTGAATTCGTAACGAATTGTAAAATATAGAATCCATCGAGGTAAATCTTTGATGTAACATAGTGTAATTGTTGATGGGAAGTACGCCTTTATTTACCAATTTAAAAAATCGAAATAAGTAAGTTCTAGTTTATACAAGATATAGATTTTTATGGACCGAAAAGGCTCTCCATCATATTACTTTACCTTTTTCAAATACTTTAACATTTTATTGGTTCAAATATTCTTTCGTTACCATATAGGTTTATAGTATTTATTTGCTAAATACCCCATAACCTTTATTACATTTAAATGTTGGCTCAAACTTCGTTCTGCAGGGCGTTCGTGGGGGCAACACAACCGATGCCTGCGAGCGAAACGATCCGTGCCAGCACGGCGGCATCTGTATATCCACTGATTCCGGTCCAATTTGCGAGTGTCGAAACCTCGAGTACGATGGCCAGTATTGTGAGAAGGAGAAGGCGCCATCGGAAGCCACGTTCCGCGGTACACAGTTCCTCTCGTACGACTTGGGCCAGACGGGCGCCGAGCCGATAGTGAGTGCCCAGGATGCCATATCCTTCTACTTCCGCACTCGCCAGCCGAACGGCCTGCTCTTCTACACGGGCCACGGCACGGACTATCTGAACCTGGCCCTGCGCGATGGCGGGGTCTCGTTGACCATGGGACTGGCCAACGGGAAGCAGGAGATGCACATCAAGCCATCGAAGGTGCGCTTCGACGACCACCAGTGGCACAAGGTCACCGTGCACCGTCGCATCCAGGAGATCTCCTCCATCACCAGCTTCTGTCGGGTACGTAAATCCCTTACTGCTTGATCTCGATCTAGATTTAAGGGAGATTTTTCCTCATCCAGCTGGTCACTGTGGTGGACGACGTGTACACGGATCACTCCCACATTGCCGGCAAGTTCACCATGCTCTCATCCTCGCGTGTTTACGTGGGTGGTGCCGTCAATCCGAGGGCTCTCTTGGGAGCCCGTGTCCACACCAATTTCGTGGGCTGCCTGCGGAAAGTGGAGTTCTCGGCGGATACGCTAAATCTGAACCTCATCGATCTGGCCAAGAGCGGCTCCAAGCTGATCCAGGTGGCCGGCAACCTGGAGTACCAGTGCCCCAGTGGAGATCCACAGGATCCGGTGACTTTCACCACCCGGGAATCGCATTTGGTAAGTTGGTGCATCTCTATGGGCTATATATTTAAACTAATAATCTTTTTTGTACAGGTTCTGCCTCCTTGGGAGACTGGCAAGCAGAGTTCGATTAGCTTCAAGTTTCGCACCAAGGAGCCCAATGGCATCATTGTCCTGGCCACAGGATCCAAGCAACCCAGGGCCAAAAATGTGAGTTGAATTGAAGTTAGCTTTTCCTAGAGCATTTTGCATAACTTCCCTGTCCATCAGCCCGTCTTGATTGCCATCGAGCTGCTGAACGGACACATCTACATCCACTTGGACCTGGGATCCGGAGCCTCCAAGGTGCGAGCCTCGCGACGTCGCGTGGACGACGGCGACTGGCATGACCTGATTCTCCGGCGGAATGGACGCGACGCCAAGGTGAGCGTGGACGGGGTGTGGAACGACTTCCGGACGCCCGGCGATGGCACCATCCTCGAGCTGGACGGGCACATGTATCTGGGCGGAGTGGGGCCCGCCTACAATAGCGTCGCCTGGCCGGCGGCCATTTGGACGGCCACTTTGCGCCAGGGATTCGTGGGCTGTTTGCGTGACCTGGTGCTGAGTGGCAAGGCGATCGATATAGCGGCCTTTGCACGCGTCCAGGATTCGGGTAAGTAGCGAGTAGCCAAAGTGGTCACGACAGCGATGGTCATTATATGATAACCCATCGGTAACCCTAAACCCGTAACCCACATTTGGGAAACAGCCTCCGTGAAGCCTTCGTGCCATGTGCAGGCCAACGTGTGCAACGGCAATCCCTGCCTGAACGGAGGCACCTGCCTGGAGGGCTGGAACCGGCCCATCTGCGACTGCTCGGCCACTTTGTACGGTGGACCCACCTGCGGCCGGGAACTGGCCACGCTGGCCTTCAACGGCAGCCAGCACATGACCATCTGGCTGGGCAACGGACAGGGAACCAAGACGCAGACCGAGGAGCTGGTCATCCGCTTCAAGACCTCGCGACCGGCGGGCCTCCTGCTGCTGACCAGCGCCGAGTCCAACTCCCCGGATCGGCTGGAGATCGCTCTCGTGGCGGGAAGGGTGCGGGCCAGTGTGCGGCTGAGCGACCGCGAGAAGGTGAGTTTTTCCGGCGAAAGTGCTTGACTCGATCACAGTGCTCCTTTGCCCTTGAAAATCGCCTTTGACTTTCGGAATTAAGGCCTCTTTACAGTTCAGATGGAATGTCACATGGAATCCAATTTTTCATACAAATTTCAAAATCTGAGATGGAATAGATTCCATTTTCTATTTCATTTTTCATTTCGAGTTTACACTTCAAATGGAATTTGGTCAAGATTCTAAGAAAAGCCTCATATGTTTAACATAGATTAAAACAATTTTGAATAGAAGCCCTTGTAAAATTTAACATTTGCTCGACAGTAACAGAACTTTGATCTGTTAAGGTTATTTTATTTGACTCGATTGGAATATGTGTGTGAGTACATATTCCATGAGAGGTTATATGAAATGAATGGTGTTCATTTCGTTTGTTGTCAAAGTGATTGTGGTTCCAAAAAATATCTGGAGCTCGAAAAAATAAAAACAATGCAACAAAGAGGATTCAATCGTAAACACCATGCGCACTGACTTGTTTATAGGATTCCATGCAGCCCTCTCATTCAAAAAGCGGTCCTTTTAATAGCCCATGGGTGGAAACAAGGCTTATAAGAAGAAGATGAAGAAAACCACAGATCCTGTGGATAATACAAACAGGAGATTTTCTGAAGTCAGCCAATGAACTTATGTCTTATCACTGGTGCAGCAAAATAAATATATTGTAAAATTAGAACTTGTCTTCGATTTTTTCATTGGCAGGATGGTTTTATAGGCAAAGGTTCTGCCATAGCACAGACCATGGGAATATAACTTGTTTCTGATCATCTAACAATAACCATTCGTAAACCAATATATGGATGCAGCTATGTAATATTATTTGTAAATATTAGGATTTTAAAACCGCTAGTGCGTACGATTAAAAAAAATATAGAATTAGTGAGATCCAATAATGCACTCAGAAAAGATTCAAATAAAATATATCATCCATTGTAAAAGCAGACACAATAGTTTTTAAATGTTGTGAGACATTGCAACATTTTTTAGAGATATTTTAACCAAATAATAACAGGAAATGTACATTTGAATACAACAATTTTGTCAGACCAAGCCAGCTTTTTAAAATTGTTTCACCGAAATAACAACAGACTATGTTAACGGGCTTAAAACATATGAAATTCCATTTGAAAAATTCCTACTGAGGTGTAAAGAGGCCTTAAGGGGAAGAATATTTACTAAGACATCTTGATAAGCAGTTGATTTCTTTAAGATAAGTTATTCCGATTTATATGTAACATACTTCCTTTCACCAAAGAAATGTAGGTATGGTATAAAAATTAATTATAGGGAGAACCACTTTAAGTCCTGTATTATTTGTTAGATATGGGTTTCTGATTTTAGATATATTTACTTTCTGCTTAAATAAAAAGCTTGATTGTTTAATTTTTTGTATGGGTAAGATTACAATTCCTTTAATTTTTTGATAGTTATAATGTTTTTTAATAGGAATATAGGTTTATATGGGATTATAGGGTTATCCAAAACTGATTTATATTTTTTGATTATGATACATTTTTTTAATAGGGTTATAGGGTTATAGAGGTTTATAGGGTTATCCCAAACTGATTAAGTTCGTAGCACACATTGGACTTAGTCAAGGTCAATTCGAAATTAAAGGCGATTTTCAAAGGCTTCCCGGCACTTTTCTGAGCTTGTGTGTGATAATCCCTTGCAGAACCTGCTGGCCGGCCAGTCGGTGCTCAACGACAACAACTGGCACACGATCCGCTTCTCGCGCAGAGCCTCCAATCTGCGGCTTCAAGTCGACGGGGCTCCCCCCGTCAGGGGTATGTTATGTATGTATCAACAGCACATCTATGCCCTACTACGTGTCGTGCCGTGTCGTTTTTTTTACCAACCAACTAAACCAACCAATGAACCAACCAATCGACAACCTACCAACTCCCTTCGTAGGGTCACAGGAATCCCCCCAGCGATTAGCTTCCATGAAAGGTGCTTCACGCACAACCCGCAGGTTCAAGTTCAAGTAGGAAAATGCTCCCCCTCCCCCTCAAACTCAGCAGGAAGGTGTGTGAAGGTGCTTCAGGGCAGTTGAAAAGAAAAAAAAGACTTGAGAAAAAGATACAAAAAAATATATAAGGATAAGAAGGAGAAAATCAATAATAAGAAGGAAAGTGCAGTCAGCGGCGCGTTTTCCTGTTTTTAAGTTCCACTTAAACTTTTTCAGTTGAGAGCTTTTCAGTTAACAACGATTCTCACACCAACACAGCCTCACGAACACGCACACATACGAACACATGCGATTACACCGAAACGAAATGCAGTGAAAATAAGTACTATCGAAAAGAACGACCGATGGAAAATTGAAAAGTATTTAGCAAGTTTATTTACCTCTCATTTCTCATGACACATTTCTCGAACTTCCTTACGTTGATGATGATGAACCGATTTGATCTAGACAGCTCTCTCTAACTATCCACCTATGTCTACCTCGCTCTGTACCTCTGAACATCGTTTAGCATCTGCAAAGCATAGTTTGAACATCATAAGACACCCGGCTCCACATCCACACCATTCCACACATTGTACGCCTCTCTGAAAGTTTGTTTAAATCATACCATGCTCATGCGATGGATCGAAGATTCCTCGATCGCATTCTCAAATAACTCATTCGTAATGATTTTTTATATATTTTGCTCTTGTAAGTTCCTCTCAAAACTCTTTCAAACATCTCGATGTTGTGTTTTCATTTGCGATACTTACTTACTACTTACTTTGTTTGATTTCCCAATTACGATTGCCAATTCAATTCCAATTACAATTCAATTCCAATTCCTAAGCCCACACAGAAGTATTGTAATCGATTAAGAGTAAATACGAAAGCAAAGAAAGTTGGACAGCTGTAAAGTTTCAGCCTTAAGTGTTACAAATACCATTATATTGATTGTCTTGTAAATTGTTTTGTCCTTCATAATCGAGTTATATTGTTTGGTTTTAATTAAAGTTTTGTTTGCCTTTGTTATGTTGTTGAGTAAATGGCCTTGGGAATATTTTATCATTGATTTATATATTGATTTTACTAAGTTTTATAACGAATTTTACGTTTAGTTCAAGCTAAAAAATGAAGTATTTTTTCGTAAAAAATAAAATATTATTATCTTTATAATCCAAGCGCCTAACTCAACAGCTTCAAAAAATACTTGTAATTTTATGTTTCCTCTTGGTTTCTGTAAATATTTATCTGGAAAAGAGTTTTCGTTTACAGTCCTATGATAATCTAAACAATGAAAATAATTTAAATAATTGCTGTACCATAACTTAAACGACACGTGCGGTATGTAAACGTTAAAAGGTGTTTGTTTCAGACATCTACGAATGAATGTAGAACAGCGAACAACAACCATGGTGTTTAAGCACTACAACAAGTAATAACAATGTCATATGCAAATGCAATTCCCTTATCACGAGCGTGATCTAAATGACCTTCTTTGAAAAAAGCCAAATGCGACCGAAAAGCGAGAAAAATAAAATACGAAAAAGTAAAAATGAGTAAGGCGAACAATGCAAAATGACGGGAACGCAACGTAAATAATTTCAATGTACAATATCGTTTTTCGTTTCATGTTTTAGGCGAGAGAAAAAAATCGACACGCAAGAACTCGGGGAAGCATTTTTTTGCCCAAATCGCTCGATGAAAGTCACGCTATCGGCGAATTGCGATTGAAGTGGAGTGCCATTGCAGAATGGGCATTGGCATTAGCATTAGCATTAGCCGTGGCTTATTGAGACGAGAGGGCAAAACAATGTTTAAAAGCGCCCAGGGCTGTAATTTTGCACCATTTAATATGTAATTAGCTTTGTGTTAAGTAAACTCAACTATCGTAAACATCAATACAACAATACCGCAACCGCAACCAACTTGCAACTAACTAATCAAGCCTAACGTGTCTCACGTAAAATTAGATTCTTGTTGTGTAAGTGTGTCCAAAAAAATAAACACCCAACTGAAAAGAAGGAGAAAGCTAAAGGCAGGCGACGGAGAAGGCTACACTGAAAAAAGAAATTAGGGTCAATCTGATTATTTTCAAATCCATATAAAATCGTTAAGGATAATTTCATAATTTTTGTTTGCCAGTAAACTCATTAGTCTCAATAAAGAAATATGGTTTTGAATGGTTAATATGCAGTAATACAAATAGTAAACAGTAATTCTTAACTTTCAAATATTTTTATTAATTGTTATTTTTTATTTTAAAGGCTAGAAAAAGTATTTTAAGATCATAAAGAAATTAAATCTTAAAATTATAAATTAATTTGATTTTTAGTGAAAGATCAATCAAGTTAGGAGTTTTCCTTATAGCCGGATCCTGCTCCTGCCTCGACCAAAAAAACACACACACAGACACAATGTTAAGTGGAAGTCTCGCACACCTGCACAGGCACACACCCACACTCTGTCACGCACCGTTGCACCAGTACACACACACACACGTGACGCGTTTTTGCATGTGAGCACCTGAAAATGAAAAAACAAGCAGCAGCAGCAATGAAACTATGATAATACCCATAAACTAACAAGCAAAACCAATGACTGTCAGTTGGAATGAATGATATAGCCTATGACCGCATGACCCGCTCACGAACCAAGTCTAAACCCAAATCGGGCTGTAGCCCTGTACAGTGTATAGTGTATAATGTATACCTATCTTTGTTTCGTACTATATCGTATTTCGTATCGTTCGCCATCGCATCGTATCACTTAGCCCACTCAGCGATTCAGTTGTATGAATAAGTAACTGTAAATGCGCCAAATTGCCAGCTGCAACAACAGTGCCCTAGTTCGACTTCTGCCCACTCACCACATTGCCCCCTCTCTTTCACTCTCTCTACTGCTCTCTCTCTCTCTTGCTGTTATTCTTGCTACTTCTGTCTCTGTCGCCGCAGTCATTTGCATGTCAAGATGTCAATCATTCGGTGGGCCAACGCGTCGTATGCGCAATGTGGTCGCTCGTTAAGGCTAATGCACCCTTATTAACTTAGACGTAGTCGCCGCACACACACACACACACACACACACAGGAAGTCGATCGAAACACACACACACAGATAAATAAAACTCTCTAGGGCACAGATTAACACATTTACATTTACAGAAAACATGGACAGTTTACCAATACCCAGATACCCATCGATGTTTAGTTCAATGTCGTTAAGCAAAGCCCAAATTATTTTCCGTTTTTGGTTTTTTTTTTTTTCAATTATCCCGGTTATTACCGACCATAATCCTTGACCTTTTCAGTTACCATTTCTAGACCGTAGGTTGCCTCAGTGAACTTTTCTCATATTTATACTTTTCCTCGGTTCCCACGCACAGCTGAGAAATGAAAACTCAAATGAAATTATCTAAAAATGTCACCGCCACCGTAATCGTATTGAAAATGTATCTCACACACCAAACTTAGACTAAGAAAAAGAACAAATATATTCCTCAAAATGTCAACTAATGCATAATGCATATTCGTATGTAAACAAGAACCAAATGCGCACCAACTAACCTTATCTAATCAACTTAGCGATCTCTTTACTTTTACTTAGTTTCCTTTGGTTTGCGCTGTGGCAGCGATTTTCGATTATCGATTTCGTTTTGTCTCTTAATTAACAATTAACAACTACAACTACAACTACTATCCGTACCAGTACATTGTATGTATTGTAATCTGCACCTTTCTTTAGTATGTACCAAGCTGCAACTAACTAAATAATAATACTCCAATCGAATTCCAACTACATTCAGCCACTTGTCGAGTGAAGAATACAACTGCTTGAAAAATCTATGAACCAAAAAAAACTAGATCTATGTCTACTAAAACCGCATACCTAAAACCTATATCTACTCTATACTCTTATATACTCTTTGACTACATATGCGTATGTGCTTCTTGTCACCACCTATACTCCATATACTACCTATATATACCCATAAATATATATCTAACCATATGTAACTGTAACCAATGTTAACGGTACTCCGCCTAGTCAACAACTTAGAGCAAAGCCGATCCCGGCTAGACAAACCCCATGGCGAGGCCCCCGAGTTTTATCCATATCTTGTTTTTGGAAATATTCCTTCCACAGCCGAAACGATCCTGGGTCGCCACAGCACCATGGAGATCCGCTCGATCCACCTGGGCGGTCTCTTCCATGCCGAGGAGGAGATCCAGATGACCTCCACCATGCCGAACTTTGTGGGCCAGATGCAGGGCCTGGTGTTCAATGGCCAGCGGTGGGTATCGCTGTGTTAGTTTGATTTTAGGAGACTATTTTTGGTATTCCCTTTCGTAGCTACTTGGACATAGTCAAGAGCCTGGGACCGGAGCTCTCGGCTCTGCCCAGTGCCACCTTCAAGCTGACGGCCCGCTTTGTGAACTCCCCGGCGGGACAGCCCTACCATGCGGCCACCTTCCGCTCCAAGCACTCCTACGTGGGACTGGCCATGCTGAAGGCCTACAACAGCATCTCCATTGACTTCCGCTTCAAGACCGTGGAGCCCAATGGTCTGCTGGTCTTCAATGGCGGGCGACGCAACGATTTCGTGGCCGTGGAACTAGTCAATGGCCACATCCACTACACCTTCGACTTGGGCGACGGACCGGTGACCATGAGGGACAAGTCGCGCATCCACATGAACGACAACCGCTGGCATCAGGTCAGCATTAGGCGGCCGGGACCCAAGACGCACACGCTCACCGTGGACGACTCCTTCGAGATTATAAGCTTAACGGGGAACAACATGCACCTGGAGCTGGCGGGCATCCTGTACATTGGCGGCGTCTTCAAGGACATGTACTCCAAGCTGCCGGCCTCGATCTCCTCGCGTTCCGGTTTCGAGGGCTGTCTGGCCTCCCTGGATCTGGGCGACGCCTCTCCCTCGCTGACCAGCGATGCCGTGGTGCCCAGTTCCCTGGTGGTCAGCGGCTGCGAGGGACCCACCAAGTGCAGCCAGAATGCCTGTGCCAATAGGGGCAACTGTGTGCAGCAGTGGAATGCCTATGCCTGTGAATGTGACATGACCTCTTATACAGGACCGACCTGTTATGATGGTAAGTTGGCGAGATTTCTAGGTAGGATAGAATAGTGTCTTAGAAATATTAATTTATGATTATGAATCTTTTGTTTGAAAATAACTAATAATAACAAGAGATAACGCTATAGTCGAGTTGGTGTCCCGACTATGTAATACCCGTCACTCGGCTAAAGGGAGATGGATATATACAATTTTGATTGCGCATAACTTTTTAATGAATGGTCCGATTTAAAAAATTACTTCTACATTTCGATAGGTATAAATATACACAACAAAATTGCATTTACAGTTATCGGAAATCTTTAAAGGTGTGGGCGCCAGGCACATTTTAAAATCGTTAGTGGGTAATTGTGTGCGGGGCACTCGGCTGAAATAAACTTGCGCTGCGTAGAAAGCCCAAGAATATGTGTGGGAAATCCCAAGCTTCTAGCTCTTGTAGTTTCCGAGATCTCAGCGTTCATACAGACAGCCATACAATATACCATTTTACTCTACGAGTAACGGGTATAAAAATAACTAAAAAAATAAATATTAATTTAAAATCTATTTCCCTTCCCCAGAATCCATCGCCTATGAGTTTGGCAACAACAAGGGCATGCTGCTGTACACGTTTCCGGAAAACGCCCAGGCCGACACCGAGGAGGATAACATAGCCCTGGGCTTCATAACCACCCGGCCGGACGCAGTGCTTCTGCGGGTGGAGAGCGCCACCACGCAGGACTACATGGAGCTGGAGATAGTCGAGGGCAACATCTTCATGGTGTACAACATCGGCAGCGTGGACCTGCCGCTGGGCGAGATCGGGACGAAGGTGAACGACAACGCCTACCATGTGGTGAGGTTCCAGCGGAAGGGAGGCAACGCGACGCTCCAGCTGGACGACTACAATGTGCAGGCACTCACGCCGCAGAGTAAGTGGATAGGGGATAATTTTCCTTTTGGGGTAGGGTGCCTAATTATCTCTTCCAATCTTTTCTAACAATTTTCAGGCCACCACTCGACCGTGTTCAATACCATGTCCAACGTTCAGGTCGGCGGCAAGTCTAGTCGGAACGGTCGCAATCGCATCGAGCGGCCGTTCGCCGGCGTGATTGCCGGACTGTCGGTGAACAAGTTGCGCATTTTGGACTTGGCCGTCGAGCGCGACCCCCAAATCGTGATCCGCGGAGATGTTCAATTGGTAACTGGAGTATTAGATAGAAATGATCTGCAGAGAATGCAGCAGGTTAGGGAATTTATTTGAAATTTTATTTGAATTCCTCTCAACTTTCAACTTTCCAAGTATTTTTCTCATCGTAAACCAAGTTTATTCAAAATTCTTTCTTTAATTAAAAACAAAAAAAAAAAAAAAGAAATTCTAACCAAAATTATTGTATTAATCCGCTTCATGAGTTGTGGAACCCCTTTTCCCAAAATGATTTGACATGATTTGATTGCACCTCCGAAATTCGAAAACCAATTCGAATAATGTACAGTTCCCTTGCACTATCCTGATAATTTAAATGCATTACCGTTAACCGTATCGAATGTAACTACATCTGTACATTGAAGCCATCGTCATCATAATCAAATCCGGGAAATTCGGTTCGACATTCAGTACAAACGTTAACCGTTTTTAACTAAACCAAAAGTATTAGCTAACTAACTGTATAAACTAGTGTAAATGCTGCATTTGAATTGACCTTATGATTTCCCTCCGGCACCTTCGTTTTTACTGTAACGCTTTTAACGCACCAACAAAATAACTAAGTATCAAAAAACAAAAGAGAATTGCCAGATTTGCCACTAACCAGCCACTTGAGTTTCCTGAATTTGTTTCCATTGCTGCACAGCACATTAACCAATAACTGTGAATATATATACAGCTATATAAACTGATACGATTTACTATGCACTAGAACTCGTCGCACTTATGCTGCATGACTCTAATCAAAGCTCACATCAAACATGAATACTTTAAAACACTAGTATGTGAAAGCCAGTGGAGATTTAAAATATAGATTTGGGATTATATTAACAGAAAATATAAACAAAACACGCTATTAAGATTTAATTATATATATCTATTTAATATACCATTTCAAAGAACTCAATGGGAAGAGTAATAAAACCTTCTATATTTTTTAAAAAATATTTAAAATATCATATTCTAAAATTATAATAATATATCTTCTGTGAATAAGGATTTCAACATTATAAATGTTAACTTTATCTAAGAGATTCTTTATATTTAAATAATTGTAAATAAAAATCAATTAGTTACATTTAATCCTGAGGGATTTGTGATCTCCACTGGTACCATGCTCACACCAACCCGTATATACATTAACACACAGCACCTAACCAACTTACTAATCCAGTTAACAAACCCCATACAATAACCATCGCTTGGCCCGGCTGCCGCCAGATCAACTGAAGTAAAATTAGACTTTGAACTCTACTCGACAGACGCCGGCGAGTGGTTATCCGGGTGCGCTGGACGATCTGATCTTCTCGGGAGCCGGATCCGGATGTCGCGGCGACGACGAGGACGAGTGCACGCCGCCATTCGAATCGGGAAGCGGGGACGATCTGATCACGCCGGTTTATGTGCCGCCCACCAAGCAGACAACCACCTCCCAGCAGGGGAACAACCTGAGTACCGGCGGGATCAACAGTGGCGGTGTCATCACGAATGGCACGGAGAGGGCCTGCGACGATGAGGACTGCGTCCATGGATCCGGGGACTACGGAGAGACCACGGAGCAGTTCACCTCGACCAGCACCGCCAGGGGATCAGGTGAGTGGTTCCGTTCCAGCGTTCCAGTGTGTGTTGGTCTCATTTTGTCATTGGCATTTGGATCAATCACGGAAGAACACTTAAAAATAAACACCACACACACGCACACACACTTCATCACAGACATTAGCTAGCCCCGAAATTCACTCGAAATTCCAGTTAAGTATACGCCATAGTAACGTAGAGAACGTGTTAACGATTAAGCTGTGGGTTCCGTTGTGTTCAAGTTAAAGTTATAGCCTATAATCGAAGCTCTACATATAACCGCATAACCGTTTAGCTAGTGACGCTTTGCCTTTTTCAGTTTTGTTCAATGCTCCACGGAGATCAAGGCAGTTAGGTTAATGCCAATGCAGCGCCAATGCTTTGACCGCTTACACGATTACATTGAAACAGCCAAACAGCTCTGAATATATATATCTACTCGTATATATGAATCGCCTCTATCGCACCCCTCGCAATGCATCAACCCAACCAGAAACCAAATATCAATCAAATCGCCGTGTCATCTCAGCTCAGATCAGCCCAGAAAAAAAAAGAAAATAAAAATATAAAGTATCGCAACAATCGTCGCCTATATCCTTCATCTCCACCTGTTGCTGATGATCGATTGCCTTGCCTTCTAATTTGAACTGACAACGAGTACGCCTTATGTGTCTCTTTCAGAATGTGAAATCGCCTTCATATTTCTGACTGTGATCGCGCCATGGATACTCTGTAAATTCCCATAAGCAAACAACCAATGCAACCAAGCAATGCACTTAGGCTAAGCTTCCAACTAGACCTCTGTCTAACTGTATAACTAACTCTAGCATTAACGAGAGCTAAACCACCAGCAACAGCAAGAACAACCAAAAAAATAATGCAACTACAACAACCAGAACAACAACAACAACTATAACAACCAGAACAACAACAACCACACCGATCATTGGCGAGGGTTTTTGGTTGAGTGAGGGTTAAGCGTTAAGCGATAAGGGTTAAGCGTTACAAGCACTTCATAAATACCTAGAAACCTATAAGGTATATGGTATATATATGGGTGCCAGCGATCGAAGATGTATATGTTTTGTACATAGTAGCGATTAAAGCAGCGTCTGCAAGTGTAAGATGTGATTTTCCCATTCCTGTTCCTCCTTATCCACCTCCTCCTGCTCCTCCTTCACATTTATTCCCTCGATTGCATAGTTCTACCGTTCTTCCAATTCCAATTTGTACATATCGTGCGAAAAGATCGAAGGTCCAGCACCCACAACAAGAAAGACACACCTCAACATATCTCTCAATATCTAAAGATCTCTAATCCTCTCTAACTGTGTTGAATAAACTATGAAAAGCAAAGCACAACTGGCGGTTCGAATGATTTCTGGGGGGGAAAGTTTGAAGACTTGATTAGATGGTTCTTAAAATTTGTTTAAAATTTAAATATTATACGAAAAGGAAGTCCTTCTATCAGGTATATATTGTACATAGCTATTCAGATAATGCTTTAATCGATTATAATATTAATTGGTAAAAAAGTTTTTCTTATTTGGTAAATTTGAAATTTAATCTAAAATTTGTATATTTAAACTCAGACATCTGAAGCGTTCTTTCTATTCTGATTTCTTTTTTTTTTTAAAAAGGGGTCTTTGAAAAGAAGTTAGCTAGAAACAAAGCCACCAAAAGCACACACACTTGCAACAGACATAAATATATCTAGAGCACCCACTTGAGAACACTTGAATAAACCCAAACCGACTGCTTGCAGAGACCAACAATGAGGTGGTCACGATCACCACCACGGGCCGCAGTGATGTGACCACGGAGCAGCAGCAGCACGGCAGCAGCAGCAGCAGCAGCAGCGGCAGCACTCCCTCCTACGCCACCACCCAGTCGAGCAGCAGCAGCAGCGGATCGGGAGCCAGCACGCCGGGACAGGCGAGCAGCACCACCAGCAGCGTGGCCACCACATCCACGCAACGCGCCACCAGCAGCAGCACCAGCACGAGCACCACTTCCACATCGACGACCACGACCACCACCACCACGCAGGCCACTCCGCCACCGGAGATCCGGAGCACGGTAACCGAGAGGGACACCACGCCGTATGACGTGTATGTTGCAGGTGGCGGTCTTGGAGGTTCCGGGCGGAACGATCACGATCGCATGCAGCTGCCCGACGAGCACCACCCACTGCCGCCGCTTCCGCCGCCCATTCCGCCGCAGGATCCACCACCCTACGGACCCTACGGCGGCAACACCTACAACACCAACATGAACAACTATCGGCCGAAGGGCAAGGGCGGCAGGATCAACTCGATCGAGGAGGAACGCACTGCCATGATAATCGGCATTGTGGCGGGCATCCTCATCGCCGTGGTGCTGGTCATCCTGCTGGTCCTGTGGCTCAAGTCGAACGGGGATCGTGGCTACAAGACGGAGAGCGAGAAGGCGGCCGCCTACGGATCGCACAATCCCAATGCCGCTCTGCTGGGCAACACCAGCACCAATGGATCGTACCACCAGCAGCGGCAGCACCACATGCAGGGCGGAGGAGGAGGAGGCGGCGGCGGTGGAGGAGCTGGACAGCAGCACCATGGCCAACAGCAGATGCACAACGGGCACAACGGAAACGGAAATGGAGGCGGCGGCGGCGGCATGATGTCCAGCGGAAGCGGGTCACTGGGCTACGGCAGCGATGGGCGACCCCAGATGGCGGGCCTGGTGCAGCCGAAGGCCAAGAAGCGCGACTCCAAGGACGTCAAGGAGTGGTATGTGTAAGGCGGCCGCAAGGTCCAGGGAATTATCGTCAAATTAGCAATAAATGCAAATAGTGCAAAGCGAGCCGAAAGTGAAAGTCCCCCCTAAGATACACAAACACACATAAGCGTATATAAATATATTTATTTAGCAGCCTCATAAAGTTAATTAAAAAATTAGAAGCGGACACAGTCGGACACTGTACAAACGGAAACGGAAATGAAAGCGGATGAAAGGATAATAAAAGAAGAAGAGCTGATTACGTTAGCAGCATGCAGATAGACACGCAAATACTTTAGACAAGTGCATCTGGCCAGGAGCATTGGTTCACCCTAAAAGTAACGTTTAGATTACGCCTAAGAAATTATAGCTTCAACTCAAGACTTGCTAATAGATCTACCAATGGAGAGCAGCCACAGCCGTCAGCGAATAAGCATATGAATTACACTAAACGAATACAACTATATATATATTATATATATCACAGCGTTACGATAAATTATATATGCCCACTAGCCAATCAAGTAATTGTGTAAAATATTTCGCCACAAAGTACGCTATGAACAGTTCGAAGGAAGAAAGGCCCCAGGAAAAACAAGAAACAATTAAACTGCAAATCTTCTAGCAAAACCACTAAACCATTTAGCAGAAATTCAATATAAACGTACTTAATTATATATATTTATATGTAAACGTAACGTAATGAGGTTCTGAATGGGTTTTTTTCTTCGCGTGTAAAGTTACAAAATGTGGTGCTGTAAACGTAGGAGACAAACATTGGTTGACTACAATAATAGTAATAATAATAATAATACGGACGACGGGGAATGCAAGAATTTATGCTACAGATTGTTTGTTGAATTGAAACCGGCTTTAATTAGTTAAAATGTAAATGAGATAATGGTAGACGAAAAACCTAAAGGATAACTAAATGAAATCAAACAACATAATACGGAGGACACAGTAGATACCCACGATTTGGTTGACGTATACGTGATGCGACTTTTTCGTTTGCGTGCAGCAACTCGATGCGATTTTGTGTTAGTCCCTTCCACTCCCGAGCCCAACACATATACTTTTTATATGTATTTGAGACTAAATATTGTCACCGACCTGCGTGCAATATGAACTCAGACATATCAAGGAAAAGACAAGACACTAGACACAATCACACGCCAAAAACACACACGCTAAACGCTACACTCTACACTCTAAAACACTGAAGCGAACCTACCTAGCTTTTCTACTACAACTGCTATTCAATGTGAGCGAACATTACTTTACCGTCGACAAACGAGGAAATCAAGCAACAATTTTACAGTATTATAGCAGCTTTAAGCGTATTTTTCGAAGCCAACGTGACGTATACACAATCAGCAGTCACCACGCTTACACCAACACCAACACAGCCAACAGCCACACAGACACACCAGCACACATACAGAAGCGAAATTCGATTTTCAGCAAGCCGCCATTGAATTCTGTATACAAATACATATATATAATCGCATATATCATTTTGATGCGCTATATTCAAATTTTTGCCTCACTATCAATACCAATTAGTGTATCATTTTGGACTAGATATACAAAATACCTATATACACTCGATATACTAATACACGCACACTCACCTCACCTCACCTCACCGCCCCCTACTCACGCACACTCACCAACTGACGCATTCGAACACTAGCGAAATTACTGGACATACTTCTCTCAAATTCTTAATGGAAAACAAGGCGAGGTATGCTGTATATACCTAGGAAAGTACTATATATACACGAATATATATACAGCTGCGGTCAAAATAATAGTAGTGCCCACAGACGATTTCTTGAAACCCCAAAAAGTAACTTTAAAAACGTTTTAACAATTTTTTTTAAATTTCCATTGAAACTCAACTGTTTAAAGGTAATAATAATAAACAACAACTTAGGATAACTCATACAAATTTTCAGAAAAAAATAAAAATGTGTAATTTTACAAAATTTTGTTTGGTCAAAATAATAGTAGTGAAAAGTTCCAAAAAATTTCACAGCCAAAAAAAACGTTTTAAGATTGAATATTTAAATGTATATATTAGACCTATATTTAAGGTTTATTTTAGTATTTGGTGGCATATCCTTTGTTTGCAATAACAGACGCACAGCGCTTATGCATGGAATTAACTAAATTTTGGCATCTCTCTAGAGGAATAGAGCTCCAAGATCTTTGTACAGCTTCCCAAAGTTGAAAGTTATTGCTTGGTTTTAATTCCGAGACTGCTCTTTTCACGTCACACCACAAATTCTCAATTGGATTGAGATCGGGTGACTGTGCGGGCCACTCCATGACATCGACTTCATTGGCTGCGAACCACTCTTTAGCAAGTTTGCTGGTGTGCTTCGGATCGTTGTCCTGTTGGAACGTCCAAATAAGAGGCATGTCCTCAGAGGCATATGGGAGCATCACGTCGTTCAAAATACTGACGTATAGATAACGGTCCATTATGGTTTTGACCCAATATATAGGGCCTACTCCATAATATGAAAAACTCGCCCAAATCATAATTGATGATCCACCGTGCTTTACCGTTTTTAAGGTATACTTTGGAGTAAAAGCGCATAAGGGTGGTCGTCTAACAAACTGCCGAGAGCCACGGCCTCCAAACTTAACTATTTTTGACTCATCCGACCACAAAATATTCCTCCACTTCTCCAAGGGCCAAGTCAAGTGTTCTCTTGCAAACTTCAAGCGTTTGGCGGCATGTTTTTTTGTGAGTAACGGTACTTTTCTTGGACTTCTTGAAATGAGGTTATTATCTCTAAGCCTCCTTCTTATTGTTTCCAAACTAACATTTAAGTCACAACGTTTTTTTAGTGATGCAGCGGACGCGAATGGCTCGATCCTTGACTGTCTGGCCAAGCGATCCACTGATCTTTTGTCCAATATCTTTGGGCGCCCACGCGTTTCATTTGCTGGCTCATGTTTAATAGCATTTCTAACCATTGTAGAGGAGCAGCCTATAATATTTTGCACTTCTACATAAGTCTTTCCATCAGAAATCAATTTTTTAATTAGATCTCGCCTCTCGGCAGTACAGTGTTTGCCACGCCCCATGTAGCCAGGACTAAGTGTTGAGCAGGGATCTAAAAATGCTAGGGACTAATAAATAACATCCAAACGTATTGTTTAATAACACAAACCTTGTTTAAAAAGAAGTAAATTTAATTATTCTTGCTAATTTCTCTGGCACTACTATTATTTTGACTGACCCCAACACGTGCATCTTTGCAATAAAAGGCGAAAGGGAATACAAAGAGAGACGAGATCCTAACATAACTGCACATTTTTAAAGAGAGGATAATTACAGTTACTTTTGAGAAAGAATGAGTTGGATACGTGAAGAAATAGAGAAAATATTTAGAAAAAACTCTGTGCGCGAACGGCACTACTATTATTTTGACCGCAACTGTATATATTTAACAACTAAAAAACATATATACTGCATTTCAAGGAACTTTTTATATATTTTCGAGTTTTTTAAACCCTTAACTTGTATACAAAAGGATGCGAAAGCGAAAACACGAGACAAACTAGCGAATCTAGCTGAAATGAACACCTAGGACAATTACAATTACAAGTACATACATAGCGATACACGGTACATTACAGTACATAGGCAGACGAAAACACACAATTATATTATACAAGAAATACTACTATAAATGTACATCTATACAACATATACATGCATACGATATAACGTACGAATATGATTATTATGTATTACGTCCCTTCGATTTGATAATGAATCCAAACGAGAAACCACAAATTTTAACCGCTGTTGATAACCAAACCATTCCCACTTATATATGTAACACTCTCTCCCGACAACTTTCTCTCTATCTCTTCACAATGTTAATGCTGCACAATGAAATCTCTGCATTTAAAGTAAACCACTAACGTTTATTCATTTCGATTCAAGAGAAAACCAAATTACAAATAACTAATTATACGAATTTGCCTTGCGACTTATCAGCGAGCACACGATATTGAATCCTGAAAGGGGAACTAAGTATATCCGCGATAAAGATATCGAATTGACACGCCCCGAAAGCAAAATCTTCTTCATTGTTTCCAAACCAATTACATTTTATTAGAGATCAAAAGCAAGTCAAGGTAAATGTTATGTATGTATGATATAGTGAGAGGATCGCGAAGGACGAGTACAGTTAGTTGTATGGGTAACAGTAACATAGTTAAAGCATGTAACGTAATAGTTCAAGGGTCGACGGAGCAGCGGGTGCGAGTGGGAGCGCATATAGCGAGGAACGATCGCAAGTATCGGTACTAAAACTTACTTCTACTTAGGCTTAATATCATTGTTATCTAATCTATACATATATATAAACCGACACACAACACCCCCACATATAACAGAGAATATGTATATGAACATGTATTGGACGCGCGGCGCTTGAGCTGTGCCTACTTATATATATATTTAACAAATTGTAACGTGTATGTATATGTAGCGGCAGTGATTGTTAAAGAAAATGCTTTGTTTTGTGTTAGATTTTATAATTTACGAGGAAACCAAAAAGAAAATTGTAAAACGCATACAAATACAGAATGACTGACAAAACACAGAATTATAACATTGCATATAATAAATACAATAAAAATATAATTGAAAAAAAACGTTGGTTGTTGTGTTTTGGGAATGTATTTGATAATATGGGATTAATTTTGAGTTTGGCGCCAATTTCTTCTAATCAGAAAGGTTTGAAAATGAAAGACAACCCTTTGAAACTATCGATGATAGTATCGATGGTGGAATATTCTGGGTCACCATCGATTGTTATTTCCAACATAAAGGGGATTCCCTAAACTGTTGAATTGCTGAATTGTTGAATTTTGGTCAGCTGTTAATCAGCTGTTCCATACAAAGTCAACTTTCAGAAATTTCAGCAATTCAACAGCCTCGGGGCTGATGAAAATTTTGTTGAATTGCTGAAAAGCCAGAGTTGTCACCTTTTTTTAAAAGTCGTGGCAACTCTGTAACATTTTAGTATTACCAGTACGCATTATTTATTTAAAAATCAAGTTAGAATGCATATTTGTGGTTCTTTTTACCTTGGTAACACTTTTAGACAGTAACTAGCAATAATTAATCAAATTTTACATGCTTTAAGTTCCGTGAAACTTTTTAACAAATAACAGCTGTTTGAAAATTCAACAGGAACCATTTTGGGTCGTTCCCTTAATTGCTGAAATTTTTTGATGAATTTTCAACAGGGGGATTCCCTAAACTGTTGAATTGCTGAATTGTTGAATTTTGGTCAGCTGTTAATCAGCTGTTCCATGCAAAGTCAAATTTCAGAAATTTCAGCAATTCATCAGCCTCGGGGATGCTGAAAATTTTGTTGAATTGCTGAAAAGCCAGAGTTGTCACCTTTTTTAAAAAGTCGTGGCAACTCTGTAACATTTTAGTATCACCAGTACGCATTATTTATTTTAAAATCAACTTAGAAAGCATATTTGTGTTTCTTTTTACCTCGGCAACACTTTTAGACAGTAACTAGCAATAATAAATCAAATTTTACATGCTTTAAGTTCCGTGAAATTTTTCAACAAATAACAGCTGTTTGAAAATTCATCAGGAGTCATTTTGGGTCGTTCCCTTAATTGCTGAAATTTTTTGTTGAATTTTCAACAATTCAGCAATTCAACAGTTTAGGGAATCCCCCTAACAATTCAGCAATTCAACAGTTTAGGGAATCCCCCTATAGATATTTTCAAAATATAATTGGTTATTGCACTCTATTCTACGCAAATATATAGATTTTAAAACAGATAAAAACAGTCACAATCTATTTTCAAGGTTTTATATTTCAATAGTATCGATAATGTCAGTAGTGTGAACTAATTGGCAACTCTGTTGAAAAGAAATCGCAAAGGTGGCAACCTCGCACGGCGACTGAATAAAATAAAATTCGATTTGTAAATTATAAGTTTAAGCACAAACAATGGCCGCCACCCCAAGCGCCCCCGGCAAGGCCGAGATGATCGACCTGACCAAGCTGAGTCCCGAACAGCTGATGCAGATCAAGCAGGAGTTCGAGCAGGTGCGTTCCGCATGTGGGTGTGCGATGAGTCAGGAGCGGGGAGGGAGGAAGGGGTTCTGCAAATGGCACATGCTTCTAAAATCCCGAATTTTCCATGATCCGCAGGAGATGACCAACATACAGGACTCGCTGTCGACGCTGCACGGCTGCAAAGCCAAGTACGCCGGCTCCAAGGAGGCGCTGGAAACGTTCCAGTCCAACTGGGAGAACCGCCAGATCCTGGTGCCGCTGACCAGCAGTATGTATGTGCCGGGACGCGTCAAGGATCTCAACAACTTTGTCATAGACATCGGCACCGGCTACTACATAGAAAAGGTAATCCCTATTGTTTAATGTGTCATCTGGTATTAACATCTGTTTCCCAAACAGGATCTGGATGGCTCCAAGGACTACTTCAAGCGGCGCGTGGAGTATGTGCAGGAGCAGATCGAGAAAATCGAGAAGATCCACCTGCAGAAGACGCGCTTCCTCAACTCTGTGATCGGCGTGCTGGAACTGAAGCAGGCGGCTGCCGCCAAAATGCTGCAGGCCCAGCAGCAATCCCAGCCAGCGGTGGCTCAGAGCTCATAGAATCCGAGACAGACACGGAGAGCATTAAATTATTAAACTTATAAACGAGATGTGTGCATTTAATTAACGTAGTTTATTAAATTGTTCATCTACTTTTTGGCTTCCTCCAAGGCCACGGTGAGCACCTTGACCTTCTGTTCGTAGGCTGACTTAAGATCCTGTGAGGAAGAGGGATTTATGTAGCTGCTTCTACGAAAAAAGCAATAACTTACCTTGAATATCCTGGACTGCGTGTCGTACTCTGAACGCAGCTTGTCATACACTCCTTTTGAGATGGCCAACTTTTTCTCCGTGAGCGCACACTTGTCCTGCTCCGCCTTGATCCACTGCTGGCTCTTCTCCAGCCGCGCCTGCGTGTGCTCACACTCGGCGGTCTTCAGCTGCAGCATGTCCTTGGTCACCTGCAGCACGTCCTTGATCGTTTCCACCTGGGTCTTGAGCACGCCTATCTGCTGCTCCTGCTGCTTGTTCACCTTGGTCTTCTCGAACAGCAGGGTTTTAGCCTTCAGGAGCAGCTCCTCTTGCTCTTGCCGCGACTTGGGCGCATCTGTGCCGCCCAGCATGACGGACTGCTTGAGGGACTGCTCCAGCTGCACCACCCGCCGCTTCAACCGCTCATTCTCCACCTTGGCATCCTGAAATTGGAATAAGCGAATGGGTAAAGCCCATGGAAACGGGTCAACTAACCTCAAAGTCTTTGCGGAGTGCCCCGATCCGCTTGCGAGACTCCTCGAGCAGCGCCTGTTTCTCGCTCTCCAACGTGAAAACCATGTCGAGCAGCTCGTTCTGCGGCTGATGCACTTCCTCCTGGCCATTTCCCGTGACATTGTTGTTCAGATCGCCGCCAATGGCTCCCTCTTCGTTATTATCGGACATTTTATTGGAGAAAAATACTTTTTAAATCTTTTTAAAAGAACTTGTTCAGCAATGTGCGTTTTCCGTGCTGTTTTCTTTTTGTATTAATAGACCAAATAGATGCAGACGCTATTTATAGGATATCCCACTCTCCCAATCTCTCTCGGCTAGATTGCTCTCCCGAAATAACAAACCGTGTTCCCTCCAGTTTAGTTTGCGCCTCAGCATATTCTGAAGTTCAATTTATTATACATTGAAGCGTGAATGAGAAGGGATTTTAGGGATGTGCGGTGTTAATACAGATCGCGCGGGGCAACACAATTAAATTGTTGTTACAATCAAATGGGGCGACAATTGAAAGTGAGTGATTTGTGATTAAAATTAAATGCCTAAGTTGAAGAAAGGTGCTTCGCTCGCAGTGGAGAATGTCTAACCGTCCAGCTCGCCGGCGGCGCAGGCATCGGCGTAGCTCTTGCCGCTCTTGTCCTCCGGATTCAGCTTGATCATGTCGTCGATGCGCAAAATGGTGATGGCAGCCTCGGTGGCGAACTTCAGCGACTTGATCTTCGACATGGCCGGCTCCAGGACGCCAGCCTTCTTGTTGTCCCTCACCAGACCCTCGATCAGATCCAAACCGGTCCACTTGAGGTCCGAGCGCTCGGGCTTCGTCTGGCTGGAGTTGTGGTAGGAGCGCAGCTTGGCCACCAGATCCGTGGCGTCCTTGGCCGCGTTCACGGACAGCGTCTTGGGAATGACCAGCAGCGACTTGGCGAACTCGGCAATGGCCAGCTGCTCGCGGGAGGCCAGCGAGGTGGCGAAGTTCTCGAGGTAGATGGACAGGGCGGCCTCCACGCAGCCGCCGCCGGCCACCACCTTCTTGCTCTCCAGCACGCGCTTCACCACGCACAGGGCGTCGTGCACCGATCGCTCCATCTCATCGCAGTAGAAGTCGTTGGGACCACGCAGGATAATCGAAGCGGCAGCTCTAAGGAGGAATAGGGATTAAATCATCAAAACTCTCGATTTGCAGGCCATGATCTTCACTCACCGCGCCTTTGTGCCCTTGATGAGGATAAGCTCATCGTCGCAGATGCGCTCCTGGGCCACCTCGGCGGCCTCGCCCACCATGGAGGCATCGAAGCTCTCCTCGCCGTCCATGTTGGTCAGCGAGGTGAGGAAGGCGGCGCCGGTGGCCTTGGCAATGATCTTCAGATCGCTCTTCTTCACGCGTCGCACAGCCATGGCTCCCGCCTCCACGAAGTACTTCATGCACAGATCATCGACGCCGCCGCTGACAAGAACCACATTGACGCCGGTGCCCAGAATCATGTTGATGCGCTCCTTGGTGATGTCCAGCTCGCGGGCACGGATGGCCTCCAGCTTGTCGGGATCATTGATCAGCACCTGAACGCCCATCTTCATCTTGGTCTTCTGCAGCGAGAAGTCCAGGCAGGCGATCTTGGCGTTCACAATCTTCTTGGGCATCTGCTGAGAGGCAATGGTGCAGTTGAGGGCGTAGCCAGGAATCAGCACCGACTCCCTCGCGGACTTTCCATGCGCCTTCAGCACATTGATGGCCTTGATCGAGTAGGCCGCCTGGCCGCGGGGATCTGTGATCTTCACCGACTGGGCGGCGTCCACAACCATGGCGGAGAAGAACTCGGCGTCGGCGCCAATGATCTTCGAGCTCATCGAGGTCTTGGCAATGTTGATCAGCGAATCGCGACCCAGCTCGTCAACGGGGGCGGTCAGATGCTCGGAGATGTACTTGCAGGCCTCCTTGCAGGCAATGCGGTAGCCCGAGATGATCGAGGTGGGGTGGATCTTCTGCTTGACCAGCTCGTCGGCGTTCTTCAGCAGCTCTGCGGCCAAAATGACCACGGAGGTGGTGCCGTCGCCGACCTCCTCGTCCTGCAGCTGAGCCAGCTCAACCAGGACCCTTAAAGTTGACAAATTAGTGTGTGCTTAAGAGAATTTTCCATCCAATAACTCACTTGGCAGCCGGGTGCTCCACCTCCAGCAGGCGCAGTATGGTGGCTCCGTCGTTGGTCACCGTCACATCGCCGATGTCGTCCACCAGCATCTTGTCCAGGCCCACGGGTCCCAGGGAGCTCTTCACGATGTTCGAAATGGACAAAGCGGCCATAACTGAAAGGACATGGAATCACGGTTGCAGTCATAACCTCAATCTGAAGGGAAGCCCCCATTGGAGCTTGGAACTTCCTCCGTTTGGTGTGGCTTCCTGGTAAACCCATATAACTTATAGAAGGCGCCCTCCCCCGATTTCGTTCCGGAACATTCTCTCTGCAGAGCATGACCGCCCGATGAGTAAGAAACGTGCTCCGCCGGCAGACGCACCGCAGATGTTGACAAAACCCCGCCATTCTCACCGTTCTGTGTGCGCACCGATGCGCCGGACTGGCGGGTGCCAGCAATGGACAAAGGAGAGGCCAGGGTCGACATTTTCTTCTGCGTTTCGGCGACTTTTAATAAAAAACGAGATAAATCAAATACGCTGAAAACCGCACGTTAAACCGCCTGACTCACTTTTAGAGGTGGAGAAATATCGATGCTAACATCGATGTCATCGATGTTTTGGAAACATCGGTAACATCGATGTTTCCCGGGATTTTTTTTTCGGGATTTAGACCTTGCGAAACGTTAGGGGATTCCCTAAACTGTTAAATTGCTGAATTGTTGAAAATTCAAAAAAAAAATTTCAGCAATTAAGGGAACGACCCAAAATGGTTCCTGTTGAATTTTCAAACAGCTGTTATTTGTGGAAAAATTTCACGGAACTTAAAGCATGTAAAATTTGATTTATTATTGCTAGTTACTATCTAAAAGTATTATAAAGGTAAAAAGAACCACAAATATGCTTTACAAGTTGATTTTAAAATAAATAATACGTACTGGTGATACTAAAATGTTACAGGGTTGCCACGAATTTTAAAAAAAGGTGACAACTCTGGCTTTTCAGCAATTCAACAAAATTTTCATCAGCCCCGAGGCTGATGAATTGCTGAAATTTCTGAAAGTTGACTTTGTATGGAACAGCTGATTAACAGCTGACCAAAATTCAACAATTCAGCAATTCAACAGTTTAGGGAATCCCCCTGTTGTCAAAGTTTTCTTAAAAATTACACATAGGACACGTATAAAAATAAAAGAGTGTAAAACTTCAAATAAACTGTTGAAATCTAGATTTAAAAACAATTTTGATCGGAGGCGTATGGATGATAAACTTTGAAGCCAATACTCAGACCCTAAAACAAAAAAAATTCTTTTGGTCTACCTTAAATACTTCAATGCACACTGTATAGGCGGGTGAGAGTAGGACCTTAAAAACTTCCATAAAAATGGGAACCGCCCTAATATGTGTGTGCATATGTACATTTGTACCTTTAAATGGTGTTTGTATGAAAATATTATTTTTTTAGGAGCGTCAAACGCGTTTTTAGCAAAGCAGGACAACTTATATCTGACCGTCGCACTCGACTTTCATCTTCCGTCGTTGACAAACTGTTATTTCTTTAAACAAAAACCAACATTTAAATAAAAAATAAAACAAAATTTTTTTTTAAACATCGATGAAATTTTAAGAAAAATACTTTTAATACCAGTTTTACTCTTTCAAATATACCAAAAATATTCCAAGCGGTCACGCTGAAAGGTCAGGAGGGAGTCTCCGCTATAAATTCGCTAGGGTTGCCAATTTGACAACAAATAATACGTTTTTTTTTTAAATATAAATTGAAGTTTATTTTAATTTTTATTTAATTATTTTTTTTTAATACTAAATTTTGAATAATTTTTATTAATAAAAACCAATTTGTTATTTTTTTTCTACACATCTAAATAAAATGTAATACTTTTAAATAAAAAGATCTTTTGAAAAAAGGAAAACAATTCTTAAATTTTCACTCACTTTTCCACAATTGTTGCTACGAAAAATGATTATAAATTTGACATAACTATTTCGCATTTTAAAATTTTCTCACTTCATCATGTTTTATGTTGTTTCCATTTTTATTAAAAAAAATGAAAACATATATTTTAGATTGAAAATAGATCGGCTATATTCTGAGTTCATTCAGTAAATATTCTGTACTTTTCATTTGTCGTAGAAAGTCAATGATGTTGCTCTGTATAAATAGGTTATTAAACTTGAGATAATATTGTTTGTCTCGGCAACATTGTATTTGTTGTACTCGAAAATATGAACGGTCATATATACATTAAGTGGAATTAAATTTGTTGATCAGTTGCTATTTAATCTTCGGACCCAATACATCTTAAAAAATGAAATCGGGCACTTTACTTGTTATTTTGTCGGTTTCGCTTTCGGCCCAGCTATCTCTTATTGCTGCAGCCCCACCTTTGGATTATTCAAAAAGTCTCCAGACCATTATTGACCATTACAACGAGATCAAACAGAGTGCGGAGCAAAAGGATGAATTGGATGTAACCATTTTTAATTTGAGGAAAACCATTAAAAACTTAGAAAGTAAGCTAGCTATGGCTGACATGCACATCGATGTGAAGGAAAATATCATAAGTGGACTAGAAAAACAAATCCGTAAATTACACCAAAACAATGATAAAGTAAATATTTTGGAGAAAAATATTTTAGACTTGCAGACTCAGTTAGAAAACGGTCAAAGTGAAATCGAAAGCACAGCCGAATTATTAATTAAGAAAGAAAACGAAATCGTTGATGTAAAAGCTGAGCTAAACAACAAAATCACGGATCTAAGTGAGCAACTCAAAAACTTGCACAGTGACTGGGAAAACGTTACCGATATTAACAAATCGAATGAAGAGATCATAAGGAAAATAAATCAAGAAAAATTAACTCAAAGTGAGCTGCTCAATAAAAAAGAAGGTCGCATTGAAGAACTTGCCGCTCAGATTGCTGAAAAGGACACTAAAATCGCTCGCCTAACTAAAAAGCTACAACAATTAGCAGTTATTTTGATTCAAGATGGCAAACTAGGAAGTTTGGTTAACATCGAAAGCTTTTAAATGGAAATGGAACTGATCCGATATTGGAATGTGGTATCTTAAGATTTACAGGTAATTCGATTTGTGTACCAACTGTAAATATAATGCAAGACTATAAATATCTTTAATTACAGTTTTTCCTATGAAGACTTCATCCAGATGACCACAAAAAACGAGAGAAGATGCCATTTCGAGCTTGCTTGTCAGGTGTAAAATCAAATTCCTTTGTAATAATTTGAAAAACTTTAAAAATTTTAATAAACAAATTTGATTTTAAAGTAAATACATAATCACCTATGTATTTTTTAATCAGCATTACGCTTATGTGCGTTCTAAAAGTGAAAGTCTTATCACGTACTTTGTCTATGTTCCGAATTGAAGAGGTTACCAGGTCACCATGTGGTTTTTCCCGGTGAGTTATCACTTGGCGAGTCGTGTGTTTTTTTTTTTGCAGATAATATTTTATTTTCTTTTGCACCTAATAATGACAATGTAATTGTAAATTCATTTTATGGGTTTTTTTTCTCAAAAATATTTGCCGGAACTGCGAGTACAACAAAATCACCAAAATCTTGGTATGTCCCTTAACCTTTTCGCAATTGATCCACTGTAAAAAAGTTAAATCTATTTGGATTGGCGTTTTAACAGATATTCAACAAAGGCGCAGTGCTTGTCTTAGGGGTGGGCACTTAAAGTGAAATTATGGCTTGACTTCGATTATATTCGTGAGCGATAAGCACCCAGCCATTCAACCTTGGAACTAATTATTCATCCGAAAATCTGGGAATTCCATGTTATTGTGAGGTAGGGTTGTTAAAAAATCGATAGTGGACACCATCGATGTTTTTGGCTATCGATGGTGGTCACTATCGATACTATCGATAGTATCAACAGTTAAAGAAAATAAAAACCAATTGTTAAAATAAAGGAAAATTATGAAAAACAAATTATGAAAAAAAGTGTGGTTGACTGATAAAAATTAGGGGGAAACAAACGGTCTAACTTTACAACGATTAAAGTGAAACAAAATTCGATGTTGAGCCTTAACAATTAAAATACCGTCGGGTTCTTAAGTATATACTTTAAAATACTTGTTTTTCGTTAAAATATACCAAAAGTTGCATGTAAAATTTAATTATTTTTTTGGAGCGATAGTATCGATTGTGGGTTCAAACCATCGATTTTTCCTAAATTTTAAAACCATCGATAGTATCGATAGTGCTATCGATTTTTTTACCAACCCTATTGTGAGGAGAACGATCTTTCTTGCATATTTTGGTTTGGAAAATAGTCGAATTACTCTACGAATTTTACAGATAATAATAATCGCAATGCGATGAATGCCAATAAATCTAATAAATAGGTAAATAAAGGTTTTGGATTCTCGTCCAGCAACGTACATATGTTTTCATTGCCTTACAACAAGTGCGCAAAGAAATCTTTGGTTTTGGTTTTGACTTTGGCTTTCACGTTTTTCCTCCTCCCTACTGCTGTTTTTTCCAAAAGCCAATTTAGCTCTTTGCTCTCTTTTCCGGCACATCGTGCAATGTTTTTGTTCTGGCTGGTTTTTCCAGCTCCATGCAATTAAAGCTGCCAGCTCTTGCTTCTTTTTTTCTATCCCTCCTGCTGGCTTCTGCTTTTGGCTGGTTCTTCGTGCAAAGAGAGTATTAACAATTGACGTCACTATAATAATACCGTATTGAAATCATATTATAAATATAACTGTTACCTGAAAATACAATTTTTTTCAATTATTTTTCTTACCTTTGGACCAACTTTCCCTTAAAATACAAAAACAAAAGGTAGATAGAAATGTGTTAAACGATCCCTTGGCATTTTTTTTCCATTTTTTATAAAGGTCAATTTACAAAACAAATTTATTTTTCCTTAGAACTAATATTTTGCCAACTATTGTTGAGCAGGACTTTTAGAGTATTGGCAATAGGTAAGACTACACACTTACAAACCTACAGCTGATAATTGCAGTGGAAAAAGCAGCAATGCCTCCTGCAATAAAAGTCACAATGGCGACAGCTCACGACACATTGCTCTACCACCCACCTCCCCCTGCTTTCACCTTTCTTCTATTTTTCCCCGGTATATGTGACTCTGCGTTTGTGTGTGTGGGTGTGATTGACGGCCGGCGGGCTTTCTCATGTGGCTGTAGTTATTGTTGAATTCAATTTGCCGTAAATGTATTGTTGGCCTGACTCGGCGCTCGGGACTTGTGGTCGCTTCTGTTGCCTTTGGTTACAGCTCATTAGCAGCAGCACACACACACACAACCAACCCAGGACACCCACAGCTGCAACCACAGCGAAGATAACGCCTTCTGTTAGCTTGAGTTCCACGAAGCCTCAACCGCAATCTCACAAAAGTTGTGTACACTGTACAGTACGATCTGGTTTTATTTTAATGAACAGATAGGCATCTGTTTATAATCGGTAGTTTCTATGATTGAAAAAACCTGAAGAGAACTAATCGATATTGAAATTTTTTAGATTTTAAATGATTTATTACAAAATTACAATATATTTTTTGACAACTAAAGCCTGAAAAATATTCTTATGTTTTAATTCCCAGCAAAAGCACTATTTATTATGATAATAATCAAAAAAATGCATTAGTAGAGAAAACAATTTGGTAGCTGATAGCTGTTAAGAAAGTAAACTTATATCCTGTTTTTATGTTCAGAAAAATCATATAAAATAAATAGAAAATATTTCATTGATATTTACAACGTTTTACTTTCATAGAGAACCCAATAATCTGTGCAAGGGTTCCATAAATCGAGACTTAACTGTACAAACAGCAGCAATAAACAATAAATAGAAAATCATAAAATATTTCATTGATATTTACAACGTGTTACTTTCATAAAGAACGCAATAATCTATACAAGGGTTCAATAAATCGAGACTTAACTGTACAAACAGCAGCCATTAAGTCCGGCTATGTGCAAACAATTCCGATTGATTTATTGTCGCAATGGCTAACACGATTAAGCGATTGTGTCCACAATGCAACTGAAACAAAAGCCCAGTGCTTGGCGGCCATTACAAAGGGTCTCACCTGTACCTGTGTGTGTGTGTAATGGCGGCGCTCATGTGTGTGAGCGCTGGAGCTCAGCGGCTTTAATTGCCAGTCGGTTGGGCTCAGTTTGTCTCGCCGTGTTGCTGTGGATGTGAAGGTGGATGTGGAAGTGGATGTGGTTGGGATTTATGCTTGTTCTACATGCATGTTGTACAAACAATTTAGCTGTAACTGCGACACACACTCGCACACATACAGACAGGCCTGCCTCAACACTCACACACGTACGATGGGAACTCAGTATGCGTGCTGGACGACCTCCATTTAACACCAAACGTGTCATTTGTGGCCATTTGCTGGTTGCCTCTGCCTCTGCACGTATGTATGTATGTGTGTTTAAATGTGCTTTGCTGCTTTACGAGGCTCTGGCTGCGTTTTGTGGTCTATTAAGTGGCTCGCACTAAACCAAAAAATATGCCATCATCTTTATGCGACTTGTGCAACACGGCGTATGAGCGTTATGCCTCAAGTGAGCAACAAGCGGCAGCGAATACGAATACCCGTTCCCATTGGATGGCCACTAAAACGCCTGAGTACCCGTCGAAACTGGAAAGGGAGTGTACACTGTACATATGTATAAACTAAAGTTCATTAAAAGTAAAATCTGAGTACATCACAAATATGGCAAGACAAAGTTGTGATACACTTCACTTAAAGACGCAGTAAAGCAAAAGGATTTATTTATCATAGGCACCTAAACTACTTACCTCGAATGATGGTTTATCTTGATCCACAATTTTAGGGCTCTAATTAATCCACCTCTTCGGAATTGACATCCCTATAAGACCCCCGGACCGAAGAGTATAATAAAAGCGTGGGGATAAAGGAGATTTCCGGCGAGGGTTGAGAAGGGTAAGAATTTACCAATTTTTGGTACAAGGTACAAGATAAATATTCCAAATGTTTGGAACTTTTTGAACCATATACTCCTATGAAAATATACATGGTACAAAATACATGTCTGCATTTAAAATGTTGTATTATATATATATATAATATAGTACTTATTCAAATTATTATTATAACAAACCCTTATTTTACAAAAGCAAATATCGATATGAGTATATTAAAAAAGTTATTGCGATTAAAATAAATACAAATAAGTTCTGGATAGTAAATCATATTTATAAAGACATATTTATTTGTACAATTTGGGAGGAATTAATATTTCGAGTTCAAGAATGCATAAGGTACAAAATACTGAAATAGGTACCTCCACCTAGACACCACTGCCACTCATCACTGTTCACAACGAAGATGTTTACGACCCTGTCCGCTGTGCATGCAACAGGGGAGAAAAAGGAAGGGGAGGCGGTGGGTACGGCGGGGAAAGCTGAAATGTCGACGGCTTCGCCTACGCGTGAGATAAAGGCGTCCAAGAAAACTTTCTCCCGCCGCCGGAACCGAAACGAAGCAACAGTAGAGCAGTAAACCAAGGCAACAGACACCGCCTGCCACATGTATTGTATGGGTTGTTGCATGAAGCTGTCTATCTGCGCTTAAGCCCGCTCCAGGTTATGCGAGTGTATTAAAAGCACATAAAAAGCTGGCCAGGAATGCCTGGTGGCCTGGCACGGCTTTGTGGCGGAAAAGTGAGCAGCCACACGGCCGAGTTGAGCGATGCACAGATAAACAAATAAACAAATTAATAAAAGACAAATAATGAAACAAGACGGAAACACGAGTCATAAATTAAATAGCAACAGCGAAAATTACTTATCCAAAAGGACGACTCCAAACTCCGGCGAACAGCTAACGAAATTGTCCTCCTTGCGTTGTGGCTGTCAATTTTTCGTAGCATACACACAGGCGCGGGCTCCACGAAAAAGTTTGGTTTTGGTAAACGAAAGAAAGAAGCCTGCCAGGCAGACGGGGAATATGATGTGGCAGGAGCAACTGGGTGCCAGCACGAATAATCTACTAGCGATTTATTTGAGACGGAGTCGCAGTCGGCTCCGCTGCCCCAGCTGCTATTTTGGTTACTTCTTTTATACAGAAATACCCATATTTACAGGGGCGTGCTTGATTCTTGGAAATAAGGCTGAATATATGACTAATGCTTGGAAGGCAATTCTTGAAAATAAATACTCGGAATAACTGATAAGCTGGTATTATTAATAAGTATATTTTTTTACAAAAAGATTTTAAAGTTTATCCTAATAAAATAAAGAAAATATGATATAGGATAATAATAATTATTTGATCTAAGATAAGCCATTCCGGTTATAAGACAACAGATTTAAAAATACCCTAGGGACTTTAAGGGATCCAATAGTCGGGTCACTCGACCGTGGCATTCTTTCTTGTTCATATTTCTAATTCAGCTTACTTCAAGCAACAACGATGGAACTTCGACGACGACAACGATGATGACGAGGCAGTCGCTCGGATTTGGATTCGTGATGGGAACTCGGTTCCTGGTCGGCAGCCGCAGTCGTGCGTTGTCCTTTGCTGCTGTCGGTTGTGTCCGCGCTCCGGTGACTACATCCACATCCTCAGACGTCCTGAATCAGGGGCCTCGACTTTCTCGGAGCCTGCTCGTCGGGCACACACCTGTGCGCTATCTCCCTCCACTGGCGAGTAACGTAAGCAAATTTGCACGTAAATTGCGCTAAATTATCTTACAACACAGCAAAAATTTGCCTGGCGCGGATTTATTCGCGTGTGCCTGTGCCAGTGCCCCCCAAATCCACTCCACTTCACACCGATCCCCAAACCCGAACCCATGCTATTTCCCTGAAGGGGAGTAATGTAGAAGGCAGGAAAAACACGAAATAACCGCTAAGTGTTTTACAACTTGAAGGCGTTAAGTTGGCCATCCTGGGTTTTCCAAGTTTTCCCCGGGTCTTGGGCCAGAATGGCAAACAAAAATCTGTGTAAGCAGCTTTGCTGGCGGCTCGGAAAAACCCGCTAGCCATCGGCTTGTCAACGGTTTTAGGTCCTTTTTTTATAGTTGCCTTATTGAATTTTAAAGATCGCGGAAAGTGTGGCGTTTTACATGCATAATGAGGCCACTAGCCTCCTAGTGGCTTCACCAGCGAAAGTGGAAACGTGATGGCATGGCAAGAACATAAATTAAAACTTTGCCTTTTAACTCAATTAACAACTTTCGTGTGCACAAAAACAATGAAAGCTATTTACCTTTTTTTAATGGAAAGTTATTTGTAATTACCTACTGAAACTAGCACTAATTAGACTGACTTTTTAACATTTTTTGTTTGCATAAAGTTGGCGTAATTAATACTAGCAAAAAGTCAATAGCTGATTATTATAACTCTAATGTTTAATATTTAATTTTGTTTAACTTCAAACTATTCAACTTTCAACTAAATTATCCCATTTATCCGTCGCTTGTTTAGTCTAATTTATTGTTCAATAAATTCTGCAAATATATTTTAACAATATAACAAATGAATATTCTCCAGAACTTTTTTCATTTTTATAACTTAATCTATCATAAAGAACATAGTTGAATTTAAGTGTCATTTCAGTTTAAGTGTTTTTCTAAAATTTAATGGCGCTCTTATCCATTTCAACCATTAAATATTTAGGATTTGTTTTTAAATTATTTATTTCTATCCTAAACATTTTTTTTCGTCAAAGAGTCTGTGTAATTGATAGTCGTTTTATAGACTCAATACCGCAACCTTAAATTTGTAAAGCCACATATGGGATATTTTCGGAATCCATAAGGAGTCCCCAGGGCGTCCCCGGATCTCGCCAGGATTCGTTGATGTAGGCTCTTATTCTCCACTCGGCGGTTCAGCGAACTGTGCCCAAGGTCCTGGCACTTGTCAGCAGGAGGGATTACTCCATCTGCGCTGCTTCGCTGGCCACATTTTATTGTTTGTCAGCATTTACATGTCCTTTTTCCCCGGACTCGCCTGCTGTGAAAGTGTGTGTGTGTAATGGCCGCCGCGACTGTTTTGTTGTTTCCTTGTTAGCCACGCATAAATTTTAATAGTTTTCCTATGCTTTAAGTGGCCAACGGGCCTTGGCTGTCTTGGCCGCCTCCTCCTCCCGCCACCCACTTTCACCTGCCCACGATTGCGGCTCTGGTTTGGAGTGGCTAAAAATAAAGCCTGGAACGCCGACGAGCTTATCCTTGCCTTGAGCTGTTCAAAATGGAATTATTAATATTTCACGTACCGAAATATAGACATGACCGACTGAAAATGCTTTCCACACACACGGCTGACTGTGGGACTCCTCAGCCCTCTTCCTATCCCACCTGACGGTTGTTTATTCGCGCATCAGGACTCGTGGGCCTGTTTAATCATAACGTAATGCGGTTCACCTATATAGGTATATATATATGTGTACCCTGTATACATATATAATGCGGGGGAGGTGCGTGTGTGGGTTAGGATTTCCATTAGCGCATTTCATTTTAATTAAACTGGCAACTGTCACGTAGTCGATCGATTTGTTAGGCATTAGGGCAGTAATTTGGTTTCCATTCCCCCGCCCACGGCGACATTATCCTTAGCTTTTTTGATTTGTCTTACCCAACTATGAACAAGAAGTTGATAAAGTAAACTTTTCGAAAAAGTTCAAAAGTTTTTCGGCAAATTGCGGTCGTCCGCCAGAAATACCAACTTTTCGGGATATACTTGGCCCAACTACAAGTGGAATTTGTGGCCACAATTTCAATATTAATTTCAGCCCTCACCTGAAGGGGAAAGGTAGGGAAAAGGCAAGGCAAGGGCAATTGAAATTTTAGAAAAATACCTGGGAGCCCCATCTGACCCAGATCGGGTATCGCTTAACAAAGTGTAAACTGTCTTAACGAATTATTTGCCATAATATTTTGCTGGGACCCAAACGGTTTGCATAGTTCGGCAAAAGTTTTCGGGTTTCGCCCCACTCTCTCACTCCGATTCCGACTCTCAATTAAACGCATTTTAAGCGTTATGTGCTGCAAAACTTTTGTGGCAAAGTACTTAGGTGTCAGGCGAAGACGGATGAGGGCGAGGTGGCCAGAAAACTTTTCCAATCGATGGCATAAAGGCAACGCCAAGCAATTAATGCCCCAAAAAAGCAGGAAAACAAAACTGTGAGTGGAAATTGGCGTGTTTGTCTGGGATTGTTGTTGGTTCCTTTGTTTCTGACCTGAAAATGCGAATAAAGATGGGGATGAGAATGAGGCATCATCGTCTGCTTTTGAAGTAGTTCATTAAGTGATTGTTTGATTGATGGCTCATCTTCATCTGATTTGATTTTCATTGCCCGATACCGCACTTTGTTTGGCATTTAATTGGCCAGCCGAGGAAGAACAAGGCTAAGTAAGCGGATAACTGGGGTGTTTGCAAAAGAGGGAGGCAGTGTTAATAATAGCCCGTCTATGGGGTCAACTATAGATATTCGACCTTGAGCAACCCATCGTTGCACTGACTTGCAACTGGAAGGAGCTCGGTGGCTGATTTTGATTGATGACCTGGCTGGAAATAAATTGGAGTGTGTTATTAATAAGCTTATGGTGCAGATATAATGGTCCTTTGTCTGGCATTTGATTGAATGACATTTCAATTATCTCATTCAGTTAGAGGAAACGAAACGTAGTAACGAAAGGTTAATTGAAAAACTAACTGCATGTGGGCAGGGGTGCTTTTAAATTCAAACAGCATTTCGATTGACACAGTCCACTATAAAAGGGAATCAAATATGAAAGAAAGTAATTCTTCTTTAATAGTAAGAGAATATTTTATGATTTTAAAAAGGGTATTGATTACTTTTTCAAAGCTTGTATGGTAGGTGCCTTTAATAGAACAAAAATACTCTAAAATATTCCCACTCTGTATGAAATTCAGCAGATTGGCATTTTTATTTATTCAATTAAATGTTCAACATGCCAAATTGCGACAGCATAGTATCCCTAATATCCTATTTACCTACATAATTACTCTTTGTATAGTTATTCAGTCAATTTGTAAATTCAATTATATGCATGATTAGAGAAACACAAATCGCAATTCCAGGCAAATAACTCAATCAGCTCGTCTGCCGAAAATCAGCCACGTTACGTATACGCAGCGGATGCCCGTTGACAATGTATGCCCAACTAACTAGCTGCCAGCAAATAGACACGATGCGAGGCCATTGTGTGGATGTGAAAGTGGATGGGTGAGTGGGCAAGTGGGTAAAGGGAAGGGGCTCAGGGAATCAGCCATTCATAAACACCGGCCCCATCCTGGCCTGCTCATCTGTCAGCTGGAGTTTGGTTAGTCAAACGTTTGTTACATTTCGCTGGCTAAAAATACGACGCCAGATGCGAGCTTGTGTATCCATGAGGTACTGGATCTGCTAGTGGGGTTCCAGGTGGTAGTAGTTCGCTTATCTAATTATAGCTTCATTACGGCGCTGCCTGATGGAACTTGGACGGTTCGGGGATGGGGATGAGGTTACCTTAGCCCAATGTAAAACCACCAGTCTCCCAATCTCCCACCGCCGAAGGACAGACGCTGGCAAGTAGGCCATGTGCAACCCATTTGGCTCTGGCCTAGACATATTATTATCTGGCCAGGCAGCCATGTAGCTATATGTAGTTCAGCTCTCGATTCCCGGGCCTGTCAGTCAACATAATCATCGTCATCAGCGACGAGTACATTATCGCAGGCATGATAATGAACCTTCGGCGCGAAATTGCAGCCATTAGTTGGCCCAAAAAGCTGGTAAAGAGGCCCTTAGAGTGTTTACCACTTGGGCGCTGACATTTTCTTGCTACTGCGGGAATTCTACGATAAAAAACAGAAAAAAAAGAAAGAAAGAATGAAAAAAACTGAAAGTGTCGACCCAGTGATTTGATTTTATTTGATTTGCCTTCACTTTTCATGTGATTTTTCGATTCCTTTCTCTTTTTCTGTATTTTGGCTCTTGTTGACGCTGATTGAATACAAATACAAATATAAACAAATGGCGCTCACCTGCACGTAAATAAAAGCTTTAATACATCAACAAATAATGGCATGTCTGACAGTCACCTCGATTCCCCACCCTCACATCCGTTTCCGCTTCCCTTTTTATATTTTCGTATATTTTTCTTGTTTTATTTTCGTTTGCCTGCCGCTCGGCAAATTCGATTTTCAACATTTTACACTTTGATTTCGTTGGCGCTGTCCTTGTCATTATGTGATTTTGGTATTTTGCGCAAAAACACACAATAGAAATAATGGCAGGAGGGAAGGGGGCTAAGGGGATGCTTAGCTGGAGCCGCCTTGAAAATTCCCCGTAGAGCATTTGACTTTAATGGCGCCCGAGGTTCGAAGTATATTGACATGTTATGATGCGTGGCCGAGCTGCCATATACTTGGTTATATGGACCATATATGCTATATAGTGCGTGCCTGGCCTGCCAACAGGAGCGGTCTTTTAGTCCTTTGGTCCTTTGTCTTCGCATCCTGCCGACCCCGTTGCAATATTCCCCTCTTATATTAATTCAATCACTTTGGCTGCATGCTCCGCTTTATGGACAGTCCTCGGATCATCAAACTCTCTTCTTCTGACCTTTACGGTTTCGCCTGGCACACATTTATGGGTTTCAGTTCGGTGATGAAACTTTAAATTTCCTTCCTTCCTTCCTGCTCCG